ATCTCTACGAAATTCAACAAGGAGAAAAGCACCTACGACGAATCGTTCTACTGAAATAAGTATTAGCTTCATTGAAAATTTGAATGTTACTGGTAGTGTTTCTGGACAACTACAGTTATCTATAAGTGATGAGCTTACGATTAATCGCACGTTACGCACAACAGTTTCTTCGTACGCAGAGCATTCCTATCGTTTCAAGGGTTTGTTTCCACCTAATTCTAACCCTGAGGAAATTTTCGAGAAGACTTCCGAAACGGGCGAGAATTTGATTCATCGAACCTGTCGATCATAGGTGCTTTTCTCATCCTGACACCGAAACTTTCGAAGACCATTGCAGGCGCGTTAATCTACGAATGTGAACGCTCTAAGAGTGCTATTCGAAGTGATGATGTGCCTCAGAATCCCTGCGTTATTCGGTGTTCGTGAAGGTGCTATTCGTTTTCCTGCTCCAGGTACTTCCGGTGATAAGGAAGTGCCAGAGGTGACCGATAAACCTGGACCGCAGCCTGTGATGAAGTCGTGCGTGGAAAGAAAACGTAAACGCGGTGACAGCTTATCGTCTAAGGATAGTGACCGAAAAGCCTCCAAGTCTTGCAAGGGAAATTTCTGGCCGCATGCGGAAGTACGGTCCAGTTCTCCGCCCAAGTTCCGGCACGTTCAAGGCAACAGTCCCGTGCCTCAGGCCCAAATCACTGGCTTCCAAATGGTTGGTTTTCATTCGACGCATTACCCTTACTTCATTACGTCTCCAACTCATGAAAATAGCTCGCGCATTTTTTTACAATTGAAATGATGCATTTTTTAAAATCTGAAAAAGACACTTCGGAAATCGTTCCGCCGCTCTGGAGTCCCTCCATCGCCAGAAAAAATTTTTACAGTTCTGTTTATAATTCAATTTTCGAGTTGATTTACTTGAAACTTCATCATTGCTTGAATGGTAGAGTGACGCGAAGAATTCTGTAATTCGATATTTTGAAAGGGTCGTGGGCAGCTTCAGCACGGGAACACGATTTGCTGGTTCCAAAGCTGCGCTGAAGGACTTGCAACCACTCCGAATAATGAAGTTGGTGCAAATGATATCGTGGGGTTTGGGTTGAAAAGTGTAGCGGCCATTTTGTGACAAATCCTGGTTTCTCCGGGATTTGGGGATTGTTGATGCAGTTGATCCTCTTAAAGTTGAACTTCAAGGGATCAGCAAACGATTTTTTTTTTGGAGGACAGAAAGAAGAATTACTGGAAAGTGTTATTGGTGATATTATGGGCCTTGAATTGCTTTTTTGAATGAGTTGACAGGACGCTGAACTTGGAGGCTTTGACCAATTAGTCTTTCACTTAATTTCAAAACTCATCAAGTTACTTTCTATTGCTTTTCTCTTTCCTCATGTCAATAAAATAGTAGCTGAAAGGCCTCAACATTTGAGTTACGGATGTTTTTAATGCATTCTTTCCTGGAGAATTTAAATAGAGATTGGAAAATGACTAAACATTGGACGAAGGGAGCTTTGGGTTATCAAGGTTCAACTGTAGTTTGAATGTGGTCCAGTGTCATGATGATATCGATGACTGTTCAGAGAAACAAAGAGAAACCATTCCTTGCTGATGAGCGTTGTTTTCTATTTATTTTCCCCAGTTACCATCAAGCCCGAACAGTGCTTTGAGCTCTTCGCACTCCGGAGATGGAATGCATTTTATTCCCAGAATGGAACCCGTTCGGGAAACGGGTGGAGCAGAAAACTACTTTCAGTCAGCACATCTTAACAAGCAACACCCTGCCGGTGATTTTGTGAGCTCTGGTCGATTGCGGTCGACTTCGTGTCAGGTGAAAATCTCCTCTTACATTCATGCCCTTGCTCCTGTTTAGTTTTTGAAGAGTGAAGACCACGTGAGTCGAGTAATATAAGACTGTTTGTGATGGTTAATTGTTTCGAGACCGCATCCGGAAAATGTTTCTTGACCGATTTGGATGATGAGGTATGGAATTTTCTTCGGAAAAGCAGTGGGGATTCAGGTAGACTCTCTGTACAAAGTTTTTCGTTGTACAGTAAAATCTCGTTACAACGAACTCCCAGGCACCTGAGAAAATATTCCTTATAACAAAAAATGTGTTGTATTCAGATTAATGATTTTTAGCACATTTCAGACTGGAATTTTATTGGAGATGTGGAATATATACTTTAAAATGCTTCTAAAAAATATACAAGTACTTCTGATGAAATAAAGAGAAATCCTTTGATAACAGCATTCAAAAAAATGGAATGCTGTTTTTATAATGATTTTCCAGGAATGAAACTATCTTTGATCCATCGGAATTTCAAGAAATTCCAAAAGGCTGGTGGGATTCTTTAAACAAATTTTTTAAATTTTATTTTTTATACATTTTTTGCATACAGTATTTTTACATTTTATTTATAAAAAAGTCCATATGTTTAGTTGCTCCTCTCCAGTCCTCAATTAGGTATTGTTAATTTTTTCCCATGGAAGTGCATTATTTTAATTGATCATTTGTTAGAAGAAGAAATTTTTAAATTTGTGTGGAGCTGAAGAACTTAAGAAGTTGTCGTATCATGAAACCCTGACGTAAGTCGGGGGTTTTTTTAATTTAAAAAAGTGTCGTAAATTGAAACCGACGTAACATGGGCCCGTCGTAAGTCGGGGGCCCACACATAAGTCTAATTACTAAAAATCGTGTAAAGTCTGACCTTAAAATAACCTCTACACCTTATATATGAAATTTTACGAAGATTTTTTATATGTTCATGAAGACTACTTTATTTCTCTTTAGGAAACTTATAAATGCAGTATAACTCTCCCTTAAATGAACTAACATTTGTACTAAAGTATTGCTTGTCTTCAAAAATAAAATGAAACAAAATTACATATGGTAAAAATACTGCACTTTGTTCTCAATCAACTTATTCACCCGTAGCTCTTTCAAACATGGAGGAACATTCGTCTTACATACTGCTGATTTGAAAAAGGCATACAGTCTAAAATGGATGAGCTGAAGAATTTCCAAAATGTGCATTTTTTTGGACACCAAGTTTTCTGTACATGAAGATTTATTTTTTGGTGAATTTTTAATGCTGTACAGTATCTTGAAATATTTTCGAAATTTTCTGCCATTTTATGAGTGATTCCCATATGGGTAATGCACAGAATCATGCCCAAGAATTTGTTATAATGAGATTACAGCCTAAAATTACTTTGTTATAATGACATTTTTATAACATTATGCCCAAGGGGAACTGCCTGGACCACGAAAAAAATTTGTTATAACCAAAAATTCGTTATAACGATGTTTGTTGTAACAGAATTAACTGTATAACAGTTTTTTCTTTGTTCCAAAATATTCTCTGCCCATGTTGACAAGGTTTCTCTAGAATCTAGATAGTCTAGAACAGTGTCCCCAACCATTTTGTGCCCGTGGACCAGCAAATTTCCATTAATTTTTTGCAGACTGGCAAATTTCCAGAACATTTTCTGGGGACTGACAAAGTTCCGTGAAACTTTGTCAAGTCGAACCTCAAACAGGCTTCACCATTTCTTCGTGAGATACAGGCTGGGTTAATGGGCTTGTGGTTTATCAAAAATGTCAAAATAATGTGGAATTGAAGTTTTACGGGATATAAATTTCATATTCATTTAGAGAACAATGAGAATAATCCTTGGATGCGTGAATTATTTCCGACTAATGTTCCCAAGGAGTAAATTATATCATCTTTGTATGTGTGAGTTTTTTTTTTTTAAATCGGAAATCTCTTACAGAAAATTTGACATTCAAAAATGATATTCAATTGAAAAAAAAGAGAAGGAAGTCCCTTTATGCTGGAGGTATTTTTTTTTAAATTACTAAATGAATTGTGAATTGGTGAGAGAAATGGCCAAGAACTTTTCTTACATCAATTTTAGGGTTGGAAATATCTATTTCTTGTGATTTGGCCTGAAACTTATTTGCAATTTTATCACAAAATTTCCCTATTTGAAGTCAGTGTCCTCATGTTGAATCATTTTGGCATGGTGTCAAAAACAAAATTAAATTGCAGGAGTATGTTTGAGTTGTCAGTAATTTTGGCGGATGGTGTTTTAACGGGGTCTCCAGTGCCATTATTCTTGAGAAAGACTTTTAAGAAATAAATTGGCGTTGGACAAGAATGACTTCTTCACTGGGTTTCGACTTTACTCCGTTTGGAAAATGTGGTTGTTCATCATGTTGAGGTTGTGCTTTTTTCTTTCGCAGACGGAGCTGACGGGGAAGATCATGTTGGACCAGGAATCGCAGCTAATATCTAATCTCCAGCTGAGAGATCAGGAAATCCACGAATTGAGCCAGGTTTGTGTTTACAATGTCCTGCAGTCGAGTGGCCAAGTTATTTTCGGATGATTTCTTGAACCAGGAAGTTGATGCTTGCATGGGTTTTTGTTGGTGCGTCTAGGTTAAATGTTTTTGGGTTTGACACTCAATTCGTGGACTCCTGGATTATTATTCATTCAACTGCTGCATAATTTTGATTTCTTGATGAGCCTTTATGGAGGGGGATGGTGCAAAATTTCCCATGACGCGTTTTTTCCAATTCGAGCTTGTCTTAACTTGGTGGTCCTTTCAATTGTTTCTAAATCGATCTTCCGAGGATGAATATGATTGAATTGTGTAATTTGTCTTCTTAGATTATGGAAGATTCAAGGTTTTCATTTTCGTTGATCCGGCGTAGTTTTAATTTGAGGGAAGGACGGGGAGAAATACTGCTGTCAAATGTGGAATAATTGCTTCACGCATTTCCAAATCAGAATATTTGATGTTTTATTTTTGAAATCTTATTGCGAAAGTTGTCCTTGAAAAATCTTACCGAACCTGACCCATGTTGGTTTTCTCTACCAAAAGAAGAAAAATCGTGTTTAAATGCTGTATTTTATTCCGCTTCGGAATATTGATTTTTTTTCGAGTTTGAAGTGTCTGAAAGACGAATTGTCCGCATGTGCATTTTGAGCGAAATCTGAAAAAAATGCACGTCCTACCTAATTTAGGTATATATCCTCAATTATCTAGAGAGTTGAAATTCATGAACCAAGTCTCCTTTGTTTTTTCGAAAAGCATTTCCATAGAATATCTTGAGGCCTTTTTCAGGTCTCTGTTCAATGTAAACAGTCTGAAACAAAGTCTACATTTTTCTAGAGGTACAGAATCAAGTTTTCAATGAGATTATTAATTTTCCTGAATTTTCTGGACGTTGAACTACAACTTATCCAGAATGGTTTCCACAATAATGTCCCCAACTTCGTGATTATATGGTTCTTCTGTACGTGTTGCTTGAATTTCTTGATGTTCTTGAGTGATACATTTACTCACTGTACCTGTTGTACATTTTTTCAAGTAAAAATTTGTTGAGTCTGCAAACATTTTATGAAACTTTGTTGATCCGCTGGCCCAAAAAGCTTGGGTAACGCAGGATTAGGGCATCTTTATTTTAAATTCGGTTGATGGCGGGAAATTTTGGTGTACCGGATCAAAGCTGACACAAATTTGTTTCCCCCGAACCCCCAGGCGAAGGTGGAGTCTGAAAAGAAGCTTTCCGCGTCGACCAAAACCGAGGAGGTGCACAAGAAGCAGCTGGCCAAGTGCGTGGAAGTGGTCAAGCGCCTGCTGGTCGAAAAGTCCACGATCGAAAAGAAGGAGATTCGCCGCAAGTGCATGCAGAACCGCCTCCGACTCGGGCAATTCGTGACGCAACGCGTCGGCGCCACTTACCAGGAGAATTGGCAAGACGGCTACGCCTTTCAAGAACTCTCCAAGCGACAGGAGAACATGCAGCAGTTGCGGGAAAGCATCGACCGTTTGCGCAAGACCCTGTCCAAGAAGAAGGAAGGCACGTCGGTGCGGAAAAAGCCGTCGTCGTTGTCGACGTCGACGACGGGCAACAACTCCAACTCGAACCACACTTGGGCGTCTTCCGGCGGCAATTCCTCGGGCTCCAACTCGAACGACTCGTTTTCCTTTCTCAAGCCCGACGCGCCGGCGAAAGAGTGCGTGTTGACGCAGCAGGAGCATTACGAAAAGGACGAGATCCTCAAGTTGCGGGCCAATAGTTACAAGAAGGAGGACGCGGCGTTGCAGCTGGAGGTGGAGAAGTTGGAGCGGGAGCGGAACTTGCACATTCGGGAACTCAAGAGGATTTCCAACGAGGACCAGTCGAGGTTCAAGGATCATCCCGTGCTTTGCGACCGGTACTTGTTGCTCATGCTGCTGGGCAAAGGCGGGTTCTCTGAGGTCCACAAGGTGCGTGTTTGTCTGAGGAAAAAAAAAAGTGCCGTTTTAATTTTGACGAATTATCCGACTGAATGAAGAGTCGGCCTTGAGAGTCGACGACGAATTGTCATCTGACGATTTCCAGCGAATTGTTAGTATCTTCTAATTCTAATATCCTTATTAGGAATTCCTTTTTTTTCATTCAGAAAAATAGCTGTTTTAATTTGACGAATTATCAGACTAAACGAAGAAAGTGGTGGTTTTTTTTTTTTTTGTCGTTGTCAAAGTCTTGAGAGTCGACGACGAATTGTCATCTGACGATTTCCAGCGAATTGTTTGTATCTTAGAATTTATATCCTTATCAGGAGTTCCTTTTTTTCCATCGAGAAAAAAATACCTTTTTTAATTTTGACGAATTATCAGACTAAACGAAGAAATAGGTGGTTTTTTTGGTGTCGTTGTCAAAGTCTTGGGAGTCGACGACGAATTGTCATCTGAGACAGACTGTCGATTTCCAGAAAATTGTTTGTATCTTGGAATTCATATCCTCATCAGGAGTTTTTTGTTTATTGAGAAAAATAGCTTTTTTAATTTGGCGAATTAACAGACTAAACTAACAAAGAGGTGGTTTTTTTGGTGTTGTCAAAGTCTTGAAAGTCGACGACGAATTTTCATCTGAGACTGACTGTCGATTTCCAGCAAATTGTGTGTCCTCGAATTTATATACTTATCAGGAGTTCTTTTTTTCATTCAGAAAAATATCTTTTTTAATCTGACGAATTTTCAGACAAAACGAAGAAAGGGGTGGGTTTATTTTTTGGTGTCGTTGTCGAAAGTTTTTGGAGTCGAAGACGAATTGTCATCTGAGACTGGCGGTCGATTTCCATCAAATTTTGTGTATTTTCGAATTTAATTCCTCATCAGTAGTTCCTTTTTTCCATTGAGAAAATTAGCTGTTTCAATTTGACGAATTATCAGACTAATTATGGTCTTGCGAGTCGGAAACGAATTGTCATCTGAGACTAGCTGTGGATTTATAGCAAATTTTTTTTACAGTATCATGGAATTAATATTTTTATCAGGAGTTCCTTTTTTTTTCGTTGAGAAAAAATTCCGGTTCAATTTGACGAATTTTCAGACATAATGAAGGAATAATTTTTCTGTTGTCAAAGTCCTGCGATTTCATTGAAGACTGGTTGTTGATTTCCAGCAAGTTTTGTGTATACTGGAATTTGAATTCGTATCAGTTGTTTTTTTTTTCGCTGAGAAAAAGTGCCGTTTTTTCTGACGAGTTCTCAGCAGAAAAAAAAAACGATTTCATCAGTTCCGAAGAAGGGTTTTTTTGGTGTCAGAAGTTTTGCGAGGAGACAAGAAGTTGGACTGGCTGTCGATTTCCAGCGAAGTTTTGTGCATCTCGGAATTGAAGTTCCCTTCTTTGTCGAAAAAAAGTGCCGTTTTAATCTGACGAATGATGAAGCGAAACGAAGAAAGGAGTTTTTGTTGTCAAAGTTATTGCGAGTCGGAAACGAATTGTCATTTGAGACTGGCTGTCGATTTCCAGCTAATTTTGTGTATCTTGGAATTTAAATTTCTTATTGAGAGTTTTTATTTTTCATCGATAAAAATTGCCATTCGATAAAAATTATTTCTTGATTATTTTTGAAAATTCGTCAAATTAAAACGGCATTTTTTATCAATGAAAAAAAATGAACTGCTGATGAGGATATTAATTCTATGATGCAAAAAAATTTGATATAAATCCACAGCTTGTCTCAGATGACGATTCGTTTCCGACTCGCAAGACCTTAACGACAACAAAAAATCCCCTTTCTTCGTTTTGTCTGATAATTCGTCAGATTAAAAAAAGCTATTTTTCTGAATGAAAAAAAAAGAGTAACTTCTGATGAGGATGTAAATTTGAAGATACACTCAGGAATTCTCGGACAAAAGGAAAAAAAGGGTCATTGAAGACTGGCTGTCAATTTCCGGCTAGTTTTGTGTATCTGGGAATTTATATGCGTATCAGAAGTTCTTTTTATCGTTCAGAAAAGGAGCCTTTTTTATCTGACGAATCCTCAGGCAAAATCGAAGAAATGATTTTTCTGTTGTTTTCGAAGTCCTGCGAGTCGACAAAGAACTGTCATTGAAGACTGGCTGCCGATGTCCAGTTAATTTTGTGTATCTCGGAATTGAACTTTAGTTTCGGGAATTCTTTTTTTTTTGTTGTTGTTGAAGAAAATTGCCGTTTTTATTCGATGAATCCTCAGACCAAAGTAAGAAAGATATGTTTTTTGTTGTCGGAGTCCTGCGAGCCAACTACGAATGCTCATTGAAAGCTGACTGTCCATTTCTAGCAAGTTGTGTGCATCAAGGAATTCATATCTAATCTGGAAAGGGTGGAGATATGATGCATTGAGAAATGATATTTAAACAAAATTTGATCGCTTAATTTGAGCATCGGGAATAACTTGACCAGAATTGCAAAGGTTTCCTTTTTCTTTCGAGGATCCTGTTGATTCTTGTTGAAATTTTCTGCTCGAGATTCAAACAGGCTTTTCAATCAACGTCCAGTTGAACCGTATCACAAGTTCCTTTTTTCGACTGTCTTCATCAATAAAAATATCCAACATGATTTTCATCCGAAAATTTAAAAACTAAACGATAAAAGCTATTGTCGAAAGTTTAGATGCTGATTCTGATTTCTCAGTAATTTTTTACTTGGAGTAATCCCATGTTGTGACGGGGAGATGATTCCGGAAGTTCCGGTGAGCGCGTGCGCTGTTCATTTCAGAGAACTTTTGTAATGTACTGAACATGGTCAGAAAGTAACTTGTTTCACGTGTTCCTGTGGGTTTCAAGGGATGAAATTTCTCGTAAGAATTAATGATGCCTTGCTGGAAAGCAATCAGTCATGTTTCAACCTGACTTTGATGATGACTTGCAGTCGATTCGCAGGCTTTTTTTTAATTATTGAGAAATACTTTGAACCCTTTTTTTTTGTGCGGAGGCTTGTGCGATTTTTTGATGAGACATGGTTTTGAACTGTGCTAGACATTGAATGGAAAGAATGGCATTTAATATTCCTCTCGTGTGTGTGTTTCTCTGACGCTCCGCAAACTGAACTTTCTCGTCGCTATGCACCGAACGTTCTATGTGCTCGAGTTGTTCCTGACCTTCCTGCTCTTCTTCCGGTTGATGTAGTTCACTCACACACCATGTGTATTCGGATTGTCTCTTTTTGTTGTTATGGTTGTTGTAGGGAATTCAGTCACCCTCGTTTGCCTTTTTTGCTCGACGCTGTCTTTTTGAATGTGACGAGCAGAGAATCGGATGTTTTGGCATTTTTGGAGGGGAAAGGAAATTGTGTTGGACTCCACTCACTGTTGCTAATGAGAAGTGTGACGAGTGAACTAATTTCCGACACACACTGACGCTTTTTGTGCATTTGAAATCGACTTGGATTTTCGAGTCGATTGAAGGCCAATATTTGAAGTCATTCATGAAAAAAAATATCCTTTCGCTAAATTTAGTCGTACTCCGGGATTGAAGTTGATTGCAATCAAGTATCCGTTAAAATGTTATGTACCAAAAAAAAGTTCCGAGTCGAAGTACGAGTGCAGTACTGTATGTCCTACGCAAAGAAAAGTAAAATCCTTTTCGCTTGTTTTTTCGTCGCATGAGATTACGAAAATCACGATTTTTCTTGTCCCGCGTTTTGATGAGTTCACCAAGAAAAATTAGCCATTTTGAATTGTTATTGCATGAAATTAAAACCTGAAGAATATCTTCGAGGTAAAGTACTGAATCCTCCCGAGCACGTACACTTCTAAGTTTGTTGCGTTCATAGGAAGTACAGTATGTTGTAGTGCAATAGTGTTATTGACGTTTATTCTTCTGTTTCCTGGGAGAAGACGGAGAACATTTTTTATTCCTTGCTGTTGGATTTATGTCCGTCTTCAGCGACTCGTTGATTATTCTCTTTTCTATCACATAGGTGTCGCTTGAACCTTCATGGGATTTTCTGACTCGAATTTAAAAGTGTATCTGAACCTCGAATAGCTCCCTGTGTTGAATTTGTTTTTCTGAATTCCCTTGGAAACAATGCATTGAATGAACTCAAAGGCTTTCCTCTCAAACCTCTGTAATTTTCTGTGGATATTATTTTGTAGATACAGGGATTGGAAAAAGTACAGGGAGACCCCTAGATGCGGACGTAATTGGTGCATCAAGATTGTCCCCAAGTTGAAATGTCCTTAAGTCAAGTCTCATTTTGCCTTAGACTTACATTATACACTTTTTAATTGGTGTTTTATGTGAAAAATATACCCACCATAATTCCATAAAAATAAAAATTGTCTCCCAATTTGAACTGATTTCAATCAATGTATTTCAACAGAATATGGACATTTTAGGAATTGAATACTGATACCTCTGTACAGTACGTAGAAATGTTGGCATTCCCTGTAAAAATAGCGTTCAAGTGAAAAAGAGAGAAGGAAGTCCCTCTATGCTGGAGGTAATTTTTTGAAATCAGCTAAATGGATGGTAAAATTGGTGAGAGAAATGCCCAAGAACTTTTCTTACGTCAATTTTAGGGTTGGAAATATCTGTTCCTTGTAATTTGGCCTGAAACTTATTTGCAATTTTATCACAAAATGTCCCAATGTTGTGTCAGTGTCTGCATGTGTGGCCTTTTTTATTGATTTGTAATGGGAAAATAAGTGTACCTATGTTGAATTGTCTGCAGGTTGAGGTGTCCGCATGTGCTGGTCTCACTGTAAATTGATGAATTTTGAGATAATGTGAAAGACTAATTGCGCCAAGTTCAGCATTCTGTCAACTCATTTAAGAAGCAATGCAAGGTCCAGAATATCACCAATTACAATTTTTTTTGTAATTCTTCTTTCAAAAATGCTCGTTTTCAAACTCAAAACCTCTGCAACTTGATTTATATTTTTCTGGTCCGATGAAGTCAGACTTGATGAGGTTTGACGTAGTTTTTTTTTTTAGCAGTTTTTCAAATAATTTTGTGCATTGAAGCCAACATTGTGAATTTATGCTTTTTGTATGTTATTCCAGACACGCGCTGAGAGAATACAAGATCCACAAGAGCCTGGAGCACCCGAGGATCGTGCGATTGTACGACGTTTTTGAAATCGACGCCAACTCATTTTGCACAGTACTCGAGTACTGTGACGGCCACGATCTCGATTTCTACCTCAAACAGCATAAAACGATTTGCGAGCGAGAAGCTCGGTCCATCATCATGCAAGTCGCTTCTGCCTTGCGATACTTGAACCAAATCAAACCGCCTGTGATTCACTATGACTTGAAACCCGGTGAGTTTTCATTCGTCTCAATTTGCAAATTAATGTGGTGATTTGCATTGTTGCGTTTTGACTACGGTAAAAACTGTCCTGTGTTGGTGCCTGGTGTAGGTAATAATGGGACCCAACAAAGGGCCATATTCTCATTTTGATATATTTTAGGGTGTCCCAAAACACGTTACAAATGCAGTAACATCTCATTACAACAAACTCCCGGGGACCTGAACAAAAACATTTTCAAAAAAAAAAAAATGCATTGTACTGTATCAAGATTAATGGTTTTTAACACATTTCAGGCTGCAATTTTACTGGAAATGAGGAATATTTACTTTGAAATGTTTCTAAAACAGATAAGTCAAGACATAGCATAATTAATGAGTACTTTTGATGAACTGAAGAGAAATCCCTCAATGTGAATAGAACTCTCCTTTGAATGAACTAACATTTGTACTAAATTATTGCTTCCCTTCAAATATAAAATAAAATGAAACCAAATAACATATGGTAAAAATACTGCACTTTCTTCTCAATCAGCTTATTCACTCATAGCTCTTTCAAACATAGAGGAACATTCTTCTTACATACTGCTTATTTGAAAAAGGCATTCATTCTAAAATAAATGAGCTAAAGAATTTCCAAAAATATGTCCTGTTGTGTTTTTTTGGACACCAAGTTTTCTTTGCATAAAGATTTCTTTTTTCATGAAGTTTAATGCTACATATTTTAATGTTTTCTGTATTTATGGACATTTATTGAGTAATCCCTGTATGGGCTATGCACAGAATCATGCCAAAAATGTGTTATAATGAGATTTTTATGACATTATGCCTATGGGAAACTGCCAAGACCAAGAAAAAAAGCACTGTAATGAAAACATTGTTATAATAAGATTTGTTGTAACAAAGTCCTACTGTACACGGGTACTTGTGTATGATTTTCCAGGCACACAGTACTTTCACAAGGCTGGTTAGCAACTAGGCTACTCAATGTACCCAGTCATCTCAGTGTGTAGGGTCACCGGCTTTTTTTACCTTTTGGCTGCCCTGGTTCCATTCTCTGTCCTGACCAGTTATGAACCTCCTGTGCCTGTCCAAGTCTACAATGTAGTGTCCACTCTCTCCTTTACTTGCTCATTGTTGGTCTGGTATTTGTTGCAGCCTGTTGTGTCAGGGAAATCTACTCACTTGCACCACCTTGCATTAGTAAGAGGAGTCCATTCATTTGTAAAGCCCTGGCCATGAGAACAAAAACCTTCTTGTGACTGTTTAACCTGAAGGATGTACTGTATTTCAAAGCAAAATAAGGATTTGATAGCAGAAGAGACTAAATTGGTACTTTCCTGTTATCTCAGTACCTACTTTCCGTGCACCTACCAGAAACTGTGAATTTCATTTTTCCGCATTCTGCTGAAACTGATTTTGGGAGGGGGTTAGGTAAAGTTAGGTTAGGTCAGGTTATGTTGGTTACAAATATTTTTCAATTAGCATAACCTGACCTAACCTAACATAACATAACATAACATAACATAACATAACAAATGCTGAATTCACGAGACAAAGAAAAATGGGTACTGAGATAACAGGAAAGTACCAAGAGACGTTGGAAGCAAACAGATCTTTTTTTGGTAAAAACGTTGACGACTTTGGATAACAAGATGATAGAGTTCCCCTTTTCTAATCCATTTGAAATTCACAATTTTGTACCAAAAAGCCGGAAAAATGTGCAGTTTTCAAGGGTTGTTGTGGTCTTTCTTTTTGTGAGTGTCTGGAAAGAAGCAAATTCATTGTTTGAACATTTTGCACGATGCAACGCATTCTGGAAAGGATTGGTTTTGTTTTTGCTGGGACTGACTGTGTACTGTGCAATAATGTCACACGTGTGTGTCGAAACGATTGATTCATGCTGTGTGTGTTGGGGTGTTGCAGGGAACATTCTCATGACCGAGGAAGCTTGTGGTGAGATTAAGATCACGGATTTCGGGCTGAGTAAGATCATGGACGAGGAGAATTATAATCCGGATCACGGGATGGACCTGACTTCACAGGGCGCAGGAACGTATTGGTTAGTACTCTGCAGTTACTCATGCCCGAGGTTCAGCGGGATTAAAAAGTACTGTACCTGTACTGTAATTCTTAAGTGCAGAGGTTCTCAAGTTTTTTTTTTTTTGACTCGAGGAGCAAGTTTTCTAGAAAAATTGGTGATTGCATTTGCGATGCCGCGAAGACAATTATTTTTTGAAGTCCTTGTCTGTATTTATTTGCATGGAAGGAATTTCCGATTTTTGTGTGCCGTACTTTTATAGCTTATTATCGTATCGACTCGATTACTCCAGCATCAATGGCACAATTTTCCTTTTTTTTAAAACGAAGCTATGAATTTTATGGCATTTTTTGGAGTGCGAAAATTCTTTGAAGTTCAAAGAAGTGATGTTTTAAAAAACTAGATTGATTACTGTGCTGTATTTAGATTTTAGAGTCAACTTGAAGTCGCAGATGCAAACGAGAAACGAAAACGAATGCAGCTTAGATTTATTTCGAATTGAATTAGTATAAACTTCAAATTTTAGCATTCTTTTCCCGACATGAATTGAATTTTATGTCCCAGAGAAAATAGTTGCTCGTTTACCGCGGGAAATCGATTTTTTTCTTTCAAGATTGTAATCGCGCAAAAAAAAAAAGACTTCCCTCCGTTTGAAAATGGCACTTGATCGCAATTTGGTTTCGCATGATTTAATGTTTAATTTTCCTGTTCCGGTCGAGAACTCGGAATGAAATTCATGCCGAAATATGGTAAATTTACGGGAATAATTTATTGTATTTGCGGTTTTTGTTTTGTTCGGTAAATGGAAGCCGAACCGGGGAAAATTTAGTACTGTACTTAACTAATCCCTTTCGTAGACTGCTTTGTTTCTTTGTAAAAAAAAAAAAAGCTGGGTACAGTTAATCTCGAGTTTAATACTGTAGCGTATAGAAGGGATGATTTTTGAGGTTTTCATGGAATTTATCGTCCTTTTCAGGTACCTTCCGCCCGAGTGTTTCGTTGTTGGCAAGAATCCTCCGAAAATATCGTCGAAAGTCGATGTGTGGAGCGTCGGTGTGATCTTCTATCAGTGTCTGTATGGGAAGAAGGTGAGATTCTTCTTGTTCTTCACTGTATAGAATTGGTTTTTTGTTTTTTCAGGCAAAACAGAAATTTTTACTCGCGCGACCCTCGGCAATTTACAGTGAGACCCCGAGATGCGGACGTAATTGGTGCATCAAGACTGTCCTGATGTCGGAATGTCCTTGAGTCTAGTCTCATTTGCCCTTGGACTTCAATGCTGATTAATTTAATTTTTTATATACTTTTTGTTGAAAATTTGAAATACTGTACGTCCTCAAAAAATACAGTGAGACTTCGAGATGCGGACATAATTGGTGCATCAAGAGTGTCCCAAAGTCGAGTCTCATTTTCCCTTGGACTTACATTATATAATTTTTAATTGGTGTTCTATGCACAAAATACTCACAATAATTCCATGAATATAAAAATTGTCTCCCAATTTAAACTGATTCCAATCAATATATTTCAACAAAATAAGGGCATTTGGACAATTGAATACTGATACCTCTGTATACAGTACATAGAAATGTTGGCATTCTCTGTAAAATTAACATTCAAGTGAAAAAGAGAGAAGGAGGTCCCTCTATGCTGGAGGTAATTTTTTAAAATTAGCTAAATGGGTGGTGCCTATTATATTAATTTTTTATTAGAAAATAATTGTCCCTATGTTGAATTGTCTCCATGTGGAGGTGTCCACATGTGGGGGTCTCACTGAAAAAAAAAATTGTTTCCCTCAACTTGAAGTTGTAGAAAACAACAGTGCAAAATTAAACCAGGTGGAATCTGATATTTTGGTATCAACAGGAGATCAAAAAGCAAAGAAAAGAACACTTCTTGCTAGAATATGCACAGATGATGGAAAGAAAACTCTGAAAAAAAGGAACACAAAAAGAGTTTGCTTTTGACTATGAATTAGAGTGAATTTATCATTAAAAGTTTTTGTGAATGTAAATACAGTGTCTTGATTTCTTCAAAAGATGTAAAAATTTAAAAATTGAATGTGTTGATTTTATAGATAATTTCAGAAAAGTGTCCCTAACCCGAGCCAATGTCGGGCCTGATCTTTTTTTGTTTTCAAGTGTCCCTAAGTCGAATTGTCCGCATATCGGGGACTCACTGTATTTTGACAAATAAATCGTCCTGAATGTTGCGGACATTGGAAACCCCGTTGAAACGCTATGAAAATTCGAACATGCTCCTGTCTATTAAATTTTGTTGCTGATGCAGTGAATAATTTACCTAAGTGATTCAAGTTTCTGCGAGAGGTCTCCGTTTGATATTTTTGAAAAACGTGAAGATGACATAATGTACTTCTTGGGAACATCAGCTAGATATAATTTACGTATCCCCGTGAAATTCGGCTTGTTTTCTGAGAAGAAAGAAATAAATTTTTGTTGAACTTTCAACCCTGATAAAGTACCGCCAACCACACGAATAGATGGTGGCATCTTTATCGAGGTTTTGACTGTATGTCCAAAATATTGTGACCCGACTCGTGGAACCTTTTCTCGAGCCCCTTTTTTTTGTGGCAATTCATTTTCAAGATCTTTACCTTGATTTTCAAAACTTGATTTTTTTCCAGGATTTTATTCGGTGTGGCTTTTACTTTTTATATTATTTTTGAGACAAAATGACGATGGCTCGAACTTTTTCGTCGCGTTTATTTTTTCTAATATCATAATTACTTCGGCATACTTCTGCATTAGTTTTTTTTTTCAAACAGCCGTTGTGCGCTTGGGAACTTCGTTCATCTCTTCTCATCACTGTGAATATTGATTTTAATATTATTTAATAACCCTTCCCTTTTTTTCGAATGTTGTTTAGCCATTTGGACATAACCAGAGTCAGGCGACAATCTTGGAGCAGAATACAATCTTGAAAGCCACCGAGGTGCAGTTTCCTTCACGGCCTGCTGTTTCCTCAGAGGCCAAGGTGAGAAGAGACGGTCGTTGGATTTCTTTTTTTCTCTGGGTCTTTTATTTTTTGACAATTTGTGTTGTTTTCCGCGTGAGGATATACGAGGGTTGTCCCACTTGGACGCGACCTTGGTTATTTCTAGACTTGGGATGACTGTAAAGAAATATTATGGTATATCTCGTGATGTTCTGGGATTTTTTTTTTTTGGATTGAAAAATATCCAGTGAGACCCACAGATGTGGACATAATTGGTGCATCAAGAGTGTCCCTTAGTTGAGTCTTGTTTTTCCCGTGGACTTACATTATATAATTTTTATTTGGTGTTTTATAGAAGAAATATTCTTCAGAATTTGATGGAAAAAAAACTTTTTGCCCCTGGAATTTAATTCAGTGAATATCTTTTCAACCCAATAAGAACATTTGGAGCATTGAATAGTATACCATTGTACATTTCATTGATATCTTGACATCTGTAAAAATAAGATTCAAGTTACAAAAGAGAGAAGGAAGTCCCTCTGTGCTATAGGTAATTTTTTTAATTAGCTGAATGGGTGGGAAAGTGATGGGAAAAGTACCAAAAAATTGTTCTTGCATAGCTCTGAGGGTTGGAAATATCTGTTTCTTACAATTAAGCCTAATAAAAGTCAATTTTACCACGTTTTTATGAACTCACTTTCTTGTCTGTCTGTTTGTCCGGATCAAATTTTGAAACTCAAATTTCACTCACTTCCCGACTAGCTATCAAGCTGAAACTTTCAGGATAGCCTAGAAACTGATGACAATGCAATCTTATGTGAAAAAATTAATTTTAAGAATATTTTTTAAAAAGAATAAAATAATTATAGTAGATTTCTATAATAAAACTTTGAGCAGGTTTTCCTTGGCCCCAAGAAAAAAACCCATGGTGAACTGAATTGGTCGCAGAGGTCCGAGTTCAATCCCACCCCCTGGAACATTTTTTTTTCTAATTAATTAACACGTTTTTATTAACTCACTTTCTTGTCTGTTTGTTTGTCCAGATCAAATTTTGAAACTCAAATTTCACTCACTTCCCGACTAGCTATCAAGCTGAAACTTTCAGGATAGCCTAGAAACTGATGACAATGCAATCTTTTGTGAAAAAATTAATTTTAAGAATATTTTTTAAAAAGAATAAAATAATTATAGTAGATTTCTATAATAAAACTTTGAGCAGGTTTTCCTTGGCCCCAAGAAAAAAACCCATGGTGAACTGAATTGGTCGCAGAGGTCCGAGTTCAATCCCACCCCCTGGAACATTTTTTTTTCTAATTAATTAACACGTTTTTATTAACTCACTTTCTTGTCTGTTTGTTTGTCCGGATCAAATTTTGAAACTCAAATTTCACTCACTTCCAGACTAGCTAGCAAGCTGAAACTTTCAGGATAGCTTAGAAACTGATGACAATGCAATCTTTTGTGAAAAAATTAATTTTAAGAATATTTTTTAAAAAGAATAAAATAATTTTAGTAGATTTCTATAATAAAACTTTGAGCAGGTTTTCCTTGGCCCCAAGAAAAAAACCCATGGTGAACTGAATTGGTCGCAGAGGTCCGAGTTCAATCCCACCCCCTGGAACATTTTTTTTCTGATTAATTATTTCCATATGGTGTTGCATTAATGAATTGAATTTGCATTGAATCAAAGGGTTTTCTTATCACCTTTCACCTGAATTTGTAATGATTTTAGTACACATTTCAATAATCAGACAGTATTTAGTCAAATATTTCTGTTGGAAAAATATTTCCTGTGCAGATAGTCTGTTCTGGTTGATGATTGTTTGTAAACTCCTGGAATTTTCATTTGAAATTTGAATGAAAACGATTTTTATCACATTAAAATTTTGATTTTCGTCAAAATAATGATGACAACGAAAAATCCTCTGAATAAGGTATTTTGATAAGTAGAAAGTTGTTGCTCTGAATTTTTTCTGGAGATTTTCACTTTATGTTGAAAGAGAATCACTTTTTTTTTCTCTTTTGACCTAAACCGTGATGCTGTAAAAATTGAATCATTTGAATTTGAAATTTCTTGCGAAAAAGCCAAGAGTTTGTCTGACTTATTTTTTTCTTTGATTCTAGAAAGATTTTAACAACCGTGAAACGGAGTCTTTATTTCAAAATGACACACAAAAACACACATTTTGTACGAATAATCAGAGCTTGTATATATACATCAGATCAGTTATTGTGTCGTGTTTCATGGATTGAAATGTAACATGGACGAAGTTGTCATTCGAAGACGTCTCTAATATCATGACATGCTTATATTTTATGGAGTCGGAATTTTTTTCGTATTACACGCATTAATGCTTTTTCTTTTTGCTTCTCAAAATTTAAGATCAAAGTAAAATGCGAGGCTTTTTTCCCCGCAAAAAATTACTTCTCCGAGATCACGTGGATAAAATGACTCTCGCCAGCTAATGTTTATCCTTCATTAGAACTCCAAATAACGGTACTTTTCTTTGTAAAGAATTCCGAATGAAGCATGAAGTACAATTTATGTGGCAGAGATTTTATTATGTTATTATCTTGGATGAGATATATTTCAGAATGAATCGTTTGCAACAAAATGCGCATTTTCAAGCGGGGCTTTTCATTTCTTCACTCATGAATATTTCTTCAGATCTTCAATTTCTTTCTCAATTTTTTTTCATGGAGGCCAGAAAGGTATAGTTCTAAGTATTCTTCCAGGTTTTATAATTATTTGTAGTTGATAACAAAAATTAAACAGTAAATAGACATGCTCATAAAGTGAGTTTTGACAATCACAAAAGCTGGATTCTAATACAGTACTTGTTTCCACATCCAGAAATGTTCTCTCAATTATGTCAGAATTTGGACAGTGGCAGAGGCTTTGATTTGGCCCCTGATGTTGCATAAACAAAAAGTCTCACTACAACCATAAGAAGTTTACTGAAATACTGTACAGTAACAAGAATGTCTGAAATGTGTGTAATTACTGCAGCATGAATCAATTGGTTACTCCATCACCAGTACACCTTATTTCCTCATGCCCAAAATTCCTCACAATAGGAATTTAACTTTCAAAAGACTTGGGATTCTCATGACTTCATAAAAAAGGTACTTCTCCAAATCACAGATAGGACCAGGATAATAAGGCATAAGCTTGATACTACATTTCTCCTAAAAGATCCTGTTCAATTCTTTAATCAGTCAAAAATCATCAGGGAGCAAGTTGAACAACTTGTGCTGTAATTTGTGCTCAGGAACTGCCTCATTGTGCATTGATTTTTTTCATTTACCAAAAAAGATGGCAATTCATCATCCATCCATTTTTATGTACTGTGATGTATTTTCTTGTGAAACCCTCAATGTAAAGTGAATTATTTTTTTTTAATATGTCAGATTGTGTTGAATGAATGTGTGCGGGGTAAATAAAACTTTGTGATCCTTGTATATCAATCAATCAAGGGCCCTCCATTTGTAGTAACCTGGTTATAGTGGATTTGTAGAAGGGTCCCAAGAAGGTTGTCATGACAAAGCATTATATACAGTAATCATATACCTCTAAGTCAAATTTCAAGTAACCATAGGAAAAATGAGTTGGGGAGGTTTCGAGTTGAGAAAAGATGCATTTTTGTCCAGTTAAATATCAAAGAATTGCAGAAAGTTGTAAATGGTGATATTTTGGGTCTTGAATTGCTTTTTGAATGAGTTGACAGGAGGCTGAACTTGGAGGCAAGGGTTCATTTGATGAGTTTGTCTTTCACTTTCTCTCAAATTACATCAAATTACAGTCAACCCCCATCTAACATACCTCCCACCTAACAGATTTTCATCTAAGATACCACCTCTAGAGGCAGTTTTTCATTGTGCATAACATGCCCAATCCATCTGATGTATTTCAGTCAAATTAAATTGTTTAGCATGTAAACGTATAGGAAGAGCAAATTTGTTGAATGTTTTTTTGTCTAACATGCTTATATCCATTGCACAAATTAAGTACATTGGATGGAGGTTGACTGTACTTTTTTTTAACTTTTACCTCACCTGTTTCAAGCAAACAATATAGCCAAAAGGGCTTATAATATTAAAATTGGGGAGGTTTGAGAGGGAAAGCCTTCAATTCATAGAGGTCTTTTTTACTTTTTAATGGATTGTTTCCAAGAGAAATCAGACAGGGACTTTAAAAAATCAACTTTTTGGGAGGTATTACAACTCAAGGGGGTTTGAGTCCAACTCAAGGTCCAACTGTACACACAAATGGAATTCACACCTGTGAATCATGAATGAATGAATGAACAGAACACTTCATTTGCCGCTTTTCAGCGTTCACAATGGTTCAATCAAGATTTCCACAACCAAACCCCCTTCCCACCCAACCCAAATCCACTCGATGACATTTAATCACTTCAGAGCAGGGAGTGATTAAATCATCATTCACAATATTTTTGCATGAATCATCATTCACAATATTGTTTTTCTTTCCCTTTTCCATCCACACAGGAAATACTGTTTAGAGTATACATAGATACCCGACCCCCGGAACCCAGTGCAGTAGTAGTGCCCATCATCAGCACCCATCATGCGTTCCAGAAAAGTGTCCTTTTCCGAAGAGGACCAACCGGAAGTGAACCTCAAGCCAGATGCCATGACCACCACCACCACAACCACAACCACGACCAATAACAGTACCCCATTGGACAGGGTTCGAACCCGTGGCAGCTGTGACAGTCTCAGTAGCTCCGGAACCGACGCCGATGTCGCATTGTCCATGTGCCACGATGACGAAGACGATGACGAGGATGAGGATGAAGAGATGAGACACGGGACAGGGGTTCCGAGTCGCCCTCCGACGCCGCCAGATGGCGGGTGGGGATGGGTTGTCGTCCTGGCTTCTTTCATGATCCACATCGTCAGTGAGTTGCTCGTTTTTTTTTTTTTTTTTTTTTTTTCTTCTTCTTTNTTTTTTTTTTTTTTTTTTTTTGTTCCTCCTCCATTCTCAGGATTACAGAGTTTTCATGACTAAAATTAGGGAGGGGGGAGGGGCAACATGACTGATGAACATTTCAAAGTACAGTGAATTTTCGTTAGAACGAAACCATTAAACCATTGGGACCAGGAAAATTGCACCATTGTAAAAAAAAAAAATATTTCAAAAAATAACTCAACATTGAGGCTATTGCTGGTCAGGGATCTGAAAATCCACTTTGTTTTAATCAATTATTTTTAAATGATATTTGCTGTAATAAGATTCTACATGGTAATAATGCAAAGTCTGTAATGGATACATTTGGACAGTGTCTCAAGAAATGCAGAAAAATCTCATTAAAACAAATACCATTACAGCCAATCATCCCGCATAACAAACTTTTTTACAAGTCCCAGCAGAAATCCAATAGGGTGTATACATGCTATAAAAATGTTGTCACAACGAATTCTCAAATTCCAGTATAAAAAACTTTTTTGAGGGACATTTTGTGATTCTCCTAATGAAAAATCCCCAATGAAGGCTGGCTCAGTCTCCAATTTCTCATTCTAAATATAACTGACTCAATATTGGGACATAAATGTAAGGTGGAATCAAGGCCACAATTTTTTGAATTCATCTAAACACCCTCTCTTTCAAATTTTTTTCATGGGTAAAGAAAAATGGGGGGTTTGAGAGAAAAGAGTACCCAAAAACTTAATTTGAGAAGGGGTTTTTGATGCTTTTGAAACCCTATACTGATGCTTAAAAACTATAAGCTCTTTTGGAGCACTTCTTGTGAATCTGAACAGGAATTGCTGCTTAGAAAAACTTGAACTTGGCAAATTGCTAGAGCTTACCTGTTATTTGGAGTAAAAATTCTTATTGCCATTTGAATTTTTTTGAAGATCAGGTTTTGAAACATGGCTAACCATCTGAAAATACCACAGAAAAAAAGTTTTGAATATATGCATGCACGTTTTATTTAAAAAATCTTCCCAGCAATAACTATTTTTTGAAGTCTTGTTATAACAAATTATTCATTACAGCAATCTTTTCCTGAGGTCCACACCAGTTTGTTGTAATGAGATTTTACTGTATACACTCAGTCACAATTTTCACAGAAATTGAAAATATGATTTTTCAGACTTGTACTTGACAAAAGGGGCCCTGAGATGCAGTCTTGATTAGTTTTTTGATCTTGTCCCTATGTTGGAGCATCCAAATTTTGAATCACATTTTCCCACAGAATTCAAAGGAAAAATGTTTAATTGGTTCTCCTGTTCATAATAAATTAGGAATAAGTGCTCCAAAAAATTAATATGAAATCTCTCAAGTTCAAGACACAGAAAATGAATATGCTGATAAAACCACACAGAATCTGATCTTTTGGCTCAAAGAAGAGCTCAAGATCAAAGAACAAGTCTAGCAAGTCTTGTACTATCATGCACAAAGATGATAAAAACCTCTCTAAACAAAAGAACAAAATTATTGTTTTTTCAATATGAATTAGAGAAATTTTATATTAAATATTTTTTTTGGTTTGTGAACATTTGTAGCTTCATTTGCTCAAAAGATATCAACATTTTGAAGGTTAATTTTTTCCAGAAATGGGTGTAAGTGTCCATATCTTGAGACATTGTCTCACTAATGTTGTGCAGATTGTTTGTTCTCATGTGTCCCTAAGTTGAATCATCCAAATTTCAGCGTTCCACCGAAACGTTCAAGAAGGTTTTCAAAATCGTTTCAAGTTGACAAATTTGTCTCGATTTTTGTTATTCATTTGTAGAGCTGAACTGTGACCAAATACCAGCTCAGTTTTTTGAGATACGTGACCCCATAAAGATCCATCTTCTTTTACAGCATTTTGTTTATAATTTTTGAAGATTTTTTTCTGGAATTTATTTACTGGAATTCAAGTATACTGCATTTTGAAAACATGAAAAAATCTCAAAAAATGTCGATGGAAATCGTCAACATTACGTCGACAGAGACAAACCCCAAGATGAGCAGTTTATTTACCGTCAGACGACGAAGCGTTAATTGAATGAAACCATGTCTCGTCGAATTTAAAGCAATTATCTTTTCATTTAATTTCTTCATGAAGGAGACTAAAAATGTCCTGAATGTACTCGCTAAAGACAATTTGTTTTTGAAAATTCTCATTTGTTTTGACAAATTTTACAAAAGCAATAAAATTGAATTTTGAGGAAAGTGGTATATATGAAGTCCACAAAATAAAATTCAGATTTTTGGGGCAGTGATTTATATTTTGTTATATCACAAAAATGAAAACCTTTATCGCCCTATTTTTGGAATATGGATGAAAAGTGAAACAAAGGAGAATCCAAATAAATTTGAATAAATAAATTCAAACTAAAAGTTCCGGCTTCATAATTTGTGGGAAAAAGATTTACTGTGATTTTATTTTCATACATTTATAAAATGTAAAACTTTGCTCCACCTTTTTGGAACAATAAATGCAGGACTAAACAGGGAAGAATCCGATTAAATTGGAATAAATTAAATCGAAATCAAACTCCTGTCTTCCAAGATTTTATCATAAATTTTCAGTAATTTGTTTTCCATTTAACCATAAAATCCAAGACTTTGCTCCGCCTTTTTTTGGAATATACTGTAAATGAATGGTGAAACAGGGGAGAATTTGATTAAATTTGAATAAATAAATTCAACCTAACACTTCTGGCTTCATAATTTTTTGGGAGGATGTAATTTAGTTTTTCATGGAATCGCAAAATTCAAAGTCTTGCTTGATATTTTTCGGCATAAATAGATGATGAAAAAGGAAAATTCTGGCCAAATGGAATAAAAAATATTCAACTTGAAAGTTCCGGCTTCATTATTTTTGGGAGGATATCAACCGTATAATTTATTTTTTCATGGAATCAAATAATTTCAAACCCCTGCTTATCGCCCTTTTGGTACATAAATGAATGACAAAACCGGGTAAAAATCCGATTAAATTGGAAGGAATAAATTCAACCAAAAAGTCCAGGTCTGGTATAATTTTTAAGGATTCCAAGGCTGTTTGAATTTTAAGGAGGGAAAAAGATCAGAAAAAAAAGAAAACCAAAGGTTAGTGTGATGAACAAGTTTTTAAAAGCAAGGCCAAGAAGTTCAAAGCATCTTGTAAAACACGTGCCCTCAGGGACATTTTTGTCTCGCATTTCGTGTTTCTGTGACATGAGATCCATCACCAGGAAATCAACCTCAAGATGAGCAAGTAAAAACAAAATAAAATAAAAATAAGGATCATGGCTTGAAGAGTGACACCTAACACGACAATATTTTCACAAAATAATGGGCCTTGATTCTTGCTCAATCAGAGTACTTGTACTAACTTGAATCCCCGCAGTACTTTTTTTCAATTAATGACCAATTACCAGCAGTTCAGTACTCTCTGATGCTGTGTGGAATCACACTTCCGCGTGTTGATGCAATAATACAACTGATGGGATCCTGAGTCGATTTGATTCGGCTGATTAATTCGATTCTTTTGACATTTTTTGCTTATTTTTTGTTTGCAGCTGATGGAGTGACGTACACATTTGGCAATTTCTTTCCTGAGTTCCTGCGAGAATTCAAAAACAGCAGGTCTAATACTTCCTGGATTATCTCTATTCTTGCTGGAGTCACTTTGGGCTCAGGTGAGAACATTTTTTTTCAGAATTTAAATATTCTTATATTGCATGTGGTAACAAATTTCAAGAATAATTTGAATTAATTTTCAGATGATTTCAGGACCATTTGAATCTGGTACTGTATATTGAAAATTTGGGAATTACATTTATTTCCCATACCAATAATGTACAGTCAACCCCCGTCTAATGGACTTGATTTGTGCAAGGGACGAGTATGTTAGACAAAAAGTCCTTTACACAAATACAATTACATAAAAAATTAAAAATTTCAATTTTCAACACTAATTTTAAACCATAAGAAGTCTGTTTGGCGGATTTTGTCTGTTGGGCGGGAGGGAAAACTGCTTGCAGAGCTGGTCTGTTCGGCGAATATCCCTTACACAGGAGGTCTGTTAGGCAGGGCCACTGTACCTCCATTAAACCATAATTTTTGGATCAGTAGCACTTACTCAGTTTCAATTAATTACAGATGAAATTTCATCAAAATAATTTTCCAGGGACTTTAAAAGTGGAATTGCAAACAAAGGGCTCTTTTGTTTTTAAATCATATTTTTACCAGAAGTTGTTCATATTAAACATGTCATACTAAATTTTTTAAAGTAGAATGGAACAGTGAATTTGTCACACTAAAAGTTTCCATTTTCCAGACCAAAATCTTCTACAGCATCACATACTTCTCAAATGAGAAGTACATTTTGATTCAGAATTCTACCCTTCAAGATGATGAGGACAATATTATTGGAGAAAATTTGATGAATCCTCACAACTGTAAATAAGGTGACCATGAAAAATGATCTGAAATCCATGTGCCTTAGTGAATCAGCAGTCAGCCCCTGCAAAATGGACTTAATTTGTGCAACAGACTAGTATGTTGTGTGAAAAGTCTGTTATGCAAATTCAATTATTAAAAAATTTAAATTTTCACTTTTCAACATTTATTTTAAGCCAACACAAGTCTGTCATGCGGATTTACTTCATAATTGCGCAGGAGGAAAAACTACCTCCAGAAGTCCAGAGGCAGTCTGTTGTACAAAAATCCATTGTTTGGGAGGTATGTTTTGCAGGGGTTGACTGTTTTGTAGATTTGCATGGCATGATATGCCAGTTTATGGTCCCTGTGTATAGGGACCATGTGAAAATTTCATTATAATTGATAGTTTTTTACAAGGGAATTTTTTACAGCCAAATTTCACAAACAATTTTATTCAGCTTTGTGTATTTTAAAGTATTGACTGTGACAAAAAGCAAATCCTTAGCTTCCAAGGAAAAGAATTCAGAGAGTTTCCAGTTGCCGCAAAGGTGCATAATTTAACATTCACATTGGTACAATACATTCTATTTTATTTTGAAGTTTCAGTTAAATCATTTTGTTTCCCCCCAGTGTTGAGTTATAGAGGCTAATTGAAATTGACCTTTTTCAGGACCTTTGGTCAGTGCCTTGAGCAACAAGTACAATTGCCAAAGAGTGTGCATGGTGGGTGCCATCTTTGCTTCTGCGTGTCTCTTCGTCAGTTCATATGCTACCAGCATATCAACACTTTATGTGTCCATTGGCCTTGGCACAGGTAAAATATATTCCTTTTCCAGAATGTCACTGAATATTTTTTCTTTGTCTTCAAAATTCATAACTATGGACTTTCTACATCCTCATCATGGTTAACAGTTCCAGCACAAATTAATAGAACAAAGCATATAAGAAATTATTCAAAAATAATTTTTAAATCAGGAAAACTTATTTTTAAATGCACTCAGTCCTGCTTCCACTCTTTTTTTTATTGTACTTGAGTTTGACTGGCATCTCAACAGACACACTCCAATCAGAGTATATACTTCTGCTTGAAAGTGATTTTGATAATACAGAATTGATTTTGAATGTCAATATCATCACTGGCTTTATTGAAAGAAAACATGATTAGATGACCTAAAGAGCCAGGGGATTTTGCCAGTCAATTTATTGAACATTATTTGGGTCATATTACAAAAGATCATTAGTTGATCAATTTAATTCAACAACTCAAACAAAAACAAGTCAACAAGTTTTTTACAGATCCATAAATGAAAATGTTGGCGATTTAATTCAACTCTTTATTAATGCAAAGCTTGAAAAATGTGAGTTTTTGCCCCTTTCAAATCTGATAATATTATCTAAATTCTATTTTCAAGGCCTTGGATTGGGTTTAGTATATCTCCCAGCAATAGTGATGGTGACAACATATTTTGACAAGAGAAGAGCCTTTGCAACTGGGATTGCTGTTTGTGGATCAGGCATGGGAACACTGCTGTTTGCCCCCCTCACAGAACACCTGATTGGCACATATGGTTGGAGATGGGCACTGGCAATAGTAGCTGGCATTGTGCTCTGCTGCATTCTTTTTGCTGCTGTTTTTAGGCCCCTTAGGCATAAAAGTCCAAAACAGAGTGGCACAAAATCAGAAAAACTTCCAGCTGTGGGAGAGGTGACCTCAGAGGTGTGGTTATTTCAATTCTCATAATTTGATTGAACTTTGACTGATGATACATGAATTTATTCATATAGGAACAACAGTTCTTGCAGCCAAATCTTCCAACAATAACTATCCAGAATGTTGAGCAAGATGCAGAACCAAAGGATAGTGCTTATCAAAGTTCAGTGTCAAGCAGTGAAACTGCACCAGATTCTGTTGAGCATGTTGTGCACCCAGTTCAAGTATCTGCTGAGAGTGAGGGAGAAGCTGAAGCTGCACAAAATCAAAATTTGAAAATGCAACCTGCTTGGCAGAAGAACCCCAGACTTCAGCATCTGGACTTGGGATCCCCAAGAAGCAGTGAGCTGGCCAGAAGTTTACCTACACTGGAGGTACGATATACAGTACAGAGGCCCAGCATAAAAAATTCTCACTCAACAAAAAATTCAAATAACGAAAATTCTCAAGAAAAAAGTGTCTTGCAGGAGGAAAATGTTTCAGGCAATACAATTTTGGACGGGATTGAATGTGTTTTCAAGTAGGACTTGAGCAAAATCCTGCTCTGCATAATTTCATCAAAAATAGATTAGTTTTGCAATCCAGGATCCTCCCACACCCTTTTGCATTTAGCATATATAGGCAAAGGTTCCTGGATTCTTTATTCAATTTTCACACAAAACCATGTTACCCAGAACTCAGAAGCCAATGCCCATATGACTAACAAAAGTACCAAGCATCCCTGAGTATTTAGAAAGCAAATTTTTTTCATGTATCACATTCTTCAGGAAGGAGAAGTGGCAGAAGGAGCAAGCTTAGAGATTGCCCTGGTCAGCAATCAGAACCAAATCCAAAACACTACCCATTTCAATGCCAGTGGCAGGAGGAGGGCCAGCAGTGAAGCCCACAATCCAAGATACACTTGTCAACTGGAAACTGACTCTTCAGGAAAAGATCATCTGAGAAGACCCTCACCATCTGCTTTCCATCATGCCTCTGGAAGGAGTTCTTCTAGCCTGGCAACACAAAAGTGACTATCCTTCCATTCATTATAGCATATCTTACAGTAAAGTATAATGCTATAAAGAGGGCAGCATTAGATAGGGCCTCTCTGTCATCCATTTATAATACATCTGTGCCCTGAACATTTTTAAATAAAAATTTGCATTTTGGTTTGGTATGTTTCAGAAACATGGGATTTGCATTGGCAGCATCCAGTATGTTGGCCCTTCAGGTGCGCCAGAACAGCTTGGCACATCTGGCAGAACAAGTTCATCATAGCTACCATAGGCATTCCAGTTTTAGTCATCATCACAGAAGAGGCTCCACCAGACCCAACAGTGCTGCCCACCATGGAACCAGCAAAGATTCCAGGTTGAAAATTATACCAAACATGTATACAGTGTTGGTGCCATTTACTGGAAGTCCATCACTATACCTGATGCACAGTTCATATATGCTGGTTCATACACATTCAACATGAATTGCATAATAAATGTAAAAAAATATTTTGGAAATGTTCACATTTGGGAAACGGTTTTCATGTCCACTAACGCATTGTTAATTTTTGAGGGACATTGTGAACATTTTTCTATGCTTCACATTTATGACAAGCCCCTTGAACAGGAGCTCAACTCAATTTACAATTCTAGTTTCAATTTTCTCATTATAAAAATAATTCAAGCCCACAGAGTTTTCTCCCAATGTGGTTTGAGTTATCTGCAGCAAAATTATCTTCACTAAACGAAGACATTTTTGAAAAAGGTTATACATAAACATCAAATGCACTCTGCTTTTCTGGTTTTAATTTTTTTTAATGTTCATGGTGCTAGAATGAATTCACCATTTGCGAGGTTTCAATTAAATTTAACAAGGAGAATATTTTCGGGGGGAAATTTTATCCAGAGGAACAAGAAGTGCAGAGCCAGTAACAAGAAGACCTCCTTCTCCTGTGCCATTTGTGGATGAACCCAAGCAATTCTGCCAGTTGCCAAGAAGAAAATTAGCAAGCAAACTGATGGGGCTTGTTCCCAATGACTTGCTTCTGGTGCTCTATGAAATGCTCAACTTTTCCATTCTGAAGGACCATGTTTTCTTGTTGTTTGCCAGTGCCAACTTTGTGACCAGTGTTGGCTACATTCTGCCTTATTGCTTCCTCATGGTAAGTAAGAAGTTCTCTTCTTGAAAAGATTTCATATCCTTCCATGAATACATGACATTTAACATCTGATTCCTCAATGTTTGAATGTGTAAAGAAGGATTCTCTGTGATTGAGAAAGTTGGATATGAACCAAGAATCATTATATACAGTATAGATTAAAGTCTTGTTACAACTAATTTCTTTATAAAAATAATTGCTCACAAAAAATGTTCTTTGGGTTTCTGCCCAATATTTTCAGCTGTACTGTCATTCAAATTGTTTACAAGTGGACTCTCTGGTAATCTTGTCTAGAACAATCTTTACAGTTTATAAAAAAAATTCTGGTCCCTCAATTTTCATTATAGAGTGAGCATATCTGTATTATAATTTTTTGTTATACCAAAGCTTTTCCCAGGTCCTAAGTATTTAATTGTAGTAAGGATTCCTATACAGATGAAAAACCTGATTGGTCTCTTTGTAGGATAGAGCAAGTTTGGAACTTGGGATTGATCCACATTCTGCAAGCAAGATCTTGGGTATGATTGGCATGGCAAGTATGGGAGGGAGACTGGTGTTTGGCTTTCTTGCGGACCATGTGTGCTTCAACAGACTCTGGCTGTACTCTGGGTGCATTGTTTGCTGTGGAGTTGGTAAGGTCATGAGCAAATTATCCAAAATTTCTTGGGAAAAAATTCCCACGTCTTTTGTCATATTTCAGCCACCTTCTTCTGCCCTTTGGCAACAGAAGAGTATTCCTTGACCCTCTATGCAATTGTTTTTGGGGCAACCTCAGGGGCATATGTTGGGCTCAGCTCAGTGATCCTAGTGGACCTGATGGCATCTGAGTCCACTGGTGTGGATGATGCCCTGGTGAACGCATTTGGAATTCTATTGCTCTTCCAGGGGGCTGCTACAACAGTTGGACCACCAATTGGAGGTAAAGTGATACTATTGAATGAACACATAGTTCAGCATTCTCCTTGGACAAATATTCAAAAATGTGATCATGTCTTTTTTCTAACTACATCCAAATTCTTGGATGAATTAAATACTGTTCTGTGCTACAATTGGTTAGAAAATTCTGTAACCACATACAGGTACCGTAATTTATGAAGCAGGAGGATTTCCTGCACCATTTCTTCAATCAGAATCCTATAGATTATATAGAACAATGTTGGATCAGATCTTAAGCCAGTCACTATTCATTTTCTGAGGATTTTCTTCAAATACAATACATAGCTGGCCTATATACTCAATTATGTTCTGGCAACCCCCAGTATATCAAGTGTGAGAGCATTTCTTATATAGAAGACATTATTAAAGATAAACTCACTGAGAAGATGTAGTCAACATTTATATTCTGTGTACAAGGGGGGTTTTTTTTTTGGGTCTTACAAGGGAAATTCTATGCTATAAAATTATTGCTACAATGAATTTTTTCTGGTCCCTTGGATTTTGTCGAAGGGAGAGTCCAATTGTGCTGTATTTAGATTTGGTACATTGTCACCATGAGATTATCAAATACAGTACTATATTTTTACTTACTGTAGTTTGTATTATTTGGAGCACCTTCATATAGATCAAGGGCCATTTCAGCTCTATCTGCCTCTCCTCAGCATCTCAATCTTTTTTTTTTCAATACAATTACATGTGGTCAGGAAATAATGAAGGATGACCCTGTGGAACTTACATCCATTAAGTTATTTGAAGAAGAGGAGAATGAGTGACCAACAAAAATATCATGAGTCAATCTGGTAAATGCGATTTGTTCAAAAACAGATCAGCTCCAATCACAGAGCTGAATGGTACTTTAATGGACAATGATGATACCTCAAACCTTCTTAGGTGAAATTCCTCCAGCATCAAATTCATTTGAAATCCCAGCAGCCCAATTTCCATCAATATTCAAAGTTTATTATAGACCTCACTGACTCAAAGAATTCCCTTCAAACCTCTCAAAATCAAAGTTTGAGGATTTTGGGTATCATGTCATTGAAAAAGAAAAGAGAAAAGCAATTGGATGTGTTTTGGAAGGAAATGAAAAACTAATATAGACAAATAAACCCTTGCCCCAAGTTTGGCATTATGTCAACTCACTTCAAGAGCAATTCAAGGCCCGGAATGTCACCAATTTTAACTTTCTTCAGCATCTCTTCTATTTACCTCAGCAAAAATAAACTTGGCTTCCTCAACTAAATCCCTCCCAAGTTAAAATGTTTGCTGGTTTCTTGAAGTTCCATTTGAAGAGGTTCAACTGTTATTAATACAGTACTATAATTCTGTTTCAGGTTGGGTAACAGACATTGCTGAAAATTCGGACGCAACCTTCAGAATGGCAGGAGCCCTAATCGGAATCAGTGGACTCGTCTTGTCATTCACACCTTGCCTGGTGGCCAGAAGAGAGCAGAAACGATGCAAAAATGCAGCAAGATTGACCCAATCACCTGAGTAAAAATGAGATCAAAACCTTTTTGGAAAATTTCACAACAGTTCATTTCCTGCACTAACTTCCTTTTTTTGTTTATGTTCCCGACGACCGTTTGGTCAAAAAATTCGTTTTTACGTGTGAAGTACCGACGAACAACAGTATTTCAAACGCACAAAATTAACTGTGGCTCCTGAGCCGAATAATAATGAAACGGAAGTTATGAGAATGAAAGAGAGCAATAACACAGGACGACGGTGCTTTGATTGAGCTTACTACGTTTCCAGTATTGTTCATTGATTGATTAATGATGTGCGCGTGGAAAATAAAAAATACGTAATTTTTGAATATACACTGGCTACTTTTGAAAATGCCACGTTGAACCTTCATTTCAATAAATACGCAAAGCCATTCTTTTCACATGTTCTTCATAATTCGATAAAATCACATTACAAGAAAAATTTTCCATGAAACAATTTGTCTTCTTATTAGTCCCAGGAGTTTTTTCCATAGGTGCTTATGTTATAAAAATCTCATGTTTGCAAAATCAGGATAGGCTGAAATCTCAGTGCAGTGAGACCCCAAGATGTGGACATAATTGGTGCCTGACAAGTGTCCTGATGATGCATATCCCAAAGTTGAGTCTAATTTTCCCTTAGACTTCAATGCATAGTATAGTATACATAGTATAGTATGAATAGTATGCTTGTTTAGTAATTAATTGGTTCTCCTTTTGTCAAAAATTAGAAATAAGTTCTCAAATAATTTAAAAAAGGTGTCCCCCTTAACTTAAAGTTGTAGAAAACAACAGTCCAAAACATCCACATAGAATCAGATCTTTGGTATCAATTGGAGATCAAAAAATGAAAAAATAATGATAAGTGTTGCTGAAATATGCAAAGATGATACAAAAACCTCCAAAAAAGAAGAACAAAATAATCTTGCTTTTGATCATGAATTAGAGTAAATTAACTTGAGATTTTTTGTAAATATAAATAGCTGGCTTTTTTTAAGATATCAAAATTGAAGAATAATTTGTTTTGATTTTTGGGGGAAAATTAAAAAAAAGTGTCCCTAACTTGAGCCAATGTCTGGATGTTGGGCCTGATTCTTCGGCTTGCAAGTGCTCCCAAGTTGATTTGTCCTTATGCTGGGGTGTCTCTCTGTTGCAGGGTCTTACTGTATAACAAATCTTTGGCTCTGATTCTGGGCATTTTCCATTTATTCATTCAATAAATGGAATATTGAGAATTTTGTACTGGTGCAGCAGCATTCCAGCTTCACATAAGGAAAAATTTTGTGTATTGGAGATTTAGTGTTAAAAAAATACAGAACTTGATACTATACTTATTAAAATTTTTTGGATTCATGTGAAAATGTATGTCTTTATTTCTTTCAAATGACCAGTATACAGTATGTTGGAAAGAATTTACCTCTATTTCGAAAAACAAACAGGTATGCATGAAAAAGTTGATACAGAAGCAAGTACAGTACTTCTACAACATGATGTACTTTGGTTTAATTTTATTTTAAAAGACAAACAGCACTCCAGTAGAAATACAGGTTCACAAAAAGAAAACTATTGCGCATTCAAACACTTTTCTATTCATTTCATTGGAGACACTTGGAAATTACAACAGGTATTGAATAATTATTTTTTTAGAAGCTTTTACAGTGTGTTTATTTTCCTATTTCCCATAAAATTTCTAAAATGTGATGAAAATCATGAATCTTGATACAACTATAATTTAGCATAATAATGAATTCTTAATCAGGTCCCTGTATGGGAGTTCAATGTAAGGATATTTTACTGTATTTGTAAGCGGCAAGCAATTGGGTAGAAATCGCTGAAGGACATTTTTCGCACAGATAAACCAGAGGAATAAGCCAAGATGAAACGCATGCATGGCAGCCCAAAAAAAAACGTGACGGACTAGCTCAGAGAAGCCTTTGGAAGCATTTACAATATGAGGGAAAACTTCTCAGAACTTTGGACAACTTAAGCTTCTGCGAAGGGCTTCCCAAGATGACCTAGAAATGTGGGTTCTGTCGAGTATAAAAGGCCAAGGTCTGGACCAGGGTTCCCCAGTTCGCAGCGTCTTCACTGGAGTATTTCGAGTCTTCGAATTTGCTTCAGGCAGAAAACCTGCGGGAGAAAATTTTAAAAGCTTCGCTTGAGAAGGGAATCTTTCGAGGTAAAAAAAAAAGAATAATAAGTTATATTTTCGAAAACATTTTTTCCGTGTGACCCGAAAAGAAATCAACAAAAACTTCCAAGGTGAGTACATACTACAGTATATCAACAGTTCATTAGTACCATGAACTAATCCTATAATGGACTCAATTCTAAAATTTCACAACTATAATTTCTACAATTTTAACCCTGAAGAAAAAGCATTTCATTCAACTAGAATTTCTGCACAGCCAAAAATGAATGGAAATACAGTTTAAATGTACGGTAAACATGAATAAAGTTTATCTATCACTTTGTCAAACGCGATCTGAAAGAATATACAGAAAATAAATCTTGAAAATGTATGATATAATTTCATTTACATATTTTGGAAATGTTCTTTCCTCTACAAGAATGCAAATTTTAGTGAGCAAAGATGTCATTGTTAGAGATCAGAATTTCATCATTGTGTCTTGTGTCAAAATCAGAACACTGTGCACAATAATTTGAGATCCTCCTGATATTCGCATCATTCATGATTAATGTTGAATGACACAAACAGTTCATATAATTGTGTGAACATTTCAAGGCTATATATTTTAATCGGATGCTTATCAGACCAATACTACCAAAAAATTGGAAGATTGAATAGCACTTAATTCTGACATTTCCACAGTTCAATAACTTAAGAATACACGCTATATTACATATGCACTGCAATAACAAAAATATTCAAAGTAGTAGGATTCTTTTTTATTGATTCATATACCTGTATAAGCTTGTTTCCCTGCTTCTCGGAATTCACCGGGTTCAAAAATTTTCAAAATTCCTAAACATCCATTAACACTACACTCCAGCATATTTAAAAAAATTATACACCATATGGGTATTAAAAAAATGTATTACAGGAGCAACAGAACATACAAATGGATGAAAAATGAATTTCTATCTTTTTCTTGATGACAAAAATCATAGCACAAATTAAAGCCCATTTGGTGTTCAGCCTTTTTCCAGATAATGTTTGATAGATCACACACTTCAGACAAAATCTTCGCAGAAAATAGCGTAAAACTGTCACTTTTTATCCTCTTCTTTGATTCAGAACAGATGGGACTGCACATAACTCATGCTGATTTTTTCCATACACCAGAAATATACTCACAACTCAACTCAAAATAAAAATGAATCCAATGCCTAGATTTGATGGATTTATGTATGAATAAACAGATGTCAGGAGAACCTACCTTCGATGCTTACACGTGGGGCCAGAAGGCAAACCTCATGCAGATGCCCGGAAACAACTTGATGATGGGAGGCGCAGGGATGATGATGGCCGGTGGTTTCGGCAATGGATCCATCGTGGACAAGGTACCACAAGACATGCTGTACATGGTGGACCCTCACTGGAACCAATTCCCACCTCTGAACCCCCTGATGTACTCGCTGCTCGCCTTCGTCATCACCGTCATGGGCTTCGTCAGCATTGTCGGCAACTTCGTCGTCATGTACGTGTTCATGTCCACCCGGAACCTCAAGACCCCGTCAAACTTGCTCGTCGTCAACTTGGCCTTCTCTGACTTCATCATGATGGTCTTCATGTTCCCGTTCATGGCCGTGTCCAACTTCTACGAAACCTGGGCTTTCGGTGAGTTCATTTTTTGTTGAACCGGATTCTGGAGTTTCTGATACCTATAGCAAAATTTACGCTTATCTCTTTTAAAAAAATGTACCGTACATTATATCCATTCCCCTATCCCTCATGTGTTTTCTCAAGGTCCCCTGATGTGCGAACTCTACGCATTCATCGGATCTCTCTCCGGTTGCATGTCGATCTGGTCCATGGCCATGATTGCCCTCGATCGGTACCGAGTCATCTGCAAGGGAATCGCTGCCAAGCCAATGACATACAAGAAGGCTCTGGGTTCCATCTTGTTCGTGAACATGGCTTCCTTGATCTGGTGCTTGGCTCCATTCTTCGGCTGGAACCGATATGTGCCTGAAGGAAACATGACCGTCTGTGGAACAGACTCCATGAGCGAGGACTGGTTGAGCCGCAGCTACGTCATCGCCTACGCCGTTTGGGTTTACTTCATGCCTCTGCTCACCATCCTCTACTGCTACTTCCAAATCGTCAAGGTCAGTATAATCTGAGAATATCTCACATGGTGCAAAAATAACCTTAATGTAAGGCCAATGAAGGATTTTTCACGCGGCAATAAAATCTTGAAAGTACAGTATTTCAATACGTACCTGATGATGACGCCCATATTTAGCAGAGGTAAATCCTAAGCAACAGCTGCATGAACTCTTCGTCCTATCTTATATATAGCTATAATACAGTTGAATCTCATTCCCAAACAAATTCTCGAGGACGTGAGAAAATTCGTCATATTGAAAAATGGGTTAATTGAGATTCGTCGTTCTAAAAGTATTTTTGGGTGAAATTTTCTGGCAAATGGGTGATAAACTTTGTATAAAAGGATTCAAATATAGTTACCTCGTTCTCACAATATTCCATCAAGATCCTCTTTTCGCGCAGTTTTTCACTGGAGGTAGTTTATAGTTCAAACTGCCTCAACTTCAGTTCGAATTTGTCCTGTCGCTTTCGTATCTCTTATTGCTCCTAAATTTTTGCACTGTATTTGTGTCTTGCAGACTGTTGCCGAACACGAGGAGGGAATGAGGGAACAGGCAAGGAAGATGAACGTCCAAAGCTTGCGATCTGCTGAGGCTGCCAAGACCAGCGCCGAGATCCGCCTCGCCAAGGTATGCTGTATAGTGTATACACTCTCATCCACTGATTCTCTGAAGTTGCAACCGATAGAAAAATATTGCAGACGATATTAAAAGCAAAGAAGCTTTTCATCGAATCACTAAATTTCCCCAGAGGAAAAAATTTGGACGATAATTTTAATACAGTATAAAGGTTCAAGAAAAAGCGTTTGCAATGATGACCAGCACCGACTCATTGTGGTAGTCTATTCCAGTGTTCTCCATCTGATGGTTGTCCATGGACCAGCAACTGTCCGCAGAATTTTGCTAGTCTGCGGGAAATTTTCTTCAGCATGATAAATTCATCAAAAGTAGCACTGCAGTATGTCATCTTTTTCTGAAATTTCGGAAAGACAATGGTAGTTGAAATTATCTAATGGAAAAATAATTTGGCATTCATCCTGAAACTTCAAAAAATTTTCATCAGCTGAAATAACTCTTTTTTTCATTCTGAAAGATTGTCTTCAAGCCCACCTTGAACATTTCTTGAAGACATTCCACTATAACTGCTACATTGGTTCTTAATTTAATTTTTGCCAAAAAGCAGAATCAAGTATATCTGCCATAACGTCTTTCAAACTTTTTTGAGTCTGCACAAATTTCATGAAACTTTGCCAGTCAGCAGAAATATGTTTTGGAAAGTTGCCAGTCCACAGGTCCAAAATGGTTGGATAAAATTGTACTATTCATCTACGCTGAATTTTGTGCAGCAAATATTGAAAATATTTTTCAACAATCCAACTTTTGGACTGGATATTTTTTAATCGATACTTCTTGGCGGATAAATTACACAGATTGCAATGATGACCATCTCTCTATGGTTCATGGCCTGGACCCCATACCTCATCATCAACGCCCGAGGAATCTTCAACAAGGAATCCGTGACCCCCTTGTTCACTGTCTGGGGCTCGTTGTTCGCCAAGTGCGCTGCTGTCTACAACCCGATCGTGTACGGCATCAGCCACCCCAAGTACAGGACTGCCCTCTATGAGAAGTTCCCGTGCCTGGCTTGCACCACCGAGTCTGATGATGAGGACGACGTCCGCTCCACCGCCACCGTGGAAGTCGCATCCACCAAGTCCGAGGAGAAGGCGTAAAGCAAGGAACAACGTGTCTCGACTATGTTGCTTCCAATCTTTGAGCCATGCTTCTGCAAATGGAGTAGAGTACAGTTCAGAAAATGTTTTTGATACCGTTGAAAATGCCTCGTTCCCTTCAAAGGCGAAAAAAGAAAAAAAGGAAAAATAAAAACCCACCCAGCATAAAAAAAAATTTCAGTCTGATTATTCAAATATCCGACCTTCCAGCACATTACAGCACCAGCAGAGAAAAGTCATAATTGTCCTAGTTTAGTTCGTAGAACCACTAACGACGTCTAGCGACACAAAGGATCATCTAAATGCGAGGGTCTCAATTGTTTCTACCTAGATGGCTCTCTACAATCATACGCTGATCCCTCTTCAAATCTGTATGGTAATACAATACAGTACAGTACTTCTTGCAACACAAAAATCTTCTCTCCGTCTGATACATAGAACAAGCCATACTCCAATGAACATTTCAATTGAATTCCAATAAGAACTCAACCCCCCCCCCCCCCAGTCAATTACTGTACCTCCCTGTTTTCATTTTTTTTCAAATTCCTATCTGAATTCCCTCAGAATTCAGACAGTGCACTAAAAATATTTTTAGGTCAAAGGCTTTCCCCTCAAACCTCAATAACTCTAACTTTCTGGAGCTTGTTTTTCTTATCAACTGGGGATAAAAGCAATAGAAATAGGATTTGATGTGTATTGAAAGGAAGTGAAAGAGTTAGGGCAAATTAACCCTTGCCTCCAAATTCAGCATCCTGTGAAATAATGTAAGAAGCAATTTAAAGCCCAGAATATCACCAATCACAATTTCCTGTAATCCTTGTTTTTTCCCAACAAAAATGCATTTTTCTCTAAATGCTGGGAACATCCTCAAGTTGCATTTTTACTGCTGCTTGTTTGAAGTTTGACTTCATATGAGGCTTGACTCTATTCAACTTATATAGCAAACTTGGAAGTTTAAATTAGAGTATATAGGAGGGACATATGATGCATAATGAAAGGCACGTCAGACCTAAATCCTCTGGAAATTATTTTGTCAACAGCCCTTCTTAGAAAGCATAACATTGAAAATCATTTGAAGGAAAATCACAAAATAATTTCCACTTTTTAAGACTGATGCTCAAACAAGGTACGTTGTTTGAACCCTGTTTGAAAATTAGTTCAAGTCTTCTTTTCTAGTGAGCAAAGCAAAACAATATTTTCCTGCGAATTTCATACATTCTTTTGCCCAAATGAATTCTCCCAAAACATAATTTAATAACATGAGCTGATGAAAACTGTACACGTTACCAGAGAACCTTCATGAGGGTTAAAACAATTAATTGGCCGACAGCAACCTAATTTTTTCTTACATGCAAGGAATGGGTTGAGCTATCATGTAGGACTCTTGTCAGAGCACAGCAGAAATTTCAGCTTCATGTTTCAGTGGGTTTTATCCTTAATCTTACGTTAACGCCTCAACAGCCCAGCCCTGGGCTGCAGTTAAGCAGTGTTGGATTATCCTTGGAGCCATTGCCCAGGCAATGGGTGCAGGGGTGAAGGTGTCCGGGGTGACCCTAGCTCTGTGCTGCTTGCATCTAGGTGTCACTGCTGCTGTCAAAGATGGTCTGGAAGAGGTCATTTTGGGAATGGCGGACGAGGAGTGGAGCAGTGCCTTCATGGACTTGGTAGTTGGGTTCGCCGCCACAGCCTTTACTGGAATTTCAGCCCTCCTGCTTTATTACCTCACTCAGGACAAGCCTCTGGATCCAAAAGAAAAGGCATTTGAAATATTATAATTTTGCATTACAGTATAGAATCATGTTACAAAAATTGGAAAGGAATGAAGCTGCTTTTTATGTCCCTTCCCAATAATGGCCAGAATGAAAAATAATATCCTCTACAAGTACTACAACAAATATGTCATTAAAACAAAGCTATTTTGCTGGTCTCAGTGGCTTTGTTTAGTAATATTTTAGTGCATTGAATATTGAAGTTTAGGGTGATTTTCTCAGGTATAAGAAGCTATTCTGCCTTTTGAAAAAACTTCACTGTATGCAGTGTGGCCTAGAGATGTGTACATAATTGATACTTTTTTCATGTACTAATTGTGGCAAAGCTGCTGGATCTGGCTGCAACAGGACAAAAAACTTTTCTTCTTTTGCAGTTCTTGAGCCTTGCCAAAATTCCATTTGGTGAGACTCACTGAGCCTCATCCAAAGCTGCAAAAGTTGAAATGACTTCCTTTGATAACACCACAATTGTGAGCCAGGAAGAAATCACCGGAGTTCTTCTTGACCCATAGACAGCATATAGGTCTAAAAATCTGCATTCCTCTTTGAGAATAAGGGGGAAGTAAGTTTTAAAGGGCTTTTAAATTTAATATTAACAATTCCAATCATCTGTGCTAACCAGCAATCAATTTATCCTGTAAACCATGACCATGGTTGAAAATTCAACCATTTTCCATCAGCCTAATGATAAAGAAACTCAATGAGTATAGGAACTCCTCTGAAAAGAGTTGAGTCCTTCAAGACTGGCAAATTCTGATTGCTGCAAAAAATCAATTCCTTCATCAGGGATCCAATGGACCCTTGATGACATCTTTGACCTTGCCCATATGTTGAATTGTCTTTTTAATTGGATCATTGTTTCCCATGGACTTCAATGGATACATATTCAATTCAATTGGTTCTCTTTTACATCAAATATTAAAAGTGCCCCAAATAAAAAATCCAGTTTGTTTCACAACTAAAGACACAGAAATAACTTTCAGAAGAGAACCATGCCAAATTTGATTGTAAGGCATCAAAAGGCACTAAACAAGACAAGTCTTTCTGTGCACAGACAATGAAAAAACTGCAACTGACATCATGACAACAAAGACAACATTTTTATGAATTAGGGTAATTGTATAATTAAATAGAAGAATAATCAGGCAAAATATTTTCAGAGGATGAATTCTAGCAGTTAAATTAACTTCTGATCATTCAATGAAATCTGAACTGATACAATCGATACAATCATGCTCTTATTTCTTAAGAGTATACAGTGAATTTTTCTTTCCGTGGTCATTTTTGACTTTTTTTCCTTCTTTTCATTGTTGACCATTCTAATTAAATAAATTCTGAACAAAACACTATAATCGAAATAATTGTTCAAAAAATGCGGAAATATCACTAAACCTTCGTAAAAAAATGTGGAATACTTGCCTAGATTATTTCAGATGTTTTTCATGTTATTTCTGCCACGTCCTTAAATTGAATCAAAAATTCAAAAATATCATACCGCATTTCATCATCACGACATTTTAAAAGTACTGTTTCGTAAGATCGTAACACAGTAAAATATCGTCAGAAAAAGCCATTGGGGCCGTTGAAAAAACTTTGTTGCAATAAAAAATTGATCATGAAGTAGATCATACAACTTTGTGGCTGAAGGGCAGGGAACTAAAAAACCACTTTGTTGTAATCGATGATTTGTTGTTACGAGATTTGTTGTAATAAGATTCTTCTCTTTTAATGCGTTGATTTCATGGAATTTTTCGCAGGCGGGTCAAACCTACGAGAAACTGAAGATCGAGCTGAAAAGAGACCCCGTACTGACATTCAGGTGGTGTCAAGCAAACGGACTAGTTGCGGACACCTGCCCCGAATGCAAACTCACCCTGGATGTCGGAGACTCCACAAAAGCTGGTCAACAGATCAGATGCATGCAATGTCATAAACCTGTGGCTGCTTTGCAAGGAACCTGGTTCCACAATATCGACATTGATCCTTGGAAAGCCATCTGCGTAATGTATCATTGGGCTGTGGGGAATAGTCACCGCGGAGCAGCGCATCAGTTGGCCATGGACGAGGACACTATCAAACACTGGTACCGAAGGTATAACATGATCTCCACGCAATTGTGAAAATCATCTAAATTTTTCGATAATGCGTCTCACTTCACGTAGCTAGCAAAAATTTCACGAAATATCGAAGAATCTATCTTTTTTTTTGGCGCGGTCGCATTTTGGTTCGGTTTTTGTTATAGATGCAGTTCACTGAAATCGATAGAAAATTCGCACGCTTTTCGTAGTAAATACACTTATCACAGTTAGACAGTGATTAGATGATACACGATAGAAAGGAACAGATTTCTGTTTATAGATCAGTCATTCATGATAATTTAGTTATGCTGCTATTCCTGAATTGGTGGCGCACTGCATGGATGGACGCGGCGGTTCACTGACAATAATAGAACAGTATACTGCTTTATCTATCAGAATATTTTGAATTTGAATCCGCCGGGGAAGCTGATCAGAATCCAACGCATAAAAACTCTCAATAACCGCTATTTTATATTGAGAGTCCTATCGTGGAGATTTCATTTCAATTATAATCGTAAAAATGCACACTATTTACGGAAACACGTTCGTTGACTTCTGTATTTATTGCTGGAATCAATTATAGGACAGTCATTTTGCTTTACAGCCACAAAAATAACAGCCTCTTAAACGCGTAAAATCCGGGCATTGCGTTGCAACTTTTCGCCTCTGAATTCAGTCGTACTTCCGGCTTTTGATGAGTCATCTGAATCGTGAAGAGTTACTGAATATATACAGTACACGTCTGTATACATGTATACTTCATCAGATAACCTACGAACGTCTGATCAATGATGGGACAAAAAAAAAGATGGAAAAGGTTGATTCTTTTAGATAGAATTTATGCTCCAGAAAACTTTTCCACATTGAAAAAGAGACATACACGTGAGATCCGCACATTCTCCAATTAAATCGTGCTTTCCCACTCTAACGCAGATGTCAAGAGGCAGCAGAATTCAACCTGCGATTGTGCACGAATGCCACAACGGACGAAGAACAAGAAGAAACTTCTCACGGGAAACGTCTCCGACCGTTGGCCAGAAACCACTACGAAGATGACCACATCGCTTGCTACTGTCCGAAATACCGAATTGGCGGGAAAGGGCGCATCGTGGAAGTAGATGTTCTCGAACGTGGCCATTTGTTGCAAGAGAAGTGCGTTCTTGCTGGCATAGAGCGTGGGGGTTGGAGGGCATTTGCTATTCCAGTGCCTGATACTGGAGACTCCAAGGCCTTGAAGGCTGTATTGAGTGCAAAATTGTTCCCTGGGACAATCGTGAGGGATGTAGAAAAGGTTGCTGTACCTGCAAGAGAGCTGAAGCATGTGAGGGCTTTTTTAAGAGACATGGTGGAGAATATGAAGCAACCTGCTACTGAGGACATGATCCCTGTTTATTCTTCCCAATGGATGTGGAGGAAAGTAAGTATTTTAATGACCCTAGAAGAAGTTAATTTTTTAGAATAACTTCAAGAGGATTAATATGCACGTTTCCCATTTTCCCAGCCACGGCCATAGTAAGTTATTTCTGGCTTGGTGTACTGTATACTGATGGATAGTGAAACATTATAATTGAGCCGCTGTATCAAGATTCAAGAAAAGATTGAGCACAGAATAGCTAAAATATTGCAAGAATTCCAGCTTGAAGTTAACCTCCAAACTAAGTCAAAAAACTCCTTGAATAAAATACCCACTGGATCTGGCCAGTCCCCTTATTCAACGAGTCAAGACTAATGCATTTTACTGTACATTTATTTCTCTCTCTCTCTCTCTCTCTCTCTTCCTACGCTTCGTCAATCATCACCCTTGAGAAACTTTTTAGGAAATTTTTTAGCATTGAATTGTGCTTATATTCAAGAATATTTTGATTTTTCTCTCTCTCTCTCTCTCTCTCTCTCTCTCTCTCTCCAAATATTTTGGATTTATAGCCCCAAATTTTTTCATTGCCCTTTTGCTATTCAACTGCTCAGACTAAACTGAAGTTTAATATTTTTATTTGATAAAGCTTTGCACAAGAGATTTGGCAACTTCCAACTACATTGAACACATTTAAGATTATGCCATAAAATAATTTCAATTGATTAACCTACATAAATTGACCATAGACTCCCCATAGTCCCCAACTTGAACTCCCTGAAGCCGAATTCTTGAGGGGTTTGATCGTAGCAATCATACAAGTTCATAGGAACAGGTGTACACAAAATTAATATTGTTATATGAGATAATTGGCAATTCTTTTTTTATCAGGTGAATGAATCGTACAGAGGAGATGTTTTCACACAAATGGTGGAACATGTGAGCAAAGCTTTTCCCTTCACCCCTGACGGGAAATTCCCAGAGAAACCACATGACGCAATATTTTTCAAGGATCCATTCCAAGAAGAAGCTCAAAAAGAAGAAGTCTGCACACAACTCATCCTCCTTCCAAACAAGCCTCCTGTAGTCCAGAAATTTCTCATTGACAAATCAGTTGCTGAAAAGAAACCCGAGAAGCCTGCTCCAGGTCTGAACAAATATGCTGAGAAACACAATAAATTTTAGAATGTTGGGATTTTTGTTTCAGCGCCCAAGAAGCCAAGCAAGATTCCTCCAAGAAAGCCAACAAAAAGACCTGCGAGGCGCAGGAGTTTCATCAGAGTTGCTCCAAGGCCTCAGCTGGTTCGCACTCCACCACCAGGCGTTGGTTCTCCAAGGGCTTATTCTGCTTATTAAACTGAAAATTGACTGAAAATTGTGTTCACATTGAGAAATTAAAACATTTCCATGGAACCTAACTTCAACCTCTTCATTTCAACAACTAGGATCAGATGCATTCGCTTTCTATAGATCACTGCAAAAAAAAATGAATTGACTTGACATATCGCCACATATATAACTTACCTCAAACATGAAAGTTCTGATTTAAATTGCTACTTCATTCCTACGCTTCGTCAATCATCACCCTTGAGAAACTTTTTAGGAAATTTTTTAGCATTGAATTGTGCTTATATTCAAGAATATTTTGATTTTAACAGAAAAGGATTGGATTTAGAAGAGGGGATTAATTTTCTCCATTTCTGCAATAATTATCAAATCAGTTTCCAGAATACCTCTGAAAGTTATTCTTTGTCAAGAGATTTTTCACTATGACGGCTGTCATGCTGTGTGCTGCGAACATACAGTATTTTTGCGAATGATGTTTCTGATGCACCGCTGATGACTTCAGGTTAATAAATCATAACTTTCTGCTGCATGCTCAGGGTTTTTTACTTTTCTCCAAGTGTTTTCCATACAACGACGCACCGATATGATTGTATAACAAGAAAGAGATCCTACCAGCAGGATGCACAGCAACCACCGATGAAAACAGGGGCAAGAAGGAAGAAACCCGAGTTCCTCACGGAAGAATCACTTCAACGCGATCATCAACGCGAACTTCGGCAGCTGATATTTTTTTTTATCACGAAAGATATATTACACACTGAAGATGTCGCTCAAGCCTTCTCCTCGGACTTGATGGTGGATGCGACTTCCACGGTGGCGGTGGAGCGGACGTCGTCCTCATCATCAGACTCGGTGGTGCAAGCCAGGCACGGGAACTTCTCATAGAGGGCAGTCCTGTACTTGGGGTGGCTGATGCCGTATTCGGGTTGTAGACAGCAGCGCACTTGGCGAACAACGAGCCCCAGACAGTGAACAAGGGGGTCACGGATTCCTTGTTGAAGATTCCTCGGGCGTTGATGATGAGGTATGGGGTCCAGGCCATGAACCACAGAGAGATGGTCATCATTGCAATCTGTGTAAATTATACGCCACGGTATAGATTTAAAAAGAAGAGCGAGATCGAAATATTCGACTATTAAATAGCACTTAAGCACTAAACTCAGAATCAATGAATAAAAAAGTATACTGTACTTTACGGTACGGTATATAAAAGGTCATGAAGAAAAGTTATACCTTGGCCAGACGGATCTCGGCGCTGGTCTTCGCTGAATCAGAAGACCGCAAGCTCTGGACATTCATTTTTCGTGCTTGTTCCCTCATCTGCTCTTCGTGTTCAGCAACAGCCTGTCACATGAAAAATAATACACAATTTTGATATACAGTCTTACTAACATGGAACTAGAATTAAATAAACAGTGTAGTGATGAAGTCATTCGAGGATTAGATAATCCTGCTCAAACGAAGAAATCGGGATTGAGCCAAAGGATTATATTCTCCAATAGAGTAAAAAGATATTAAGCTGCTGTTGCTGGAATTTTTTTCCAATTGCTGTGCATCAGTAGCAACATGTTCATGTACAAGGTTTTATTTCTTCGCTATAAATCCATCATTGGCATCATATATACAGTATTTGGTTCATGCATACACAATGCCACATTTTCTCAGCTTCTACTGACCTTGACGATTTGGAAGTAGCAGTAGAGGATGGTGAGCAGAGGCATGAAGTAGACCCACACGGCATAGGCGATGACGTAGCTGCGGCTCAACCAGTCCTCGCTCATGGAGTCTGTTCCACAGACGGTCATGTTTCCTTCAGGCACATATCGGTTCCAGCCGAAGAATGGAGCCAAGCACCAGATCAGGGAAGCCATGTTCACGAACAAGATGGAACCCAGGGCATTCTTGTATGTCATTGGCTTGGCAGCGATTCCCTTGCAGATGACTCGGTACCGATCCATGGCAATCATGGCCATAGACCAGATTGACATGCAACCGGAGAGAGATCCGATGAATGCGTAGAGTTCGCACATCAGGGGACCTTGAGAAAACATATGAGGGATAGGGGAATAGATATAATGCGCGGTACATTTTTTTTTACAGATATAAGCGTAAATTTTGCTATAGGTATCAGAAACTCCAGAATCCGGTTCAACCAAAAATGAACTCACCGAAAGCCCAGGTTTCGTAGAAGTTGGACACGGCCATGAACGGGAACATGAAGACCATCATGATGAAGTCAGAGAAGGCCAAGTTGACGACGAGCAAGTTTGACGGGGTCTTAAGGCTCCGGGTGGACATGAACACGTACATGACGACGAAGTTGCCGACGATACTGATGAAGCCCATGACGGTGATGACGAAGGCGAGCAGCGAGTACATCAGGGGGTTCAGAGGTGGGAACTGGTTCCAGTGAGGATCCACCATGTACAGCATGTCTTGTGGTACCTTGTCCACGATGGATCCATTGCTGAAACCACCGGCCATCATCATCCCTGCGCCTCCCATCATCAAATTGTTTCCGGGCATCATGATGTTTGCCTTCTGTCCCCAGGTGTAAGCATCAAAAGTGGGCTCTCCTGACATCTGCCGACATAAATATTTCCGATGAACAACTCATTCCCAAAGATCCACTGTCATCATCTAGCTTTTTTTCATTTTCCACGATATACATGATCAGAAAAGTGAATTGGCTTTCTTCACCTTTAGGAAATATTTTACAATTCGTAAGAGATTTCTTTATAGGCATTATTGTTGATGCCTTATGCATAAAGTGAACGTACCTTGACTTTTTTGTTTTAATCCTTTCGAGCGTCGAGTAGCAAAAACTTGGATAGATTTCTCTGGCGCAATACTTCAAAAAAGTTTTCTCGCAAGCGAAATCACGCAGGCTTTTCAAAACTGAAGCAAATTCGAACTTCGAAATACTCCAGCGAACAAGCGTCTGCACTGTTGGTTCCGGACTTCGCTTACAGCTTTTATACCGTATTGAATGTAAGCGTTTCCAAGGTTTCCTAATCTTATCCCCTTGCTTTGCTCTCCTAGAAGACGACATTTCTCAGAATCCTTTGCACGAGTTCGCTACACATAGTGAAGCCCTATGAATCTACGCTTGACGAAAACATAATCAGCGCAAGCCAGCATCAGCAATCATCAGCACGTGTCGAGTCAAAATGAGCGGAATGGGAACAGAGCACAGCAAGCAAGTGTACAGTATAAGCCTCGAGTATATAATGTACTGTACTAGTATCGTACACGATAATATAGATCAATATAAATATTGATTTCAAACCACGCTAGAATTCCCTTGGATCAAGACATTCAATTACAGTATTGTATTAATGCCCTAAAATTCTTCGGGTCGGAGACGCGTGTTCATGTTACGGGGATGTTATTCACGTCGACAGAAGCATCTTCATGTACAAATTTCGATTACTCACTGTGCCACGAGTCACGCCTGCGCGCGCGCGTTTCTCCTCCGCGGTAACAGTGTGAAGTTCACATTGGTCACCCATCCTCCGCCTATACATACCTATGTATGCGAATGCACTGCGATAATACAGTATTGTACTAATGTACAGTTTTGCATGCATATTACAGCGACATCTACAAAACTGAAAATGAGTTACATTTCTCGCACCTTCATTTTTGTTGAGTTAGGCTGTGCTATATACGTATTCTGGCAAATCAATAAGATGGAAACTATGAGCAGGTTACATAGCATAAATATCAGACGAATACTGTATTGCAGTTCATCTTCCAGTGGAAAATGTATCGATGAAATCACTTGACTCGATTGGTATGACAAACCCGACTGTACAGTAGTTGTTTCAATGCAATAGGTTACGGCGCGTTTAATCATAGGCATTCAGAGCTTTGGAAATTGACTGAGCTCTACGTAATAATATGACATGGCGCGTCGCCTTTATCCGCCAGATTTGATTTTGTGTTCGGTTGGCGCGGCGGCTCGAAGCCGACGGTGAATTGTAAACATTTGGCGGTGCCCACTGTACTTGTGCTGTACTGTTCTCCGTGATTTTCTGCAAGCTCCCATAGTGTATAGGATTTTTATCTCTGAAAGTTTGTGAACGATATATCCTTTGCGTGTGGAATGCTACTCCCATGAGTATCTCGATTGCGTTTTAACCGTTTGTGCAAGTTACGCGTTCAAGTGAAAGTTGAAACTTTTTAGATCTAGGATGACTTGGCTCTGACGAATTATGAATTCTTTCTTCCAGTTCTTGCTTCAATATTTTCACACCTTCGCAACCACATGCTCGTTTCAAATTAAAGAAAATCACCGGATACTGGACCATGGATCCAAGAACGCCTATGAAAACTCGCTCGAAACAGACGGTTCACGACCGTGGTTCGGAGTCTGAGCATCAGCCGCTGGAAGTTTTCTGCCGCATAAAACCCTTTCCTCAGAACACCGAAGTTGGAGTTATTGCCGTTGGCGATGACTGCGTTCGTCTTGAATATCCTGGGAGAGAACATGAAGCTCGTGATCATATCTTCACTCATGTTTTCGGACCAGATTCTACTCAGAAGGAAGTTTTTGATAACGTCGCTCTCCCACTCGTCAGCGATGCCTTGAAGGGAAAATCTGCTCTGCTGTTCACGTATGGTGTCACCGGTTCTGGCAAGACATTTACAATGACAGGAACTCACGAGGATATTGGCATTGTTCCGCGTTGTGTGGATGTTGTCTTCAATTCCATCAAGTCTTGCCACGCAATGCGCGGGATCGTTGAATACGAAGGAAATAACATGTTTTCGATTCATTCTCTTGCCGATGCAATGGAAAAAAAGCAAGCTGGTTTATACAAAATCCCCAAGACTCCTGGAGGATTCAAACTCATAAAAACGGACATCGACAGCGAACAAAATCGCGTTTGTGACACCACGTTTCTTGAGCTGGAAGCTATGAATGTGATAGCTGTCTTCGCATCTTACGTCGAGAACCATGAGACGAAATTGTACGATCTCCTGGACGATAATTTCTTGGACCCCATCAAACGGACATTCCATACGAAGAAAATATGCGATGTCCACAGTCTGCAGCAAGCGTTTATTAAGGACCTGACCGAGATCGAAGTCAGAAGTGCCCAGGAAGCTTTGGACGTTCTGAACATGGGAATAAGGAGACGTACAACTGCCGCCACTGCTTTGAATTCCGAGTCTTCTCGTGGACATGCCATTTTCACGCTGAAGTTTATTCATACCCCGATGGCGAATATTGATCGTTCAGAGGCGGATTCGACAGCTTACACCATCTCCCAGCTTTCCCTTGTCGATTTGGCCGGATCAGAGCGACTTGCGAGGACGAACAATCAAGGAAGACTACGAAGGGAAGCCAGTAAGTGTTACCTTTTTGTTATTTTATGTGATGCTCAATTCATGCATGAAAAAGGCTTTTGAATCATTCTGAAGTGTTGGTGTCGTTTGAAAATTATTCTTGGAATAAAATCTGAGCGAGAAGGACCACATTTCAGTGATGTTAGATTAATTGTCTGATCATATTGAACGTGTCCGATTTTCAAAGATCACATCAACCAGTCGCTTATGACCCTAAGACAATGTCTGGATTTGCTGCGTGAGAACCAACGAAATGGCACCAACAAACCGGTGCCGTTCCGCGAGTCAAAGATCACCCAGTTGTTCAAAGGATTTTTCGCAGGGAAAGGACAAGTTAGACTAGTTGTTTGCGTCAACCCCAGTCTTCTGGACTTCGAAGAAAACTTGGTAAGATCGTCAACTGATTGACTATGTTGCCAGGTCGGTTAATATTCATTCTTCCTGCTTGCAGCAAGTTCTTCGGTTTGCCGAAGATGCCCAAGACGTGATGATCCAGAAACAGAATGCCGTAGGATTTAATCCTGATGATTTCAAAGAGAATGCTGTGAAAGCCGACAATCTTGCTCGAGCAGAAGATTTTCCCATCACGGTGAACCTGAAGGCGCCGATTTTTGCTGACAATGGCGGTCGTACGTAGTTTTGAAATTATTTTTTTTTGATATTGTATAAACATTTAATCGTTTGTACTTTTCAGGGGAGAACTTGTCTGTGTTTTCTTTTAATGCGAGCGAGATGTTCGATGATGATCTGGATGACAAATTTGATTTGTTGAGTGATGAATTGGGGAAGCGACTGAAAGTCCGCGGAGTTCGTCGGGAAGAGTCAATGAACTTACGTAAGTTGAAGTTGTTGAATTAAGACGATTCTGGTGCGTGTCGTGATTCCAAAACTGTATTACTTATCCCATTAATAATTTTTACTAGTGAGTTGGGCTGTGGATCGGACTGAGAAGTTGTTGAAAGACTTCAACGCTGCTAAAATGTCCTCCAAAAATTACAAGGAGATGTACGAGGACCAGAAGAAAGAAACCGATCGTCTTTCGCATATGCTGGGTGCTACTCAGGCCGAAAGAGAACAGATGCGTCTCAACGTTAGCAAGCAAGAACGTCTCCAAGTTGAGCTTGCGAATCAGGTAAAAGAAAAATTTCAATACGAAGTGCTGGGTTGTGTTACAGTATTTCAAACTTCAACTTCTGTTTTTATTTTCTAGAGTGTCACGCGAATTCCGCCTGAATCTTTAACACAGCCTAATATAAATTCAGAAAACCTACGTAATTCTCCATTACCGATAGACTTTCTTCGCAATGAAATTCAAGGAACTAGAAAAAAATTCGTTCTAGAGAAACCCCTATAACGTTTTCAGGGAACCACAAAAAAATGGTTGCACAGAAGGAATCGTTGAAGAGAGAGTCAATCTGTGCTTGATGAGATCTATACCTAGTTTTTTCAATAGATAATACGTAAATTACTGATGTCATTTGAGTATCCTTGAAGGTTTTATGAACTATTTAAAAATTATGATAATTAAATAGAACATACAAGAGTTGGGCGCACTGATAAGTACTGTATAGTAAAAAGCCATTCCGTAATTTCTTTGGAAGATGATGAGCGAACTGAGTTTAATTCGTGGGTCGAGTTGATCACTTTTATGTCCTTATTCTTTTCTCATGACCGCGTTTAACCGGGTTGTCCCTGAATGATCTTGATAACTCGTCTAATTATTCGAGGTGTACGAAAAATTGGGAACCTAATGTGGGCACTGAATCGCTAGCTGTTGAACTTCAAGAACTAGAACCTTATCGAATTATCTCTATATCGATTTTTTTTTCGAGTCCCTGTCTGAATTCCCGTAGAAAAAATGTAATACGAACTACCCTAACTCAAAGGTTCCCCCCTCTCCATAAATCTAATTTTCTGGGTGCCTTTCTGCTTTTTTTTTTTTTATTCACGCAGGAAAGAAAAAAGCATCACAAATGTAGTGATGTATTTTTTTAAGGAAGTGAAACGAAAATTGGGCGAATGAACCCTTGCCTCCAAATTCAGCCTCTTAGGCCCAGAAATTAACCATTTACAATTTCCCGGAATTCCTTCTTTACCTCCCAACAAAAATGCTCGTTTCCCCAACGTAACTCGAATCTTTTCCCTGGTCCCGTAAAGTTTTGACTTAAAGCGGTTTGAATAACCGAAAATCGGAATGCTGTGACGCACTCACGTTGATTATTGTATTGTATTTTTCAAGTTGAGGAATAAAGAAGCTGAAGTTGCTGCGGAACGCGTGCGAGCCGAAAATACTCGCCTGCAGGCACGAAAAGAAACGTCGTCCATCGTGAAGAAGCGTATGGCAGAGTTCGAAGTGAAGGCCAACGAAGAACGTGCCAGACGCGAGCATCAAATCCGTCGCACTCAACGCGCCTTGAAGAAGATTGGGAATCTGGCGAATTTGGGCGAGATTTCCTCGTCAGAGAGCGACATCTTGTCTGCGTTGGAGATGGAACGTCAACGGGAAAGGCCTATGGAGCAGACCAAGATCCCGATGCCTTCCCAGGTTCAACCCAGGGCCGTGACGAGGAACCAAGCCATAGTCAAGGTGACGTTGCGGACCGAGTTTTACTTTAACCCCATCTCGTAATTTCTTTTCGTCAATTGGTCTTTTTCTCCTTTCGAGATACGAGTATTAAAAAATATAAATCTTCCATGTTTACCTGAGGATGAATCTGGATTCTAGATGCTATTGGCTTATTTTTAACATGGCGTTGTTATTAACAAATATACCATTTACTGTACTCCGTTACCACGCGCTACTTTTTTTTTTTAGTTGAAATTTGGGAAAGAATTCTGTTCTCGCATGAAACGCACACCTTAGTTTTCAGTTCAAGAAATTCGTACAGTATTATAAAAACTCCATGTACAGTATGAGGTAAAAATCTAAATACAAGCTCACTTAGAAGTTGACCAACATTGTTGTTTTTTCTGATGGAGAAAAAAGAATCATTGAAAAAGTACATGGAAAGAAATGTTTTTGCGTAGGAAATTTAGAAGTTCAAGAAACATGTATAACGGACCATGAAGCGAATATTTTTCGTTTTACGAGTAATTTTTTGTTTGCCCTGCGAAGTATTTGCATGACCTACCGTAAGTTCATTCGTAATTGTGTACTACAGTATTTGAGATGATGTTTCGTTTCATGGACTTGATCCATTCCATTTGGAAAGTCCATCATCTGGATTCAGTACTCCAATGACCTCTGGTAATGTGAAGTTACTGTAAATACAAGGGCTGATTCTATAAATTTGGGGATATTCTCTGAAAAACGTCGATCAAGTTAGAAAATATATGGGGACCTACCGTGAAACAGGCAGAAGAGCACTCATAAAAGCGAAAGAAGACTCAAGACTCAATTCAAGCAGACATGTGAGAAAAAAACATTTTGCGCTTGAAATGATTTGTCGGCAGATAAATTTTTTGCATCGATTCAAGTTTTGATGTGGAAGTACGCTATATCATCTAAATTCGTTTCGTTCCACCGTTGTGCGAAATATTATACAGTATTGTCATTGGTGGGAGTTGTAACTTTATGAATGTTGAAGTAGTCTCTTTCTCTCGAGAAAACGCATTTCAAAAGTTTTTTGTGCTTGAAGATTATCTGTTTGGTTTCATTTTAAATAAATTTGGTCGAGTATTGTAAGTATTCTCCAGCGGAAAATGATCCATTTGATGTGATCATCGTAATAGAAATTCCATCAGTCCGTATGAAATCTTAATGTTGGGCATCCGCGTGAAACTATCTGATGGATCACGGTTGGGCCCCGACGTGCGGATGATCTGACTTTTAGAATCCCAGAAATATGGCCAACATTTCCGGAAAAGTGAAACAAAAGAGTGTCCTTGAAATTTTAAACTCTCTTGAACAAAAATAGCTACTGCCACAAACATAAAATCGAAAGAAATGTTATAAATGTAATTTAAGGGCTTCTCTTTCCAAGGATTGTACTGTTCAGTTGTGAACAGTACAGTATGCTAATTTTTCTTCGTTTTGGACCCTTTTTTCGGCTAAACGAACGGGTTCCATGTGGTTTTCTTCTGCTCACTCATTTTCTCTATCTTACGGTTACGAAGAACCTTTTTGTCAGAAAGAGCAGCTAATTAAGCTTCATCCCATTGAAGTCTGTGAAAATGTGATTTGACATGTAGATGTTCTGGCAAATGGACGCATCTTGAGAAGTAATTGAGTCTGTATAATGGAATAACCCCAGTGTGTTTCATACATAGAATGTTTATAGAATTGATCATTTTCTCTGTTCATCGCGGTTTTGTTTTGGTCAGGAGGGGTAGTCACTGAAATATTTGTTCTCAAACCAGTTTTTACTTGTCCTGCATTAGTGATATGAGAAGGTGGATTTCATTTGACGTGTTACTTTTTAGGTTTGGAATGGCTGGATTAGAATGTACAAAATGTATTATTCTTCCGAGTACAGGAAACTTAACTGGATCTATTACACTAGTACTGCGAACAGGAACTTAATTTATCCAAAATTGAAGCTCGAAAATGGCAGAAGTGCTAGTTTACGTACCTTCGTATACACGGTCGTGTCTTGTCAGTTTATACTAATGTTTAAAAGACAGCTCCTGACATATAGTGCTGTTTTTTATTAAACAATTTATAAATCTGTAGTTGGTTGTATCAAAAAAGGTTAATTATTTATTTATTTTATAATTGAAAAAAAAAATGTTTCATATCTTGTGTCTTGCTCTTTCAGGGACCTCCAGTGGTGAATCCGAGACACAGGAGGAGCTTGAGTGAAGGAAACAAGAAAGAACGTTGGTTGGATCATCAGCCTTCGAATTTGGTTCCTTTGGGAACCATCATGAACCCAACTGGACTGGATAAAGTCCGAAGGAAAAGCGTCACCAAAATAAGTTTGGAAGATGTTGTGAAAAGTCATCATTACGCTTTGACCCACCAGCAGCATGATTCGGACGGCGATTTGGAAACGCATGTTGTCAAGGTGCAGTATTTTATATTCGCTCAAGTTCCTCATGCACTTTTTTCAGACGAATTTTGTCGAGAAAAAAAAATTTATAGACACGCCTCTTTCACGTTTCTTGGGTTCCAATCCTTGACTTGGTCAATGGAATATTTTAATTTTTCGAAAATGAGGTGCTTTTGGATTGGAAGCTTAAAATTTGTGAAAACTGTGCGCTTCACTTCTTCCATTTTGACGCTCCATCTTGTTCGCTTGATTGTTGAAGGGGTTTCATCCGAATTTTCGCCACCAAAAAATATGAAGTAACAAACAAATTTGATTAAATACACACGATCTGCGTGGCGCTTTCTTCCAACTAGACTAACTTTTCACGAATAGCCCTGTGCAATGGAGAAAATCTTGAAACCGGTCTGAGAAAGGTTTTAAAAATAAAATTTATGAAGAATAGTTGAGAGAATTGAAATTTTGAAACCGGTCTGAGAAAGGTTTTAAAAATGAAATAGATGAAGAATAATTGAGAGAATTGATTATTTTAAGTTAATTAATTGATTGTACTGTATCTAATTATTCACTTGATTAAATTTTTGTACTGTATTAACTTGATGGATTTATTTACAGTAATTTATTAACTGAATTTTGTATTAATTAATTAGTTGAAACTGATCACTCAATTCCTGTCCTCAGGGAGATGTGCTGCCCACGAGTTCTGGAGGAAGACAGTGCATTTTCACTGACGTTGAAGTTTTGAGGCAAAAGTCCCCAACAAAACGTCCTTCGGAAGAACATAATAATACACGCTCTTTGAGGTCGTCCAAGTATTCGAAGATGCCGAGGATTTGAATAGTGTGAAGCAGGAGCTTGATTTCTAAAATCTATGAAACGCCTTTTCTTGCCCTTTTTATTTTTTCAGCGAATACGGACTAATTGAACGCATTTCAAATTTTGCTTATAGAACGGGTTATTCATGTATTTGTTGAGAAATTTTGAGAAGCTGACTTTGTATTGAATTTTCGACTTCAAACGGGTTACGGTCGCATTTTTTGAACAAAGTTTTTGTATTGCTGATCGCGGTGTAAGTTGCAATCGATTTTTTACAATTGTATTTTCCGAACAAAGTATCGTTATTTCTTTATCCGACTTGAACAAATTGATACACGGAAGGTCTGGTCGTTTGTCTGTACGGGATTTGCGGTGTCGCCAACTGAACAATCTGCGAGTGGGTATGTCATTGTATGTATATATATATTTTTGTTCCATTGATTCATTTTTCCTTTCATGATTGTATGTGGGACTGTGGTGTGAAATAAAAAGTGACTTCCTTCGTGGGATTTCCAGCAAATTGAATGTGCTACACCGGTCTGATCTTTATAAAAAGGGTGCTAGACACGTGTTAAACCTAAAATCGTCCTGCAAATGATTGTGAATGAGCTGCTGGCAGACTCTACAGTACTTTTTATTCATCATAAATTTATACCGTAAAGCCTATTGTGCATTAATTGTTCAAAGATGTACAGTATATGAAACTATAAGTACTCTTTAGGCAAAACTTTGTACGATATGCGTACTATGTATATTCTGTATAAGCGCATGAATATACTTTCACATAATCAGTGTACCAATATGTTCTTTGAACTAAAATGCCGTCATCATATGCATTACTGTATTTAAATAGCGCGCGAAGTACAGGAAGTATGAGGGTTGGTAGCATTTACTGTATAAGTCTCTTGGGCCCAGCGGTCATATTGGAGGTGGGCGAAATTTTTACTTTCGCTCTTCAACCCTCCATGGGTGTGATAGTTTGTTCCCCCAGCATCCTACTAAAGAAAAAAAAACCTGACACTGAATGCCCTCAATAAACCGAACTTAGGTGCTGCAGTCGCTGAATGAGTAAAGTTTGATCAAGAGCAGCTGCGCGTACCTGAGGCATGCTCTTAATTTATAGGAATTTTTGGGTGGTCATCTATAATTGCAAAGTGATGTTTCTTGAGAATGAAAAATAATCTTGGTGCTAAAGCTCTGATATCTATGTTTGGTGTGGCTTTTTACAGATGGATAAACAAATTCAACAACAGCAACTTCTAAGGCAGATGCCCAACGTGAAAAGTATAGCACTGAATTTCAACCAGCTGCCGTGTATCAGTATCAGTTATACTGCACTAAATGCCATCTAACACCTTTATGATTCATTATGGGTTGTCTGGATGGTGTGATCATATGAAAATGTGAAAACAAGAATAATTTAGAGCTAAATGTGTTTCTTAAATGCTCACGTGTTATAATCAGCACTTTTATAAGACTACAGTATGTATCAAGTGAGGTTTACAGCGTCATCTGTCGAAAATGCGGGAGTAGATATGTTGTCGTTCAAAGAGCCTTGTAATAATGATATAAGCGGGTGTTAACTGCCTTCCGCGGATGGATTCGGACTCAATTTCACCCTGAAGAGGCTTGTCAAGTGTTGTGGGGAAAGATTGAGAGTGACGAAGCTAGTCGGTGTTTCCATCGGTCGTAAAACTATTAAACAATTTCTGGCGGGGAACTGCGCTCTTCCGATGTCCTGGTGTTTTGAAGGATACTTATGAAGCGCAGAACGTCAATTTCCGGCGCGTTCAACGGGAGAAGCAGTATCAGCAAACCGTCTCGATTTCGAAGCGAAACTGAGACTAGTAGTCCGCGAATCCTCAAAACATTGTGTATCACTTGTAGGTACTGAAGCCTCGTTAATTACGTTCTACAGAACGCAATTGAACTTCTCATCTATGCGGATATTCTGTGCTTTTTAAGTGGGGGAAAAAATCGGGCCTCGCGATTGTATCTGTTCGACCTTTGAACCTGTGACATTGTGAGGTTTTGATTTTTGCTTTTAGGATGGAGAAGTACAGTTTAAAATGGAACTCTCACTACATGGAAGCATTCGGCGCGTTCGAGCTGCTTCGGCGCCAAGGCTTGTTTGTGGATGTGACTCTCAGTTGTGAAGGCGAGCTTATACGTGCACACAAACTAATCCTTTGTGCATGTAGTACTTTTTTCGACCGCCTCATGCGCGAAGGTGGCACGCTGTACCCCATAATTTTCTTCAACGAAACCCGGTCGCATCACTTGAAGTTGATCGTGAAGTTCATGTACGAAGGAGAAGTTGAAGTACCTTCGGAAATGTTGGCAGAGTTTTTAAAACTGGCTGAGGAGCTTGAGATCAAGGGTCTCAAGCGAGTCGATGAAGCGAAGTCCAATCGTTGCGAAGATGTTCTACAAGGATCTTCGGGAACAATCGACCGACAGACAATCACGGAGCATAAATCATCCACACCACCGTGCACCGCCAATCAGCCCGAATCAGATTCAGTCGGAATTGAACTTGAAGTTGAAGAATGTATACCGTACGACTCCATCAAATGTGAATTCAGCCCTTCAATGGTAAGCATTGTCATGTTCAATTCTGCATCGGAATCTCCGAAAGACGCATCGATTGTGTTCTAGAATTCCGACCCACTGGTGGATTCGGAAAAAATTATCTGCGGAAACGGAGATCATATCATGAGTGATGATTACGACACCACCGAATTGTCAACGGAAAGTGATCCGAAGCCTGACGCGTACAAGCATCTTGCACCGACTTCTTCATCTATCCCCGAAATATCAGCACAGGTACAAATCGAAAAGCGCACAAAGCATACAACTGCTTAGCAAGTACCCGTACGACAAGTTTTTCAAGAGGATCGCTTTTTGCTTTACTTGAAGTAGATTGGAACGAATATTTCAAGTAGCAGAAATGATCTCTACGTCGTGAAAATAATTTTTTTCAGCTTTTTCCGATGCTAGGGTTCGTACTGTGTGTTGGAATGGCAGCCCTTGCCCTGGGTGCTTTGCGGAACTTGTGATTGCCTCTTTTCGGCGTTCAGTTTGTGGGAATGTTCTTTTTATTCCACTTCGGAAATTATGCTTTGCGTTGGAATTCTTGGAAAGAAGGGACATAATGTACAGTAATTTTATCAGGAAGTAGAAGTGCACGTAGTGTGCAAACCGAGGCCGGTTGAGGAGAAGTACGTGACCATCACGATTGAAACTTGTGTTTTCCAGGACCTGTTGGATTACAATCTAAAAGAAGAAGAACTCGTGCACATGTTCGATCCTGCTACATTGACACCTTCCCGATTCGTAGCCAAATTAATGGGTATTTTATGTTCAACCGAAGAAATGGCTACTCACTCTCTGTGCGGGTACATGACTGGGAAGGATTACAAGCCAAAACTCGATCCTGCAAAAGTTGACGTCATTCTTCGTGAGTTTCTGAGTCGACTGTGCCGAAATCGATAAACACATTCCTTTGATCCTTTGGCAGGATACACCGTCCTGTTGTATCCGTACGTGTCCGAAAGTTTGATAAGGCGTTCGATTCAGCAAAAGCTGAACAACGTGGACAAATACATGAAGCAGAAGAAGAAGCAAGTGGAAAAAGAGAGGCATGAAATGCGGCAGCATCAACAAATGTTCCCGTTATCGTCGATGTCAATCGAAGCAATACATAACTGACGCAGTTCATTCCTGGGTTGCGGAGAGATTTGTGGCCATGATCGTCAAGTGATACCCATCCTAGTCCGAAACAGCTGAAATTCATTCAGCCCCTTACTGATCCCCCTGTAATTTATTTTTTGTATGGGACGAGTTTCCATGCGAATGATTTTTTTTATGTAGATCAACCTGTTGATGTTCTTGTTTCCATTGAACGGTTACCTTCGGGGGTCAGAGATAATGTGTTGGTCGTTTTTGAGAGCAGTGAGGATGATTTTTATCTTTGGAAAAGGCCTGATGACAATAATAAGTTCTTAATTGATGGGTGATTTTAAACTGTGAGGTAAAATTTTCCGTGATCTTCAGTATTAGACCGAGCAAGACTGCAATAGCATCTGTGCAACATTATCAATCCAAAGAACCTGGAAACTTTTTTTATTTGGTCGCATGAAAATGCGCACGTGGAATTCATTACGTTTAGTACTCGTGTTATGTTCGGATTAATTTTGGTTAAGCCTGGTTGCAAACAAATTAAACTGAATATGTACGATGGGGTTTGAGATTGAGTCAGTTGGTACCTGTCTGATCTAAAAAAAAAAAATGCTATCAATGTGGTAAAATAAATATGTACTGGTTTGAGGTAACGTATTCACAAAAGTAACACGCACACCTTTTTTTTCTAAAACTTTTCGTAGGCGGACACAAAATTTTCACAAAATTAGTCGCACAGTACATGATTCTGTGGGATATTTTGGATTAATCTCAACAACAAAAAATTTTTAATGGAAATAATTCAAAACTTATTGACCGTAAGTTTAATACATGCTTGAAATCAAATTCTGATTAGCCTCATTTTTGAAATACTCTACTGGAATTTCCAATCAATAAATATTTGCTGTGCGTCTTACTCTGGGATAGGATCTGGTAAAAATTTTGGGCAAAATATCTGGGGATGTGTCTTACTTCGAGGTTGTGTTCGCTGAAGTAAATACGGTAGTTAATTTCAGTTAATTTAATTTATAATTTTATGGTAATACTTATGATTTACTATATGTTCTTTCCTATTGCAATGTACAAGAACACACTGTACTGTACGCCAGATGTTCATTGTTGAGTGGCAGTGGCAAGTTGTGTTCCAATTTTTTTACGTCCTGCACTGGTGGTTCTTTTTTATTGGGAGCAGTGAACAACTAGTCAAGCAGAAGAACTGATGTCTTCAGTATAAGGTTCATTGGCAGCTTAAAATTACGGAGATTGGTTCTAAAATGTGCGTAATAATTCATTTACAGTATTTCAATCGATGTGGCACGTTCACGATGCAGCTTGAGCATCATGAGCCTTTTCTGGAGATAACTTCATTTTATTCATCGCTCAAAACGACCATGAGATCCTCGGGACTCATGCAGCCCTTCATTCATCTCTTCCTTGGAAGCTGTCTGAAAGGTTGTGCGGTGTTTTTCGTTTTCGCGGATCTCTTTTGGGTTCATGGTTTCGAAGAGCACTGGTGATTAGAAGTGGCGTTCGAAAACATTCCGATTCAAACGAGTGTTGGAAGACAGTATGGAACATTTTCGAACGCCGCTTGTCAACTGCATTCGATCTCGAAATTTCCTGGCGTGTGTAATCGCGAAATCGTTCAGTTATCAGCAAGGCAAAAATATTAGTATTAGTGCCAAAGTGTTCTACCGTGTTTCGGGAGATTTTTGTAACTTTATGATGTGGCTTTTTCAAAACAATGACCATTCCAATGAGGGCAAACAAATTTCGCTTGATTGTTGCTGCGTGTGCCTAATGAGTTCGTTTGTGGAATTGCTTACCTTGAGAAACGAATCGTGGTTCAGGTCGCAGCTGCATTTTTTTTTTTCACTTGCGACGACATATCTTGAATTTTCGCGAAATCGTTCTAAGTCATGCGAATTTTGGAGGGAATTTTGTTGGTTGGTTGGTGTATGCGTTCGAGATCTCAATAATTTAGGTGTTCGTAGCGAAATAATCCGAGTTGTGTAATTCGCTGCGACGTATGGTATGTGTTTTTGAGCCATTCACTCAGCTGATTGAGATACAATCGATGTTACGCTGTTTTCTCCGGCCGATTTTTCTTCTTTTTCAATTTTTAGTTCCTTTTTTATGAGTGTAAACTCATCCGTGTGTATTTTTTTCTCAGGTTTCGAAGCATGATTCCATGGCCGAACTTTGCGGCTGGTTTTTTAATTTTGTTGATCGTGAAAGTGCAATTATGTGCGAGTTGGTATCAGCAAGAGGAGTTGGAATTATTCGACCTGGTGGAAGAAGTCGGAGAAAATTTTTATTCCGTCATGAAAGTTTCTTCGGTATGGAGCCGTTAATTCGTGGGTTGAAAATTTTTTTTTTTAATTTAACTTTATTTTCGCTTTAGGAAGCTACAAATTCAGAATTGAAGAAGGCTTTCAGGACCTTGTCGCTGACGCTGCATCCTGACAAAAACAGCGCTCCTGATGCGAGTGTGAAATTTCGTCAAGTAAGTTGATATACTGTAATTGTATGTCTGAAAAGTCAGAAATTGGCTAATCGTTTGGCAAAAACTTTTTTTTTTTTGTAGATGGTTGCTGTTCATGATGTGCTCAAAGATGCAGAAAAACGGAAACGATACGATCAAGTGTTGCGTGAAGGGTTGCCGGATTGGAAACAACCTGTTTTCTACTTCCGGCGTATGCGGAAAATGGGTTTCGGTGAATTGTTCGTCCTTCTGGGGACTCTGATGACTGTTGGTCATTACCTGATGAGCTGGGGTGCTTATTGGGAGAATGTCTGGGTAATTGAACGTCATCATCATGTCGTAATCGCGAATATCGCGAGTAAGAAGCACTGCCATGTCATTTTTTTAGACGCTCTCGGAGAACATGCCGAAGAAGAGGAAAAAGAAAGTCAAGGGGAAGGTAGAAGACGAGGAAGAAGAAGATTTCGAAGAGTTTTTGCAAAAGCCTGGGTAAGTATTGTGACTTTTCTTCTGACCATACTTTTTAACGCAATAATTTTTTTGTGTTTTTCAAATGATCGCAGATGGAGAACGCTGTTGCCCTTTATTCTCGCGAGGAACATGATCTGGGTTGTCGTTTCTATCCCAGTGTGGTACAAAGAACACAAAGAATTGCAGGAGCGTCGAAAAATTCTGCGTTTGCGGAAAGAAAAGGAAGAAGAGGAGTTTCTTGCTGCTGTCATGGCTGCGAAAGAGCCAAAACCCAAGAAGAAGCGTGTTCAGCACATCCCAGACTTCGAATCACTTCCCTGTGAGGCCTGCGATAATTTCGAAATTCATTACTTCGAAAATGTATTTCGTCGGGTCTATAAGAAAAAAACGGTCTCGTAAATTCATGAATAGTGGCCTTACAATTTGCGATTTGAGTTAAAAAGCGGAAAATCTTTCAAGAAAGTATCGGATGAATTTTAATTTGAGGTTCTCCCACTCAAACCTCCATAAATGTAATTTTCTGCGTTCATTTTGGTCATTATTTATTGACATAGGAAATGGAAAAGCAGTAATAAAGTAATTTGATCTGTTTTGAACGGAAGTGGAAGAATAATTGGGCAAGTGAACTCTTGCCTCCAATTTTAACATCCTGTGAACTCATTCAAGAAGCAATTTAAGGCCCAGAATTTCACCATTTTCAATTTTATACGAATTTTTCTTTCAACACATCCCATATTTCGATTCCCCTTCCTGTAAGACCTTCAAAGCTTTCAAAATTTACGTCATGGAACTGGTAGAAATAACTTCCTCGTACTTTCGTGATTTGAGTTTTAAAGCGGAAAATCTTGACAAGTTAATATCGGATGAACCTCAATCTGACGTTTCGGAACGTCTATGCATGTAAAAATACTGTATTCAAATTTATAGATGTTCCCTTTTTGAGAGGCAACTGGATACGAGTGCCTTTTAAGACCTATTTCCCCCAAAGTTTGAGTTTCAACTAGATTCTAAAATCGCGGATTTGGAATTTTACAGGTGGGTCCCCAGGGAGAAATGCAGCTCCGCAAACCACTGGCTCATCCGATGAGCCTGTTGAAGAACGTTCAGGTGGCCTGTGGACAGACAAAGACCTCGCAACTCTGGGAAAAATGATGCGGAAATATCCGGGTGCAGTTCCGGGTCGCTGGGAATTGATTGCCCGTCAAATGCAACGAACCGTTTTTGAAGTTACCCTTATGGCGAATCGGATTAAAAAATCCCAACCCGCCGCGGAATCTCTGGTTGCTCTGCAAAGTGAAGCTTCCAGCGGGCAGCAGCTGATCCCGAGGTGATTTTTCTTTGCATTCTCTTGGTGCAAAATCAAGCTTTAATTTTTGCGATTGGGACTTTGGGATGTTCACTTGAAAAATCACGTGGTTTGCGATAGCTTTACTTGATGAATTGGTTCAAGAGTGCTTCCGTAACAAGAAAAGTCCTGAATATAACCGTGAGAAGTCAGTTGATTGGAAACCCTCCATAATCGACCTGTAACGTTTATTTGTTATTGCTGTCAAACCTCTTCAAGTCGAACTTCGAAGAACAAGCAAAAGAAAATTCAACTCAAGGACACGAGCATTTGTGATGTGGAAAGCGAGAAGAATTACAGGAAATTGTAGCTGGTGATTTTCTAGGCCTTAAATTGCTTTTTGAATGCGTTGACATCCTGCTGAAAAAATATTCGACTATGTGAGGTATTCGATTTAGAGAGATTCGAGTTATTGAGGTTTAATTGCATCACGTCTACCAGTTTTAGGTATTGGTGAGCAGTTTCGTAACACTTTTGGGGTATTGCTAATTTTTTTTTTTCGTGTACCCTTTCGTGTGTTGAAAGTGTCAAACCTGGAGAACATAATTAATTCCATCTGGCCAAGATACTGTTACAAAACAAAATTTAAAGAATTTTCTAATGCAGTAATTTAAATAATTCAACAACCAGTCAGAGGAATTCCAATACCTGAAGTACTTGGAGCCACAGAAAACGGTCTCACTTCTGCGATATTCATGAGGTTTAAGGAGAAGTCATGGACTTGCGACCCGACTGGGTTTAGCAGGAAGGAATCATTGAATTCAAAATGACCCGAGTTGTACTGTACAGTATATTTGTTTGAAATCTTATTTCCGAACTTATTATCTTGCAGAGTTTAAATTTTGCGCACGGTTTTCTGCTTGATGAGTGCAGTTTAGTTTTTGCGCCGTTGGAACGCCAGTTGAACTAAAAAAAAAACGCTTTCTTGTCTCATTCAAGTACAGTACTTTACAGTACTTAATTCAGAAGTTTTCTCCGCATTTCATCGGAAATACTTATTAAATATGATAGGTCTTGAATTATCTGTTGTATTAGCACTTCAGTGTATTTATTGCCCATCTCCCACAAAATTTCAGTCCAACATTTGTTGACCATGCATCTCAATGCAACACATTTTTCATTATAATAAATTTTTATCAGGTCCCTGGGAGTTTGTTGTAACGAGTTTTTACGGTATTGTCTTTCTCCAGTCATGAAGCTGAAGCCTCCAGTTCTGATGACGAAGAAGATGAGGAGGAAGAATACGGGGGTCGGATGGCGGAATTCGAGAGACCAGTGTTTGAGGAGAAGAAGAAGGTGAAGCGGAAAGCTGCTCCAGTCGCTGCAGCGGGAAAGCCCTGGTCACAGATTCAGCAAGAAGCACTTGAGAAAGCGCTCAAAAAGTATCCGAAGGGAATCGATGAGCGATGGGAGAAAATTTCGAATTCCGTACCAGGCAAAACGAAGGTAGTGTATATATCGTTGCTGTGTAACTTGAACGTCCCTCGAAATGGTTTTAGTGATTTCGGCGTCATGTATTCCGAATATTTTAGAAGAGATAAGTTTCATAATTAGACGGAGAACTTCATGCAAAAGATTTATCGGGTAGAGGAAACACAAAAAGATTAGCTTTTTTCAAGAGCGTGCGTTAAGTCCGTCAAGGGAAAAGACAGCGAGGGTGGAAATGTAAATTATGAAGCTCAGGAATATGGATATCGTTTGTACCAGGGAAGTTTTTCGTTACAAATAAAATCATGAGGCATATACCTCGAACGTTTTTTTTTTTAATGAACGAATTGCCGAGTTTCGCGACGAATTCCTCAATAATGAACACAAGCCCTTGATTTGTCGCCAAAGGAATCATTAAAAAACCTTTCTAACGCTATGGATTTCTCCTTCGAACCACCGTAACTCGAATTTTCTGGAGGCCTTTTCGTTATTTTAGTGACACAGGAAGGAGAGAAGCAATAAAAATATCACTTGATGCGTTTTGAAAGAAAGAGAAAAACTACTTGAGCAAATGAACCCTTACCTCGAAGTTCAGCATCCTGTCAAATCATTTAAGAAGCAATATAAGGCCCAGAATCACCAATTAAAATTTCTCTTGATTATTTCTTTCCCCTGGACGAAAATGTTTGTTCCCTTAACTCAAAACCTCCTCAACTCGATTTGTTTTGCTGGTCCCTTGAAGTTAGATTTACGGAGGTTCCACTGTAATTAGCACTTGTGAAATTTCAGATTCAAACGTAATTAATTTAACCCGATTGTGCATTGTAAATTATTCCCAATCCTGGAAATGTCCGAGTGGTTTTAATGCCCTGCGCTTCGTTGAGCTATCTTCTCGAGTTCAGATCAGACGTATTCAAGTGTCTAAAATTCCTGTTCTCGAAGAATGACTGAATTATCTCATTTATCCAGGGTGAAAGAGAAATGAATAAGTAAAACCACCTTTTTTGCTGATGAACAAGCTTCCGGAAAAATGTTTTTGTTCGTGGAACAAATGAAGTTCTTTGAACTGTTTGTTCTTGGCGCAATTCTGGTTATTTTTATTTTTTTCTATGAGGAGATGTCGAATGAAAATTAACCTCGTGCTGATTTTTCAATCTACGGTTCGCTTTCGTGAATGCATATTTTTTGCCTTCCCAGGAGGATTGTTTGGAAAGATGTCGAGAGTTGGCGAAAAACGTGCGGAAGAAGAAAGAGGAAGTGGGAGGCCCTGAAGACGGTGAACCGCGTGAAGATGCACCTTGTGATAACGTGCTGTGACTTTTGTTTGTTTGTCGTTTTTAACTCATTCGGAAAGGATTTCGATGTATTTAACAATCGTTTGCGTCCTCGGGATTCTCCGAGGGTTTTGGTTGATGTTCGCGAGTTGCCCGGCATGGTGACAAGGATTAAAATCTCACACCCTCGGGCTGGGCTTGGTTTTGTAGCATCAATTTTTGAAACACGAATGAAGTGAATTTTGCCTTTGAGAATTTTGCATTATTGTTTCCACGCAGGTTGGAGAATGCGGCTGAAGTGCGGTGTGACCCACGTGTTCCATGATATCTTGCACGGATTTCCAGATGCTCCTTCAATTGTGTGAAGAATAAAGGCTTGGTTACCAACTGAACTTCATTATTTTATTGCTGTGCTAGTGTGCCTTCTAATCTGCATGTTTGGGTCATTCTGGTTTCTAACTAAAACTGCTGTAAAAAAAGACTGTTGCTTTATTTGGGTGTGAAAGTGGAGCTTCGTTGTTTTATCATATTCTGTATTACTGGAACACTAATACAGTACAGTGCAATACTTTTGTGTATTGGAAACCTTTATTTAATGTGTCAATGAATTATTACGCTAATTTAGTACAATATCTCATGATTTAAGAACACAACATTGTGTGTGGGAAGTTTGGCAAAGCAGAATTTGTCCACTGCAGCAGGCCATTTTGAAGGTTACGGAACTTGACAGATGTGATCTGATGACTGCTGGGTTCTCTTGGTGGTATCAAAGATGTACTGTACAAATCTTTGATAAAATACTGTATTCAGCAGGTGAACTAATTTCATAACTGAGTGACATACCATACTGTACTGTATTTACCCAAGTCCTATGTGCACCTTTTTCACACAAAGGGGGCATAGGGGTAGGTATTCACATTTTTCAAAATTTTTTATATATTCAGGTGTGCATGATGCTTGATTCTACTGTATAGTGGGAGATTTGGTGCCAAGTTCAACAGAAACACATTTCAATTGAAATCATTCAATATTTGTCAAGCTCATGTTCAATTAATGTCTCAAAATGAATTTCGATGTTCTTTTTTTGAAGTACAGTATTAGTGCATATGCAAATGCAGAGTATCAAAAAATGAGGTGCGCATCTTACTGGGGACAGGATTTCATTTAAATTTTCACCTGAAAAATCGTGGTTAGCATTCCATGGGCCACCATGGTGCTATATGTGGTATGGATAATGTACTATATGAAATAAACTGCTGATGTCATAAAAGTGGAATACCAGCGGAAGTGCTGTTAGCTAAAGGAGAGAATAGCTCGCGAAGTGCGCAGCCGACTTTTATTTTCAAAAAAATTGAGACATCATTTTCTTGTGTAAATCGCCCGTTCATAGATAACTTGCACAGTAACAGTCGAAACCCTGAATTTATTGATTCTGTACCTTGCCAATATTGTAGCGCTTGAATACAGTACAGTTAAGTAGTTTGATTACAGTATTGTACTTAGATTTTTCTATGCTCACCCAGACTAGCTCTAGGTCGGGGTTTATAACAAATGGAGTTCTACATTATACCGGGATAGTTTTTCCATAAAACAAAACAACTCCTCGCAGTTGGGATTAGCCTGAGACTGAACTCATTCTCTGGTGCCCACATCGTGTGAAGCTTCGCCGTAAACTCTATTTTTTTCCCGGCCCGATGCGATAAGCTCATTTCTTGATCTGTCTGGAGCTGGTGAACCGGCGAGAGTTCGAACTCAACTGGGACAGCTCCGGAATTTTTGTTCAGAAATGTGTATCTGTTAAGACCGTAACAACATCCTCTGAAGTTATTTTTGCAGTTGACGAAGTAAGCGGGAAGTAAATGGTGTAAATATGGAAGTGGAGGACGACAACCGGGATGAAGCGATGGGGGAAGACCTGGAAGGCTCACTCACAGAATCATCCGTTTCATCCCTCAACCCCGTCGAACAGTTTTCCCCCAGAGCTTCCACTTCTTCCATTCGTTCTACGTTGAAAACTTGCAACGGCGATTCTGTGATGGCAGCTGCTGGCACACAAGGAAGTGTAACTATTTCGCTACATCCCTTGGTTATCATGAATATCTCCGATCATTGGACCCGAGTCAAGTCTCAAGAGGGTTCATCAAAGAAAGGTGCCACATTCAAACTGTGTGACGGTTAATCTCAGCTCATCATGTTGCACGCGTATCGTTTGTTTCAGTGATCGGGGCGTTGATCGGACAACAGAAAGGGCGTCACTTGGAACTGATGAACTCCTTCGAGCTGAGTTACGACATTATCGACGAAGCATACGTTTTCGATAAGGACTACTACTCTATGAAGGAAACACAGTGTGCGTTCTTTGTAGAAGTTACGTTCGTGTCAATCCTTGTGATCAATTTTGTTCTTCCGTAGTCAAACAAGTGTTCAGTGAAATGGAATTCCTTGGCTGGTACACGACTGGGGGTGAGCCTGATCAAACGGACATTCAGCTCCATCGTCAAGTGACTGAATTTCACGAAAGCGCAATTTTCCTGAAGTTGAACCCTGTGGCCAAAGACACCGAGGTAAATGCTCTACCCTTGAAACATTGCAAGCCAAATATCAATCTCAGATTTTTTAATTTATTACAGCATCTACCTGTGAGCGTGTACGAGTCGCTCATCGACATTGTTGAAGGTGAAACGAAAGTGTTATTCCTGCAAATCCCTTACACATTGGCAACGGAAGAAGCTGAACGAATCGGTGTTGACCACGTCGCGAGGTTCACTTCCAGCGTTTCAGGAAGTAATTCTCAGGTCGCTGAACACCTTCAGGCTCAGTTTGGTGCAGTGAAAATGCTGCACAGTCGAATCAAGTTCATTCTGGAGTATCTGAAAGCCATGGATAGAGGAGAGGTTCGTATATCTGTAATGCTTCATGTGTCATTAATTTTGAAACATGCGACCCCTTGTTTTTCCGGAATAAGGAACTGATAAAAATTTTGCTCTGGAAGTGGCCCAATTTCGTTTTGGAATATAATTGATTAGTTTGACTGCCGAGGACTTCGCGTTGCAAGTTGTTCAGCTTGGGAGATTTCCCAGACTGTCATCAATTTTTAAATTGAGAACACATCTGAATTCGCTGTTGAAAGTGAAGAGGAAGTTTTTTTAAAAGCTAAACGTGAGTCTTGCAGTACAAAGAAATGCTCATCAAATATTGGGTACTGTTCTAGAACAAAATCAGGTTGCGGAAGTGGTGGAGATAGTGATACCTGAGGGTTGATGCACTTCCCACATTGGATGATATACTGACTGGGCACACGTAAATTGTTCAAATTATTCCTCAAAGGTTTCTATGCCTGTTTTTGTTTTCAGGTTCACGAGAACCATGAGATTTTACGACTTGCTAATGCGATGTCCCATCAGCTACCAGTTTTCGGCGGATCGGATTTCTACGCCGCGTTTTACAACGTATGTATATCATTGTTTTGAAATGAACGGAGTCGGAGATGATTCATTTCTGTTTGTTCACTTCTAGCAATGCAACGATGTGGCTTTGGTGGCCTATTTGGCGTCCATCACGAAGAGTTGCCAAACCATGAATCAGTTCGTGAACAAGTTCAATATACTGCATGATCGCCATTTGTACGGCCGCCGGATGCGAGGAATTTATTTCTGATGCAGTTGCGTGATTCCTTCAAATCTCACTTTTCCTCGTACTTTTCTGTTGGGTGATTTGCTTGTAAAACTCACGAGGTCATCCTGCCAATATACGGTAAATGATTCGACGTCAATTACTCTTTTCATTCTTTGTCCTAACAGTGTAGAGTTGAAGTGATTTTTCCATTACGAAGTTTATCTGCATTGTTGCCAAATAGCTTTACGACTTTTATGCATCAGGTGGTTCAAATATTCTAGTTTTTTTTCAACGTGCTCATATGTGTATCACCCGTATTTACTCGATTTTTTCTCAGAATTAAAAAGAAAGAAATGGGTTGCGTGTAATATACAGGTATACAGTTTTGAAAAAGTCTGAGAAGTTCAGATGTGAAATATATTTGATTCTAATGGGGAATTTTGAGCCAATTTCATCTGAAAAACTTCGTTTTTTTTTGGCGGGAAAACTTGAAAGTTACTTGAATTCTGGCTCAATTCATGTTCTTATCGAAATTGTGGTGTCCTTATTTTTGAAGTACTGTATTGCAGTTTTAAAGGCACTACAAGTTGGGTGGGCATCTTATTTGGGGATACAATTTGATCAACATTTTGGACTGAAAAACCTGGGCGAGCATCTTACCTGTGTGTGGTACTTGAGTAAACATGGTATTTCAGTTCAGCAATATTTCAAATCACCTGGGAAATTCTCGAAGTTTAACTATCATTCGGAGCATTTAATTTGAGCCTGGACCTTTTGGAGTCAATTCATTGTTGCCGGTTATTGATATCCAGATGTTTGTAGATCATCCAAGAAAGTTTACCGGAAATCCTTATGCAAAAATGAGAGAAAAACCGTTCCCGACCTCACATCGAAAACGAACCTTCAAAAAATTTTCATATACTCTCGGTACTCTTAATCCTACTTACTGATTAATCATTCTACCGTTTTTCTTACTTGGGTTTCGGGAATGAGAAAATGGTGAAACAAAAGAAAGTTCGAACGAGTGTGAGGGGTAAACTTCAGCGTTCCACGAGGTAATTGAATCACCGTGAAGGTTTTCTGTGGGCTAATGACTGATTTTTTGTTTTTAAATGAAACCGGTTGGTGCTTTTGAAAAATGTCGGGTTCGTATCTTTACGATCTCGAACCAACGTTGTTTCAGAATGTGTAACTCCATATTTCAACCCTCACCCAGGGGTACAGAAACTTTTTCCGTCATTGCTGCAATAATTTGATTTTTTCAATTTTTCACGAGATTTGTTGTGATCGTGGACTGGATGAGGTTGGAAAGCATTTATGCTAATCCGCTTCGAAGTAATTAGTAGCAGGAGTCCTTGAATAAAATATTCGTAATTTTTGCTGTACCCATGACTGCAATTTTTTTTATTTTTAGCCAGGTGTCTCCTGAGTCTCTCCCATCCGCAAATTAATGTGATTAAACCACGTGTTGTTGAAAAAAAGATGTGATAAATCAACTTTTGCAAGAAAACTTGTGTCCGGGTTTTTTCTCAGAGGGAGGAAATCTTAAAATGTAGAACGTTTATCTCGCATCTCTCGGAGCATATCAGCAACACCTTTTTATGGAAGTAATATTTCACATGTTTGATGAGCGAGATGTCAAGATTTTTTATGAATGGTTGGGACAGTTTTTTTAAAATAAGGATTAAAATAATTTGCCTTGAGTGAGACGGTTTTCCACAGCTATCCAGTTCGGTCCAACACAAGGAAGTTACCGGAAGTAATAGGAGAGATTTTACCCTCCGACGCTGACGAAGTTCGTCTAGAGAATCGGGACGAATTCGGAACTGCGCAAGTGCCAATAATCCCTGGGACTTTGTACTGCAATTTAGCGGATAATTGTGCAGAATTCAAGGCTCATTTCCGGTCTTTGGAGGACTTCTGTGCGTGTGATTTAATGAAAGAGAGCGAAGACACGGAGGATGAAGGAGGATCACGTTTTCAGCAGGCGAAAGAAACGTAAGTCGAAGTAGATTTGTTGCCCTTTATCGCAGTTCAAAGTTATCTGATGGATACTCTACGCTTTTACCGTATTTGAGAACCCAAGAAAAGCGACCAAACTCACTTATTATGACGCTGATAGAAATTTTTTAAGCTAGCCGAATATTAGACTACAGTAATCTAATGCCTCGCCTAACATAATTCTATGACGCATAACCTAATGACTCGCCCAATCTGATTTATTGGCTCACCTAACCTAATTTGACGAATCACCTGACGTAATGATCGAATAACGTATCCTGATGATAGTGACTAATCATTCTGAATTAATTGAAAAACTCGATTGAATGATGTAAAACTTACGAATATTTGCAATGGGGCCCGATTCCTAGGACCAGATGATATTTTCTTCAGTTGTAATGATTCAAGGACTCATCCTGATGATTAAATAATTATTCTGAATTGTTGACTAAGTCGATCAAACGATATAAAACTTGATAGATGCTACATGCTAGGAAAGAGACCTGATTCCCTCAATCAGATTAGCTCTTCCTTAGGTGTAATGATGGAATAACTTATCCTGATGATGAACTAATTATCCTAACAAACTCCTGGCATTTAAATGAAAGTTGCATCTGACTGATGTAATTACTGTACTGCAGTGTGAATATATTGGTTACTGCAATACCAGAACACCTTTTCTCATGCCCAGCATTCCACAGCATCAGAATTGAACTTTTTAATGACTTGAGATTCTCACAACTTGATCAAAAAGTATTTTCCCGAATATCAGAAATCTGTTAGCTTTATGTGATTTTTTCTCAAAGATTATCTTTAAATTGTTCTATAAATTAAAAATTATCTGTGGGAAACATGCTTTGAATCTTGTGAACGCGGACAAGCCACAAAACTTGTGTATCAATCAGTCAATCAATCACAACAATCGCATGTCAGGAAAGGGACTTGCATCCTTTAACCAGATTTTCTTTGCTTCATGTGTTATGCTTGACTAATTATGCTGAATGATTGACTAATTATCCTGAATGATTGACTAACTCAATTGAATGATATGAAACTTTACAAATACCTGTATTAGGAAAGAGACCTGATTTCTTCAACCAAATAATCTTTTATTCAGGTGTAATGATTGAATAACTTATCCTGACTACTGACTAATTATCCTAAAAAAACTTGTAACATTTCAATAAAAATTTGATTAAATTCTCAAGAGTGTCTAAGTGGTGTAATTACTGCAAAACCTTTTTTTATTCCCAGCATTCCACAGCATCAGAATTGATATTTCAAATTGACGATACAGAACCGTGCAAAAGTCAGGAAAAAGCACATGATTCCTACAAAGAGATTCTCGTTTTCTTCAGGTGTATGACAGTCATCTCGGATTTTTTCCCGACCCTCTCTGACGTTTTAACACCCACCTGTCACGATTTGGCGGGTTCGGACGAAGTGTTCGCCACCCGAGAAGAATTGAAGCACAAGAGGTTGAAGGTGTCGAAACCAACTCCTGTGTCGTCTCCAGCAAAACTCGCGGCATCGGAATTGATAGACGAAGCTGCAAACACCGGAGGGATTCACGTCAGGAAGTCCATCATACCGTCTCCGAATTCTGTGTCTACGTATCAAAGAGCTGGAATGGTGAAGCCGGTTCTTCATCCCATTGATCCATTTGTGGGCTGTGTTAACCTTCCGAGCTTCAAGACTTGTGAGTGAAGGATTGTATCCCGTTACAGGTGGACTCTCTCTTTCGCTGCGACAAAATTTTCTCTACAACAGTTTTCTTCTGGTTTATTGACTACGAAATTCTCTGTAACGAAATTCACTCGACGACGAATTTTTTCTGCTCCCTTGATTCTCTCTGCAACGAAATTTACTCTACTACGAATTTTTTTCTGGTTCTTTGAGATTTTCCGATCCGTTGAATTTTTCTGTTCCCTTGACTCTCTCTGCAATAAAATTCTCTCTAGAATCTCTACGAATAATTTTTATGGTTCCTCGAATTTTTGGTTTCTTTCTCTCTCTTCAACGAGATTCTCTCCACGAAGAATTTTTTTATGGTTCCTTGACTCTCAGCAACGAAATTATCTCTATAACTAATTTTTTTTCTGGTCCCTTGAAGTTCCTTGCTCTGTTGACTCTGCAACGAAATTCTCTCAGCAACGATTTTTTTTCTGGTTCCTTGACTCAGCAGATAAATTCCCCTAAAACCAATCTTTTCTGATTCTTAGAATTTTTCTGGTCCCTCGAATTTTTCTAGTCCCTTGACTCCCTCTGCAACGAAATTTTCTCTACAATGAATATTTTCTGGTTCCTTGAATTTTCCTGGTCCCTCGACTCTTTCTGCAACGAAATTCTCTACGACGAATTTTTTCTGGTCTATTGACTCTCTCTGCAATTGAATTCTCTCTGAAGTACTACAAAATTTTTTGTTCCTTTGAATTTCGTTGTAGAGAACCCTATGTGACCACCAAAAAATTCAATCTACACAGAAAATCGTTGTTGAGAGAGTCCACATACACTATCAATTGCAAATTGTTCTCCTTTAGATTGTAGCTCGTTTGCCGCAATGCTTGTATATGAAAGCGTCATTGACGAAAAATTATCCAAGATTCTAGAAATTTCACGACAGATCAGAGACAAACTACTCAAAACAACATAAAATGGTGCATTTTGTTAGGCTAATTTTTCGAACTTCCTACGCACACTCTAGAGAAGGATTGCGAAACTCTGGTAGTGACGGGATAATTTTCATTCCTCATCATTCAAAATAATGAAAAATCGCTTTAAAATTTCGAAAAATTCCGAAACCCTCGAACATGATGCAGAAGATAATACAGTCTAATTTCGTGGGACTCGGTCTCGAGATGCAGTGATAAAATGCGCGTACTCGGAGGAATGAATTTTCGTATTTACGGGACGTTATCGGGGAGTGCTGAAAAATTGATTTAAAATTCCGAAAACATACCAAAACCCACGAATATGATTCAGAAGAGAATGAAATTCGTTGAGAGTCGATCTCGAACCGCTGCGAAAATATCAGATTCCCTACGGACCTTTGAAACCTCTTCGTGAATTGATTTCAAAAATTTTGGCCAAAAGTGTTCTCCATTTTTGATCTTGAGGTACTTCACCGTACTGAATGTTCTTTCCATTTCAGCCAGTGATTGCGAGGAATCTGGTCCCGAGAAAAAATCCAGTCTGGTCTTCGACAAGGTCTCCTCAGCTCTAGCGAAGATCACATCCGACCTCGGCCGACTCGGCGCCGATATTGCGTGTCTGGGATCCAGGAATTCATTCGAAATGAGCGAGCGGAAGTACTTGAAATCCGCTGATGTCCAGCGCACGGGGAAACGAAATCCTCTTCCGGTCTTTGGTCGATGTCCCTGCATGTCTGACGCTGAAGACGCGAAAAAGCCCGCGGTCAAACGAAACCCACCCCCCGTTCGGCCGACGAACTCCTCTGTGTACATTCCTTTCGAGTCTGAGCACCACAAACCGGACCACGTGGAAGATCATCATCAGAGATTCGAGAACATCTTGGGTCGTGATGTGAAATCCGTGGGAAGACGTTATTCGGGGCAGGATACCGGTAGTCCGAGCAGTGTTTGTCGAACGCCTACCGGGAAACGTACTTACATGATCGGTGGCCGGAAGGGTGTTGTCTTGGGCAAACTCGCGTCTGCGTCCAAAATAGTTGAGAAATATGCTGCGGGATTGAGGCGATCCAAGGCGAGTTTGTTTGAATTGGTTCACAAAATACGTGTGTGTAGACCGGCAAATTTCCCACTTTTTCTGCAGTTCGGTTAAGTGTTCTAAAATTTCTGCAGACTAAAAAAGAAGTTTTTCTTGTATGAATTTTTGGCAGGTATATAAAAAGTTTCCGTTTTTTTGCAAAAACGGAGTTGAGATCCAATGAAGCAGCTGTAGTGGAATGTCTTCAGATTAGAAAGGTGGACTTGGAGAAAGGTTTTGTGGAATGAAAACTTGGAATTTATTTCAGAAGGCAAAAATTGTCTGAATGGTTTTCAGGAGGAAAGCCAACTCATAATTTCCATCGGATAATTTCAACTGAAATTTTATTTCCAAAATTTAAGATAAAGATAACAGACTTCATTGCCTTTTTCTGATAAATGTATATGCTGAAGAAAATTTCCTGCGGACAGGCAGAACAATTCTGCGGACTGGTGCTGGTCCATGGACCAAGGGTTGGAACATGGATTCAGACAATCTTGTACTACTGTGCCTATACAGTACTGATTTACTCAAGTACCATATGCACCCTTTCCCTCAAATTTGAGAGGAAAAAGGGGGTGCGCATCTTAGGCGGGTTTACATTTTTTTCTAAATTTAGGTGTGCATCATACTTGACTTTGATGGGGAACTTTGACTAAGTGTAACAGATGAACTTATTATAATGGAAAGAATTGAAATCCATATTTGGATGATCTTATTTTTGAAATATTGTGGCTTTAGAGTCACTAGAAATAGGGGGCGCATCTCAATTGGGTTAGGATTTTATGAAAATTGTCAAATGAAAAACTCCGGTGCGTGTCTTAATTGAGGATGTGTGGTACCCAAGTAAACATGGTTTCCCATAGGACAAATTCGAAAGTATTGTAGATATAAATTGGTATGAAATTTAAATGCAATTTTGATTGCTAGTGACATCTATCTGCGTGTGTAAGAAACGCCTCTTCCTGATGGACAACAAGTAAGAACGTAGAATGGAACTTCGATAACTTGAACTTCCTGAAGTCGAATTTTTTTCGGAGACACTGCCTAAGAAATAATTCATTCAAAACCTCTTCAACTCGAAAGCCTTCCTCCTCAATCCTTCATACCAGAAATTTGTGGCCAGAAAGTGTCCATTAGAAATACCAGTGAAAATTGATATTCTGACTGTATTGAATAAAAAGAGATTTGATTTTTCCACAGGAAAGTTTCATAGCCCTTGGGATTGTACGAAGGAAAGGCAGAGATCCCTGCTCTGGTGCTGCTCAATCGTCGCTCGAAAACCTGCCAAGTAAACGGAATTGAATTGAAAATACTATCGATACATATTGAATCGAAAAAAAAAATTCGCAATATCACCAGCTGCTCCAGAATCGACGCATTTGTTGGACTCAGTTCGTGCCATGTGCCGGAAGGGATCCGTGACTTCTGAAGTGGTTGACAAGTATCAAAACGTTGTCAATGAGTTTTCATTCGCGAATAATAAAAACCCGAGGTGTAATACTGAGCTGAAAGATGGATTGAAAGGGAAAGCTTGCGGATTGTGTCGAATCAGTCACAGTGAAGTGAATATTTTCAAGAGGTGCAGTCGAGTGTCTTCTGGTGAACAACCTACTGATCGTGAACAAGCTCCTGCTGATCCTTCAGGTACGTTGGAGAGGGATGCGTTTTTTTTTTGGATGCTATGAAATCTGTCCATTGATCAGATTTTTACCAAATGTTCTATTTGGTGAAAAGGTGTTGAATATGATGCCTCACTCGTATTTTTATTCCTAAACTTATTTGAGGGGAGATCAGGCCACATATTTGCAATACCGATCATCTATGTGGAATCACTTCGAGTCAAGTTTTCTCAATTATTACTTTCTCTGATTTTCCTAGGTTTTTATTCTCATCAGGAATGAGCCTCAGTACAGTACTGCTAATTTTCATTGATTTCCTGGTAGACAGCCTTGAGAAACATTGACTCAGAAGTTATGAATTCTATAGATGAATTTAAAATAATGGCAAAACTGTTTAATTAAAGAATCGAGCAAATTTCTAACTCAATTTTAACCCGAATTTGATTTTATGAATAGTTTTTAATTCGGAAAGCCAATTCTTTTGTATACATTGCGACGTGAACGTTCTGCAGAATTTACTCAGTGGTAAAAAAGCAACTGTTGGTGTGCTAAAAAGCGTTAAACTTAAACGACTCCCTTTTATTTTTCTTCCGATTCAGAAAAAAATCCACATGAATACTTGTTCGCGCCTGGGAAAGATTGTATCACTTCAAGTGAATTTTTCTGAAGTATCATTTTCTTCTATTTTATTGGATATCTGAAAAAATCAGGCTTCCTTTTTATCATATGTGAAATTTTCAGCATATTTGAAAAAATCAAGCTTTTTTCCGTTCTGTGATATTTGTCCATTGATCAGATAATAATGTTCATTTGGGAAACTTGACGCCTGACTTATATTTTTATTCTCAATATTTTTCAAATGAAGATCAGGTTAAATAAACGCAATACCTGTACGGAATCACTTCGAATATATCATCTCGCTTTTCTTATTTTTATTCCGTTTTTTCTATTATTATGGTTTTGTATCATTTTTCTCCGATTATATTTTCTTTGTAAAAAGACCCAATTTACATGTTACGTTTTCCCCGTTATGAATGAGTCTCGGTACTGTAATTTGTAATTAATTTCTTGATGCGATGTATTGTATCAAGAAAACGTGACTCAGAAATCTACGTTTACCCCCCAGAGCAACGGGATTACCAGTCGACGGAAATTGCGCCGAACGTGATCCTCACTGTCCCGAGATCATCAGTGCAACCCCAGAACCCCATTCTGAACCAAATTCACGCGGTGTCAATAAATCAGAACCCGTCTCCCGTGTCCGCGTCAACCTCTTCGGGACCAGGACGAACCCAGGGCAGCAGTGACGCTCGATGCCAAACTGAAGAACCAACAACGGTCGAAGATCATTTGCATTATGATGCTGCTGCTGGTGCTGGCCCATCAACAACCGTGACGATGGGCATCCCTGTCCAGCCTCGGCATAGCATCGACGAGGCCTACGTCAAGTTCTGGACCCGAGGAGCTGATCCGGAATCTGCAGCAAGTACTCAAGGCAGTTCTGGGTTTTTCTATTGGAATGATGAGGAAGATCGGAGAGCTGCTGAAGCAGCTGCAGTGGCGGCAAGTCATGTTCCCATGAATGATCAAGTCAAGGTGTGTGTGTGTGTTTTGTGGGACGATGATTGGTTTCATCATAAGTTTCCGTCCGGATCGTCGTGAAATAAATCAATAATTTACAGGAAAATATCACTACAAATAAAATATGAAAAGATCCTCGTAATGAAGTTTGGCATGAAGAGGATTTTCTTATTCTAGGCCCCTCGTCCTGTTTCCGTCAAGTTTTTCGCTTGAAACATTCAATTACACTTGGAAGTTCGTGGAACTGAACCTAAAAAAAAAATTAATAAATATATATATATATATATATATATTACAGTATTCATGTGGTGAAATTTCAACTTTTCCATCTTTTCTTCATTTTTGAGTGTACGTGCTAATGCGGGAAAAAGGATGGAAATGGTGTGCAGTATTGCTCATGTTTTTCTAATTTTTGTTTGACAGTAAAATTCCGTTGCCACGAATCTCATTAAAAATTATTTTGTTAGAACTAGTATTTTATCGATCCCAGCAGTTTCTTCCTGGGGAAAATAAAAAAATTTTCCTAAAAAAATGTTATAAACAATTTTTCCTAAAAAATGTTACAAACAATTTTTCCTAAAAAATGTTATAAACAATTTTTCCTAAAAAATGTTATAAACAATTTTTCATGAAGTCATTTGCTTTCCGTAATCTCAGTATGCACAATTTTTGCCTTGATTAGGTGTGAAAATTGGCCATGGGCATTTTTACTAATTGGCCCAATATGGAAAAGCTAACTTTCAAATGATTGAAAGCCATCAAAATTAAATGCTCCTCTTTTGTAAAGAAAATTTAGCATTACAAGAAGTTTGAAGTTCTAATCAAAATGTATCTACCTCTTTTTTTAAATTTTTGAATTGACTAATTCAAAAGAGAAACTCTTCGAAAGGATGTCGCTATATTTCAGGGTACATAAAGTTGTCAATGAATGCTCTTCTGATATTGTACATATATTTTGTGTTAGTTTCAGGTTATAATTCAGTTAGACGAGCAGATTTTTCTTCTAGTCGAGAAAAGGGAAGGTCTGAAATACGAGCATTGTATCTTGCATTTTGAAATTTTTCTATTATTTAATCCTAAGAAATGGAAAATGATGGTAATTTTTCACTCATATCGTGTATAGAAATTCATTACTGTACTTCAAAGCATTTATTACCTGTTGTCCAAAAGATTTCAGTCCTACACGCTCATGGAAACATCATGAATCTCATCATAATGAATGTTTTCTCAGGTGAGGAGAGTTTGTTTTTCATCTCAATCTCCTTGAGAGGTCGTTGTAATGAGTTTTTACTGAGTTGCATCCTGAAGACAGAAATTGTAAGACTGGAACTCTGGAAGGAAAATTTCGTAAAAAAAAACCCTCGTAGATAATGCAACAATTGATGGAGTATTGGATGATGAAGTTTTGCATTATTTTCTAGTTACCCACGGATGATAATGAACAGAGAAATGAAATCAACCAAGCAGTTCATTCGAATCCGGAATTGCAAAAATCTGCGTCGAATAGTTTGCTGAATAAGGACGCGATTGCGGATAGCACCAGCGCCTCTTTGCGGGTTTCCTCATCTGACTGGCTCGCAAGTGCTGCCCACAAAAGCAGCGATATTGAAACTGCTTCCAAAGGTATGATGCAGTAAATGTGGGATTCGTTTTTATTCTTCACTTCTGGGTTTTGGGATGTCGCGACTCAGCGATTTTCGGTGTAATCATGTAGGTGTCGCTGCTACCTTGGCTTGTTGAAATATTGTACAATATAACGAAATTCTTACTCGATTCAGGATATGATATTAGTCTGAGTCACGTGACGTTTGATTGAGATGGTCTAGGTCAGGGTTCCCCAATCTTTTTAGGCCCGCAGACTGGCAAATTTCCGTAAAATTTTTTGAGGACGAGCAAATTTCTCAAAGATGTTCTGCAGACCAGCAAACTTTTTGCGCTCTCTAAAAAGTTTTGCCTGAAATACTTCGACAGGTAATGAAGAATTTTCTGTTATTTTTTAAAAAAGAAAATTGAGTTGAGAACCTATGAAGCAGCTATATAGTGGAATGCCTTCAAAAAATTTGAATGGTGGGCTTGAAGAATGGTTTCTCAGAATGAAAAATTAAAATGATTTATTTCAGCAGGTGAACATTTGTCTGAAGTGTTCTTAGGAGAAAAGTCAACTGTTATTTTTCACCAGATAATTTTAACTGCAATTGTTGTTCACAATTTTCAGATAAAGATTCTGTCATGTCCTTCATTGATAGTTTTGACAAATTGATTATGCTTTAAAAATTTTGCAGACTGGCAAAAAACTTTGGCTGACTGGCACTGGTCTGTACTGTACACCTAAAAACAATAATATACAGTAGTTGAATCTTGCAAGGGACCATGAATACAGTTTAGTTAGGGAGGTTTTGAGTTTGGGAAACAATCATTTTTGTTGAGCCAAAAATGATGAAGTATTAAAGGAAATTTTTAATTGGTGATATTCTGGGCTTTAAAGGGCTTCTTGAATAATCTGAAAAACTGCTGAAGTTGAAGGCAAGGGTTTGTTTGCCCAATTTTTCTTTACTTCCTTTCAAAACTCATTGTTTCCTTTTGAATGATGTTTTTTCATTTGACAATGCTGAAGTAATAGCCAAAAAGAATCCAGAAAATTGAGAGTTTTTGGGTTTTTCATTGATTAATGAGATTTTTATGCGATGTTTCTGAGGGGATTCAGAAAAAGACTTATGTGAGTTTGTCTTGAGGAGGTTATTCAAGTCATTGAGGTTCAGGTGTATTTATCCCTACACAAGCGACAACTATACCAGAAAACATTGTCGGTTTCTGACCTGCTTTGATGACTTCATTATTTTCGCTCTACATTGCAGGGAAACGTGAAGAAGAAACGTACAACGATGTCAAACCTTTGGCTGAAACTGTTGCAGAAGTGAAGAAACCGAGGAGATTGAGTATCAATAGCTTGACTTCGAGCAAAAAACTGACCTTGAAGCCGAGTATTTTAGAACTCAACGAAACTCCATTGAACAAGCGTCGTTTAGGAGCCCCAGCATCGCTGGAAAACGCTTTGAGTCCCATGTTACCTCCGTCTAAAGAAGTGGCCAGAACTTCCAGGAGATTCTCATTGCCATCCACAGTTTTCTTTGAATTGCCGAAAGTGAGTATTTGTTTTTATTTGTGGAGCAATATACAGTACGTAGTACGACGAAGTTTAGAATTCGTAAATATAAAATCATGGGTGCGCATCGAGGGAAAGAAGATACGTTTTCAAATTTTCGGCTTCGAATTTCCAGTGTTGTACAGTATTTCGTCTATTTAAAATCGTGTGCTTTAGACTTTTCTTATTGTTTTCTGATGGGTGTTTTTTAGGATATAGTTTATTAGAATTTTTCGTACTTATCGAATGAAGAACCACCAAATTAAAATTTTCCCGAAGAATCTAAGATGAATCTTTGATGTTATGTTTGTTGGAAAACTGCGTCCGAAATTTGCGTTCTTTCGATGCAATTTGTTGATGAATTCCGGTAAATATTCCTTTCTGGTGAAATGCAATTTGGTTTACAGTAAAAATGTATTATAACGAACTCATAGCGGGATCTGATGAAAAACTTGTTGGTTAAAAAAATTAGTTGTGTCAAGATTCATGGTTTTTTCACACACTTTTAACTGAAATTTTTTTGTGAAATGAGTAATAAATACTGTGAAGTGCTTTCAATAAAGATATTTCAAGACCTGTCATAATTTCTATAAGTCTCTCTGATCAAATGAAGCTGAAAAGGTTGGAATTTACTTTTCCTTTCATGGAACCCGCCTTTCTCCAAAAGTGCTGCTGGTCTTGTGCAATAAAATGAAACAAAAGAACATGTAGGGGAAATACTGTAATCTCTTCTGAATGAACTTTTTCATTCATACAAATTTGCTCCTTCAAATCGAAACAAATTCTTTCGAAACATTTTGTACTTGAAAGAAAGACATAAATCCTCAATTGGTGTTAAAGAATTATTCAATAAATATGTACACCTTTCTGTATTTTTGAACACTAAATTTTCTCTAAAAAGAGTTTTGTTTTCTTGATGAATTTGGATTTCTTCACCAGTTCAATTTTTTTCAAAATTTCTGCCGTAAAAAAAAAAAATTTCTATGGCCTATGCACATAATTGGCTCAAAAGTTCGTCATACTGTACTGAGATTAAAGCCTAGCATGAATTAAAAAGATATTTTTTAAAATAGCGACTGTGGAAAAACTGCTGGGAACCGAAAAATTCTTATATACGAAAAATTCGTTAAAACAGAAATTCGTTGAAACCAAAAATTCGTTAAAACTAAAAAATTCTTTGTTATGGAAATTTACTGTTCTTTGTATTTTGTACCTTTCCATATTTCCAGGTCTCCACCAATAGTCCCTCAGCTAAGCTCCAACCCAAATGGCAAACGTCATCCCACGAACTTCTGAAACCCAGTCAGAGTTTATCAGCTGGGGAAGCGTCATCAAAAGAAGAAAAGTCTCCACCTTTGAAACGCTCCAAGTCCAGGAGCAGGCGGAAGTTTATCGCAAAATTGTCCAAGGAAGATATCAAGAAGTCTGTGAATTTGTTGGATCGTCCTGGTGTCGGGGCCGGGGTACGGAAACGAGCGATTCAGTTTACAGCCAGCACCAGACACCAGCAACCCGGTGGTAATACCGATAACGAGGAAGAGAATTTAGCTCTGGATTTCATTGCTGACAGAGAAGTTCCGATTCGGCTGCCTGGAGATGTTCTCAGGTTTGTCATAAAGACGTGATCATTTCGTGTGAGATGTTTTTTCTGTTTTTCTTTTAAATAAATCTCAGAAGTGTCTGAATAAGCATGATTTTTAAAATGAAAGAAAGATTTTGTCCGTATTGCAGTTCTGGAATCAAAACTACAGTACCGTACATTCGGGAGACGTTTGAGTTTTAACCATAGCAATTCAAACTAGTTACAGTAGTTACAGTATTTATCTATCTTGAATTTACCATAAGGACAAGAAAATGATTTCAGTCAAATTCTATTCCCAATAATCGTTTTGCGACGAATTTTTCGTTGTAACGAAGTATTTTATTGGTCTTGACAGTTTCTCAATGAGGACAATGCTACGCAAATTACTTTTTAACAAACGAATTTTCTTATATAATTTCAGTACATTAACGCATTTTGGCCCTGATTATGTGTACATGGAAACTTTCCCTTATTGGCCCAATATGGGAAAACCCAACTTTTGCCTAATTGAAAAACCCTAAAAAATGTCAACACTAATCTATGGCACAGGGAATTTAGCATTGCAGTGAGTATGACGCTCTAATGCAAAATTTATCTAGCTTTATCTTAGAATTTATAAATGGTTAATTGAAAATAAGTAGTGCTTTATTTTAGGGAACAGAAGTTGTTGATAAATACATTTTATGAAACTGTACATCATGTAAAGTATTTTCGGTTTGTCTGAGCTTATTATAATTCAATAAGCCAATAATATTTTTAGAAAATTGAAGAGAGGGAAGGTCTAAAATAAGATAATTATTTTTATTTGTTGAATTTATTGAATGTTTATCAAAAGAAGTGGTAAATGATGGCCATTCTTCACATAACTGTTGTGGAGGTACTTGAAAGCATTCTTTATTTGTTCCCCAAGAGGTTCCAGTCCCACATGATAAGAAAATCAGTAATTTCATGGCACAATACCGACTTTTTCACTGCAACAAATTCTTTGGCACATGGGAGTTGGTGGTAATGATTTTTTTCTGTATTCAGTTGTTCAGATATTCAGTTATTTTCAGAGTAACCCCTTTTTTGGATTACTGTATTTGAAGAAATATAATTGAAAATTTGCCTGTTTACTGCCAAAAAGTAACTCTCATGGTCTAAACTTGGAGGAACTGCATGCTGCAATTACCAAGAAACCCATTGAACAAATTTAGCATTGCAACAAATTCTTTCTCAGGTCCCTGGGAGTTTTTTGTAACAAGATTTTACTGTACTTGGGCTCTGGACCCAATTGTCAGTTGATGCATATCCAATACTGTGCTTGATGCCTGTCTGGATTACCAACATTCATTAAGATATGTTGAGGATTCAAGAAGAAAAATTTCTGAACACAAAGAGAAAAATGGTTCTTAGGAATAGTTGAGGTGAATAGATGGAATAAAAATCCCGAATCCGCCTGGGAATAGGCAGGGAATATTTGGTAAGATTCCAAAAGAAAAAGAAGAAATATATTTTCAAACTTCAAACAGAAATGTCCCAACACGCAAGAGAATTTAGTGAAGTTTTGAATCTTTAAACAAATGGGTAAATTTGGAAAATTAAAACCTCTCAGCAAAACTCTTTTTGCGTGAAGATGCTCCAAACGATAGCTTTTTACGACTGGTACTGGCAAAGAGTTAAAATTGGGTTTTTATTGATTTCATTGATTTCTCCTTGATCCAGGATGTGGATCAAGGACGGGATTGGCGCCAAGGCATCTGATTGGCCCAAGAAAGTTGAGTCAAAGACGTCTTGGCGCCAGTTTATGATTTTGAGGAGGGGGTTGTAAAAAAAACGTTGAAGGATTTGTCTGGAGGTTTTCTTCTTGGGTGGTTTTTCTACTCCATTGGCTGTCGTTTCCAAATTAATTTTAATTGGATTTTTTGCTGTTTATTGAAGCGTTAATTGGATCCCCAACAACATAGAACATATCACCCTTCATAATGCTTGGTCATGTTGGCGATTTGATTGACACCTGCCAAACATTTTTGAAATCATGTACACTTTTGAAATGTTCTTTCTCATATAGAAGCTCTGCCGAGTCGGACGTGGAGGACCAAAACCCCGACACGAGGGCGTCCACAGGCGAACCCGCGGGGAAAGGCGGTGTTTACGCCTTGGGCCTCCAAGAATCAGCGGACATGGAACCCGTGGACCCGACAGCGTCAGAAGCTGCCCGTCTCTCGTCGACTTCATCATCATTGCGGCGCCGGACGTCTCAACACGGCGCCTCTTTCCTGGCGAAAAAGGCCGCCTCCATTATTGACAATGCGGACAGGCCTTTGAAGCGGAAACGAGTGCATCCGCCTGCCAAGGAAATTCAGGAGCTGATGTCGCTGAAAAATTCCGAATTGTTTCTCAAGATGTTCAAGATTTCCAAGCAGATTAGGGAAGACGAGGGGAACTTTTTGTGCGCCCCTTTTTATGTGTCGCAATGGGCTGTTTTGTTGTGTTCTGGCCTGAGTGACAAGGTGGGGAAGTCGTTTTCTGAGGCCATGGGCATCCCAGGGGATGTGGACGTCAATCGAGTTTTCAGGTGATTTTTTTTTCTCTCAAGTGTATCAAATTTATGCTGAAGTACTTTTTTTGGAAAGAAACCGTCTGTGATACTTGCAGAAGTTTAACTGCACTACAATATTTATCTCGTCTTTTCGAAAATCATCCTTTTTTTCGATAGAGAATATTTCAATTGTATTGTATTAAAGTTATGCTGAAATGTTGGAAGTTAATTCGTGTCTTTCTGTTCAGAAAATGAATTTTCCATTCGAATCAAGTATAATGAACACCTAAACTTCTAAAAAAATTGGTAAATATCTATACCCGCCTATGACGCGCACTCCGTTAATTTTGAGAAAAAAATTCTCAACTTGATAAATTTTTAAAATAAATTTTGAGAAAGGAGGTGTGCATGGTACTCAAATAAATGCAGTAAAAGCCCATTTTCAAACATTTTTGTAGTCTGTCCCCTTTTTGTATGTAAGCAGGAAATGTGATGAGATCAGTGGAGACCCTTTTCAAAGTCTTAGGGTTTTTTCTGTATACATTTTATAAATGCATCAAAATTTCTTGGTAACAAATTTGCGGGGACTTCAAAAAAATTTTTTGTAAGAAATAATTTGTTATAACAAGATTTTGACTGATCAGAAGATATGCTGCTGCTATATTCATGTAACCAGCTTGTATTCTACATCTGCCTTTTTGGCCTTTCAGATGTTTTTCAGTGTTTAAAAAACTGATTTTTTAGAAATAAATTCAAATTTTAAGAGCAAACATTTACTCTGAATAACAGGTATATACTAGCACTTTTTGTGGACTTCAGGTTTTTGAAGTATTTCCTGGACAGATTTGTAAGGGTGGATGTTCCTAAAAAGCTTACAATTTTTAATCAGTAGGGCTTCTCATTAAGCTTAAAAACCCCTTTAAACATTACTCGTGCTGTGTTTAATTTTTTTCATCTCCCCCCCCCTATCTTTTCCAATCCAGGAAAAAAAATTTGAAAGATAGGATGTTCAGGTACATTTTGAAGAATTTTTGTTTTTGATTACACCTTACTATGTCCCAAAAGAACCGGTCACAGTCACATTTTGAATGGGAAATTTCAGACTGTGCCTGTCTTTAGTAGGGATTTTTCTCTATTGAGAAATCATAATGTGTTCCTTAAAAAATTTCGTTATACTGTACTGGAATTAGCGAGTTAGTATACATTATATAATGATATTTTTTTTCACATGCACCCTATATAGGATTTGTGCCAGGACTTAGAAAACAGTTCGTAATACTGAGAAATTTGTTTGTAACGAGATTTTACTGCATTTTAATAATCGCTAATAACTGACTATTTTCCTTTTTCAACAGATATGCTCAGCAGCTGTTGACGGAGGATGATCCTCCTCGCCGAGCCGAATGGATGGAAAGGAAGAGTCGGAGGGAGAACAATAAGAGGAACACTCGAGTGAAGATCCTTCACTGCGGAGAAGACGCTTTGGACGACGATTTCATGGACTTTCTCAAGAAGAATTACCCGACGAGCTACGAAAAGGTCACTCCGAAAGTTGCCGAGCATTTGATGCTCAAAATGATGCCTTATCGCCTCGCCGAAAATCAAATGAACCTGTCGCAAATGATCCTCATGGCCGAACAACCGCCGCGGAAAAATTCTTCCATGATCTTATTCTGTCAGGTGCTGTATGACGATGATGGTGACATTTCCCCGAGAGTTTTGACATTTTTTACATGACCCGTGTATTTATTTATTTTTTTAGTATGATTCCCCGTGGGTCTTCGCTTTTCGGAATGAGCCGACGATAGTGAATTTTTGCAACGACGGGAAGAAATCGCAGTGTCGAGGTGTTCCCGGTATAACGTTTTCTCACGGAGAAGCCATTCATTTTTCGGATGAATCAACCTCGAGTCATCTTATCCAGGTTTGAAGAAGGAATATTCAAGTGCTGTTCTAAAATTTGAAACCAAGTATATGTGCGAATCCTGTAGATTTTTGGTCTCGAATTGCAAAATTTGAGTCTTCCAATAATAACTCGCTATAGAGAACCTTTGGTTTTAAATTTTTTTTCTTTGAATATATTGGTATTACATTGGAATTTCGTTGAAACGAATCTCGTTACAGTAACGATTTTTTGTACTTAATATTTTGTTGTGATGAATTTTGTGCTGAAACTAATTCTTTTTTCCCCCGGCAGTTTTCCAAAAGGGCATTTTCTTAAACAAATCGATTTATTATGAGCTCTTATATTGGGCTTTAATCTCAGTATAACAAACTTTTGACCCTGATTCTGTTTATATAGGCCATAGGAATTGTTTGAAAATGGAAAAAAATTTGAAAAAATTGAACTGTCGCAGTATTCCAACTACACCAAACAAGTAAAACTTTCTGTACAGAAAATTTAGTATTAAAAATATAAAACATGACATATCTTGAAAATTTCTTTGCTCCATTTGAGAAAGCATGTCTTTCTTCCAAATAAACTGTGTTGGAAACAATTTTTCTCTTTTTGTTAGAACAAATTTGCAAACATGTATGAATGAATGAGTTGATACAGGAAAATATGGAAGTACAGTATTTCTCCTGCTGATATTTTTGTTTCATTCCTTCTTACAAGACTAACACCACTTGGTAGTGGAAAAGCAGGTTCAACAAAAGGGAAATTCTATTTATTTGAAAATAATATTCCTCTTTATTTGATCAGAAAAATTTAGGAACTATGACAGCATATCTTGAGTCATCTACATTTCAGGTGCACTTGCAGTATTTATATTACCCATTTCCCACAAAATGTCAATCCAAAATGAGTTGAAAACTATGAATCTTGATACAACTAATTTTTCATAATATGAAATTTGTCATCAGGTTCATGAGAGTTCGTTGTAGCGAGATTTTCGCAATATATTCTTGAAGCAGTGAAGCTAGGATTTTTTACGAATCCTCATTCCTTCTATTAAAATTTCAAATTATTTAAAATTACATAATTGAGAAAAATGAAACCTTTTTCTTTCGGAATTGCATATTTTTTTTTCTCACCTTGTCAGCTACAACATCCGACGAGACGGAGCTACTCGTTATTATTGGTTGTCCCATTCGAGAAGGACGGACTCGCCAAAACGGAAGCAGAAATTTCTCCGGCAACACTGGACATGCCTCACAACATGTCCAGGAAGTTCAAGTCTGTGAAACTCATTATACCTTCTTTCCGGGTGGATCTGGACCGAAGAATGGACTTGACACTGAAACGGATTGGACTCAAGGACATGATCTCTCCAAACTCTGTTCCACTGAGGTCTGTGCTGGTTATGAATGAATTGAGTTCAAAAAACGTTAGTTTTATTTAATAATTTATGAGATTTCAAAATCAATGATAGGATAAATTTTTTTACATCAGACCTGTCTAAAATTGATTAAATCTTTCTTTTCTGAAATTCTCAGCTTTTTCATTATTCATTGGAAAACTGAGTTATCTTGAAAAAAATCTTCAATCTTACATTTCATCAGTTGCACTTATTGGTGAAATTTTAACGTTTCTAGAATTTCGGGGAGGCTAAAATTAATCTCTTTCTCACATGTTCTGCTCTTATTATTATTTCTTGGGCGAATTTTTAGAATATAGTGTACGCGAGTTTATGAAATCCACATTTTTTAGGAGCACAAATAAAAAAAAATTCGCCGTGATAGTCAATTTTTGTGCCTCTAGGGAATTTTATTACACAAATTTCTCAACACAAGTTTAAGTTTTCTTTTGAGGAATCACTGCCATGTTACTGGATTCAGTATGAGAGGATGTTTTGAAAATCTCTTCTTTCTGCTGGGAGGATGTTGTTTTGGAACAACTTATTGGAAGCATGTTTTGTCATTTTTTACAAATTCTATCCATGCTACAATGAAGAACCAGTCAGTCAAATTTGGGATGGAAAATTTCAGACTGTGCCTGCCTTAGTGAAAAAAAATTCGACCTGGAAAAATCTATTGAACATCCTTCAAAATAGTTTGTAAATGAATTGTGAAGTTTGTTATAATGAGGTTGTTTTTAAATGTACTTGGTATAGGTGCTTTTTGTTGGGACTTGGAAAAAAGTTTGTTGTATTGAAAAATTTATTGTAATGGTATTTGTTGTTACCAGATTTTACTGTATTCAATCAGTAACATTGGCAGTGATTCCTCAAAGATGATTGACACTTTTTTCAAGAAATTTGTGTAATAAAATTTCCTAGAGGGACAAAAATTAACTTGTATAGCGAATTTTTTTGTGGTTTGCGCTCTTAAAAATGTGGATTTCATGAACTGAAGTACACTATATTCTAAACATTCCCCCAAGAAATGATAATATATGCAGAAGAAAGGAAAAGTGTTCACCAGTAATCAAAACAACAACGGGTCATTTTCACATGTAAGAATGAGGTAAATTTTTACCCTCCCAAAAATTCTAGAAACGTTAAAATTTCACCAAGTTCCGAGCTTTTTTGCTGTTTTTGAAATATTTCCAAAGAAGAAAAGCAATTCCGTCTTCTGAGCAAGAATTACGCAAATTTTTAAATTTAATGCGACATTTCCATTACATGAGTATATTTTACGGGGATTCATGCTGAACAGTATACTTATTGAACACACTTCTGTTCTAACAAAATATCATTCAATGCAGGCAGAATTTTGTTTGAAAAAATCTGAATTGCAAAGATAAATTCATAAAAAAATCTTGTTACAAACAGAAAATCTTGTTTCAACAAATCTTGTTGAACTTGCAAATTAAATGCTAGATTTTGTAAAGCGCAGGGATAAATTGAAACCCGTATTGAATTTTATGGTGCAAGTTATTCCTCTATGTGAATTCTTATAACTCTTGGTTCAATTTCCGCAGGGGCATTCATGAAGTTCCCTACAGTGTGGAGACCGCGGCGCAGTGGAATTATTTGCAACTCAGAGTGGTGGAAACTGGTGAGGACTCTTCAGTTTCTGATGATGATACTACACCCCCACTGACTACCATTCATTCAAACTCACTCACTGTGGATCATCCCTTTTTAGTCTTTGTTTTACACACACATTCGAGGTCTCTTTTAGCCGGTGGAAGGATTACTCGCCTTGGAATCCGTTGATTATTTGGCTTAAATCCATGTGCTCTGGATTGAATTTTGATTGTGAATGAGGAAAGAATGCCATTCATTGAACACAAATGTTGGATCAGTTTTCGACTCTACCAAAATCTCATTTAATGCAACGGGAAATTTTTTTCGAAACAATATTATTGCGAAAATCTTTCAACACATCTTATTGTTAAAATAATTTTTTTTATGAATCTCAATTATAAAACAAATGTTGATGTCAGCAAATCTTGTTACAAGCAGAAAATCCTGTAGCAACATACCTCATTGTTACGAAAAATCTTATGGGTACAATATTGTTGCAACAAATTTTATTGTTTGTTAAAAATTGATAAAAACTTATTTTCACCCCAAATATTATTACTCCTTGTCATTTTTGCCAAAAATCATATTTATACTATACAAAAAATCTTATCTTTCACAAATCTTCTTTTTACAACAATCATAATTTCTAAAAAAATATCTTACTTTCACAAAATCTTATTTTTACAAAATTTCTTATTTCACAAAATTTCTTAATGTATAAAAAATTTCTTATTTTTAACAATTTCTTATTTTTAAAAAATTTCTTATTTAACAAAAAGTTCTCACTTTTTACAAAGTATGTTATTTTTACAAAATTTATTGTTTCTTCTACAAAAAATCCTATTGTTATAACAAATCTCATTTGTCAGCAAATATAATTGTTACTACATATCTTATTGCTACAATACAGCAAATCTTATTCATGCCAGAAATCTAATTTTTGCTAAACATCTGATTTTGATAAGAGATCTTATTGTTAATACATTGTTAGCATTGTTAGAACTATAATCTCATTGTTGCAACAAGTCTTACTGTTACACAATCTTGATTTTGCAATAAATCTTATTGTTACAAGAAATCGCATTGTTACCACAATTTTTATTTTTATAGCAAATCTTATAACGACAGCAAATCAATGAGGTACAGTATTGTGTTAGCAGATGCTTTTCAAGGTTTTTTGCTGCATATAGTGACAATATGATTCAGGTCGTTAATATAGCAAATTTTTAATGACATCAAGAGGGTTTTCAAGGTCTAAATAATGGCTCCATTGTAACTAAAGTTTATCTATTCATAAATTTCAGTATTAAACATTTTATTGAGTGAGAGGAGGATGAAAATAAAGGATTCCTTCCAGAAGTTTAAGGAATGAAAATAAAGGATTCCTTCCAGAAGTTTAAGGAATGAAATAAATTGGATTCTTTCCATAAGTTTAAGGAATGGTTTATGGAGACTCTCTGGTTCTTCTAGTGTGAAGTTACATATAATGGAGTGACTCATCTTGGTCTTCCTTCACAAATATACATGTAATACTGTAATGCAATGAGAACATATAAAAAAAATTTACCCAAAAATATAGCTACTGCATATCTCTATGGATGAGAAAGAATGAACAGCATCAGAAGAAATGTAAATGATAATGAATGCTGCAGTAATGTTTTTTTTTTAGGTGGCTTAGCTATCATCCATGAAGTAATGTGTGTTAAATGCAGTAGATCTACCTTCTTGGGTTTCCATGATATTCTGAGATTCTCAAAGGCTACTTTTTGAAGTCTCAACAGGTATGTGTTGAAAAGGTTATCTCCTTGTTAATCTGTTACCCATCTAAATCATGACTTGAATGACCTTCTAGAGGTTGGATTAAGGTTGAAGAAATGGGGTCAGAGCCGCCGCCATTTTCTATGTTCACCACCATGGTGGACAATCTGGTAAATCATTTTGGGGAAAATAAATTCAAGCAACTTGCTGTTGAGTTTCACTCCATGAGATATGAGGAAGAGGCTCAAATGGACAGGATTCTAGCTGATCCTTCTTTGAAAGCTGCTTGGAAACCCATGGTTTGGAAACTGGATAAAAATGACGAGTTTGCTGCCAATTTGAGGTCATTACACATTTGAATAATGTGTTTTTACATAAATTTGGGCTTTGTCAAGTGAAGCTTACCTAATTTGAATTTCCAGTGCAACCCTGTAGGTGTAACTTTTTTGCTTCCTTTTTTCTTAAAATACTTGTTTGATTGATAAAGTTCTCACACCACCAGAAACAAATTGGATTTTACAGATAACAGTTGAAATTTGACAACTTGAATATCCCAGTGTCAATACTTTTCAACTTTCTGACTGAATTCCTTTAGAAACAATGCATTATATAAGCCTTCCCAACTCATCCAAGGTACTCCTCTCAAACATCCATAACCACAATTTCCTGGAGGACTCTTGGCAATTTTATGTGACACAGGAAAGAGAAAAACAATAGAAATGTACCTTGATATGAGTTTTGAAAGGAAGTGAATGATTAATTAGGTAAAAGGAATACAGTACTTGCCTTCCAAGTTCAGCATATGGTCAAGTCATTCAAACATCCCAGAATATAAATATTTACACTGTCCTGTGTTTTTTTGTTTTCCCCTCAGCAAAAATGCTATTGTTTCCCTGACTCAATTTTGTTTGCTGGTATCTTGAAATTTAACTTGAAATAATTTCCACCATTCCTGATTTTTTTTTAAAGTGCAAACTTTGAAAATCTGATTTAAATTTTGATTGTGAATAAATTGTTCGGATTCCCTGAGAGTTCATTATCATGAGATTCCACCTTCATTGAAGAAATTTGTTGGTGTGGATTGGAGAATTGATGTAGATTTCAAGTTTTCTGACAAGATGTTTGCTTGAACCAGGTTAGCAGGAAACAAGGCATTCCATGCCAAGAAATATGATGATGCCAAGAGGATGTACAACACCAGTGTGCTATTTGCTTCTCACCCTGACCCAGAAGACCCAAGCAGGGGCAAAGTGCTTCCTGTTGCCTACTTTAATCGGGGTGTCGCATTAATGCAGGTATGGTTTCATTTCCTATCTGCATTTTACTGATATTTCTGCACAGATACAAAATTTGTTGTCTCTCATTTTTCAACTCACTAAAATGGCGATCCAGATTTGTAGAATTATCTTTTTTCATTATTGCTTGAGTCCAGTGTCATGCCAGAAAAATAAATACCAAAGTTGTTGTGAAATTGTACACAGGGTCAATCTAACATTCTAGCCTTACCCAAAGCAAGGGAACATGCTTGTACAATACTGACTTAACCGTGATTTACATTGGACATTTTATTTCATATATTTTCTCAAGATTCGCAATTATATTCAGGATGGCCAAGAAAAGTAGCCTTTTTGGTCAATTACTGTGTACAAAACTAGAAACCATGAATAAAAGCATGAAAGAATTGTGGCACAGAAAAAAACCATTCAAGCATGACTTGACAAATTATATCCAACATTATTCACATTGCTGTGAATCATAGAAGTACATCAGGGTGGGTAAATAGATGCTATTTCACAGTATTCTTGTTTATTAAGTAATACTTCAAGTGAATACTGAATATATACAGCATCAACAAAATGCCATCCAATGGAAAATACAAATAATACCAGAATAAATATTTCTAAAATTGAGGCATGCAAATTTAAATTTCACAGGATATGCAGGTACTCAGTCTATTGAAAATCCATTCATTTGGGTGGATAAGACATGTCACTTGTACTGTCTTCCTACCTTTTCTTGAATCACAATTTTAACATATAGTTGATGAAGTATATACTGTACTATTTAATTGTGACTGCTGCCAGTTGAACTATTTTTGAAAATAAACTTGCCCCAGCATTGTATGTAGAATCTAATTGTCAAGTAAAAGGGTAAAAATGATTTCAACAAATGACAGATTGAAATGTGTGTTCAGAAAAGAACTTCTGGTACTTTCCTGTTATCTCTGTACCTTCCCTCTGACCAATTTAACCTGACCCAACCTAACTTCACCTAACTGCCTCCCAAAATCAATTTCAGCAGAATGCGGATAAATAAAATTCAGTTTCTGGTAGATCGTTGTGATTATGAACTTGTCCTAAAGATTTGTCTGGATGGTAGCGTGCTCTAGGAAAGAGGTACAGAGATAACAGGAAAGTACCCAACTTCCTTTTTCCAACCTACTTTTTTCAAGATTTAAGAATTATCATTTGTCACGAGAATACAATTGGATTGGTATAAAAGCTCTGGAAACGATTCAAATTGGACGTGATAAATTTTCACGACGACCATGGTATATGGCATTCTCTAAATGTTTTTCAAGTGCAATATGCATTCAATAAAACCGTGCCCATGATTCGATGGTATATTTTATTTTAATACTTCCACAGCTTCGCTAAGCCATTTTGGGTGGATTTAAAAAAAAAGATGAATTTCTCACAAAATCTCGACAGTTGGGCGATTGGGACAATGCCTTGAAAGACTTGGAGCGAGCTGAAGAAAATGGATACCCACCAGAGACCAAGTTCCGTCTCATCGACAGAAAAAGCGTCATTTTGTCTGAACTCAAACGATTCGACGAAGCCAGGGAATTGTACAAATCCGGCCTCTTGTTTCTCAAGTCACCCGGAGAATCACCCAATATGTCTGACGACCTGAAAACCCTGTTTAGAAAGTCCTGGGAACGGAATCTCGAACGCTTGGAACGAGTGTCGCCGAAGAAGAAGAAGACGGTCAAGTTGGGGGCCATTTTGAAAGTGCGCCAGATGGCGTCCTCGGAAGTGGCGGCGGCAGAGGAAGAGCCGCCGTATGCGGAAATTTCCGAAGGGATCAAGTTGGAGTACAATCAGACCAAGGGCAGGCATTTTGTGGCGCAACGGGATTTTGAGCCTGGTGAGAATAAGAAAAAAAAATTTTGATGTGTCAAATTGTTGAAAATATTTGGTGATGATGATACGCTCTTTGATGTTTCCTTTGTTGTTGTATTTCTGCATGAATATGTAATAGGTGAAGTTTTGGTGGTTGAGAAGCCATTTGTTGCAGTGCTGGACCCCCATTGTTGGGATACTCATTGTTTGCATTGCTACACAAGGGTTTCACTTACAGTTCCTTGTCCAACTTGTTGCCTTGTAAGCGGTATTTACTCTTTGTTTATTTTGTCATGCTCCAGCCCTGTGGAAGAATTTATGTGATGCAAATTATACAGTGGGGTCACTTGGCTAACAAATAAAATTTGTTCCTAGGATGATTTTTGGATCAAAGAATTCATACATGATAGCATCTCTGGAATGCAGATTAAACTCTTTGCTGACAAATGAATTTTTTTTAAAACAGGATTATGTTTTTAAAAAAAGAGGAATGCATTTGAATTGAATGGAAAGCAAGCTTCATTCTCCACTTTTCAGTGTTCACTGGGTTCAGGCAATTTTACCACATCCAAACCCCCTCCCCACCCACATTCACCCAAATAAATTCTTCACATCAGAATGGTAAACAGAGAAACAAGCTGTACATGGATATTAAAAGAAAAGAATATACACCCCAAGAAGTGGAACAGCAAAACTGATATAAATACACGCACTTTCTTCCCATTATCCTTGATCACAAAATCAAATTATCAATAATAAGAGGAATGCATTGAAAAAATAATATTTCCATAGAATTTATTTAGAAACATCTTTGGAATGCAGAATATTCATTGGGGTTTCTTGGCTCAAAAACACAATTTGTTCCAGGATTATGTTTTGTTTGGGAGAAAACATTAAAAAAAAGATTAATATAGAATTCATTTTTAAAATTATAAGCATCTTCAGAATGCAGATTAACCTTGGCTGGAAAATAAAATTTGTTCCAAGAATATGTGTGGTTTGAAATAATGCATATCCAGTATAAGAACAATTCCAAATTTTGTCTGTGGTGATGTTGAAATTTTTTGATACAAATAACCACTGTAATGAGCCAGGCCTCTCTTTGTGAGCTGGTGCTAAAACCTTGAAAATATAAATTTTGCTGGCTGGAAAGTGTGTTGGCAGGAATATTTATCAGCCAAAAGTCCACTTGATGGGATTTTGAATTTGTTTTCTATGAACAGAAACGAATTTCCATGTATTCCTGAGATATTTGTCAAATATATTATTGTAGGAAAGCTGGGCATTATTTAAAATCCCTGTGCCTGGCTGAGAATTAAACTGAGATTTTATATGCAACTTTTTATGTCCCTTCTTCATGCTCAATAAATACAATATAATTCATTGCTCATCATCCAACAGAAAATGTCGCTTGTTGATTATTTTTGAAATTCAACTTTTGTTTTTCTTCTGGAAATACAGGTGAATTTCTGCTCCGAAACCTGCAGAGATCTGGCAACAGAAAGCCATCACAGATTCGAATGTGCCTACGCCAGCAGTCTCATTGACGCCGCATTGAATGACGAAAAAGTCTCAGCATTATTAGCGCAAAGATTGATCTTATTGACGGGCATTGCCAAAATCGGCGACATGTTGCCACACTTTTTGTCCTATGACGACAAATTCCTGGAATCCCGTCTGCCAGATTTTTCGTGAGTTTTCGAAATTTTTGTAACAATTTCAATACAAGAATCACGATATGAATTCTTGTATTTGCAAAAGTTTTAGGGTTTCGAGTGTGCGTTATATTGGATTCTAATGGGAGAAATTTGTACCGATTTTAGCAGAAATATCTGTTGTGTTGGAAATAGTTGTCAATTGGTTGAATTTGGGATCAACTCCTTTCTTAACTCAAAATTGGGTATTCTTCAAAATATTGCAGTTTCAAAGTAAAAAAAAAAGGGATGCCCGTCTCACATACTTAAAGATACCATTAAAAAAAAATTGACTGGCTTACGCGTCGTAAATCAGGCATGATTTTTATTTCTATACATCATTTTCCAGAGAATCCAGTTACGAGAATATCGTTTGCTTGCAAAGCCACATTGACAAGATTTCCCCTGACCACATGATGAGAATGGCGCTTCAAGCTTATTACCTCACCAGGCTGCTGCAGGAACACGGCTTTTTTGAAACCAGCGAGTCGAAAAATGAAGATGGCGTTCCAAAATGACCCAAACTTCGTGTATTAATTGGTTCTGTGTTCATCTTTACGGAGTGATAGTTCTTATTGATTTTGTAATTTAACCTAGTAGAGGTTTATCACATTGTTTTTCTCTCTCTCTGTCTCTCCTTTGATGATATAAAAATGAATGAATGTGAATGACTCTGATCCCATCGAGTATAATTTTACTGAGAAGAATCAGTGTTGAAGAATCCTGTTGACCTTATAAAAGCTTAAACTTATATTTTAACAGGTTTTACTCAATTCTTACTCACGTTACTTTAACTACATGGATATAAACAGGCGCTCGTTTTAATTCCTGGCTTTTGCTGATTATTGCCTGAAGGGTTTGCTTGCTTGTCTCATCCCACCAATCAACTTACGGCAAGGTTTCATATACGGTATATGTGAATATGGAAAATCGAGATGCCCCGGAAACGCGTCGAGAAAGTGCACCACATCCACAACCCTTCCCCCAGGCCATGTTGCCTGGGTACGAATACGAAAGACGCTTAATTTCATTGCAAGACAAGTTGGAAACTGCGAAAAACCATCGGACGTACTTGTCCGCTATTTGGCAGCACGATGCGGAGCAGAACCCGCAAAGTGTGGACACCCGTGTGAGACATCGTAAAACGACGGAACCGTCGCATTGGTATTTACAACCAGATGTCGCTCCCGCGAGAAGAGAAACGGCAGGTCCGGTGATGGTTATGAGACCGATGACGGTGCCAGTGTTTCAGGAACCGCAACCGCAGGTTGTGGTTCCATTGGCACCACCTGTTCCTGTGCAAAGGTATGCCCCTGTGGCGTCCTGGGTGGACCAGAGACAGTTCACTGTACCGAGTGCAGCATATCCAGAGCACTTCAGGCCACCTGTTTTGCCTCCGCCATACATGGGTCCAAGGGATTACGTAGAGAATCAGGCTGTCATGCAAAGTGAAGCGAGTAATAATCTTACTTTCCATCAGCCTCAGACGTGGAATCCTCAACAACAATATGGTAAGTCATTTTCACTCATATCTGGTCATCTCCTCACTGGAGTGAACATTAAATAGGAACTCAGTTTGAAACCATTTTTATAATGTACCCCTAATTTTTATGACCATAAATAAGGGGTTGTAAAGTATCTGCACAATGGGAGCTGTCTGAAAACAAATTCTTGCACAGAAATTAAGGGCAGTTTCATTCTTCTGAATTAAATTCATTTCTCAAAGTAAGAAATGAGAATCAATTCTTAAGAAAAAATGAAGTTCAAACAAGTGACCCTCTTACAGAAGATGGTACTTTCCTGTTATCTCAGTACCTCATTCTTAGACTGCACTACCATCCAGACAAATCTTTAGGATGTGTTCATAATCAAGACAACATACCAGAAACTGAATTTTATTTTTCCGCATTCTGCTGAACCTGATTTTGGCTGGCAGTTAGATAAAGTTAGGTTAGGTCAGGTTAGCTACAAATATCTTTTAATTAACATAACCTGACCTAACCGCCTCCCAAAATCAGTTTAAGCAGAAACCCAAAGAAAGCAGAAACTGATTTTGTTTCTAGGTCAGGTCAGGTTAAATTGGTCAGAGGGAAGGTACAGAGATAGCAGGAAAGTAGGTGCTAAGATAACAGGAAAGTACCAAATTACCAGCAAAGTATGTACTTTCCTGTTATCTTTGTACTTTATTGCCACATACCCCCAAAGTGAAGCACATGCCTTATTTTTCAGCTTAAATTTTGGAAAAATTCCATCCCCACATATGGGACACCCACCTGAGTTTTCAGTTCCCAAAATACTGTACTTAAAAAACTACAAGGGGTAAAATTCTGAATACAAGTCCACTTCCAAGTTGAGTTCAATAACAGTGATTTTGTCTCAAGCAAATTTTGGAAGTATTTGAGAAGATAACTGTGCCAAAATATTGGAGTGGGTTACAGATGTCTAAAATTGAAACAATTTATCTTGAAAAATTTGTAACAAACCATGACATGCACTGTGGTACACAAGTAATTGCGTGGTACTATAAAAAATGATCAATATCATTATAGAATAGCCAAATTGGAACAGGAATAAAAGCTTTGTTGAAAAACATTTTTTGTTGAGAAAGTTAAGAAAAGAAAAACTTGGTGGCTATCCAGGATTATTATTGGAACTTCCATGTGTTAAGAGAAGTTAAAAAAATTCAATTCAGAATGAGAAATAAGCTACATGTAATATATTTCCATGTTGTCTCCTGATTAAGTGCTTGAAAAAAACTTGAAAACTGGGTGAAGCTATTTTCTGGAATGCCCCTCTGTTTTTGCATTGGCCAATTTGTTTTATAAACTTGAGAATGCCAGATCAAAAATGGGTAACAACAATCAAAGGAACATTTTTGCTTGTACCTACACAATAAGGAGCAACTGAATAAATGTTATGTACTGTGTTTTCAAGATTTTAAACAAAGTATTTTTTGGGTGCAAGTACAGTATTAAAATCAAGAATTATACAGATGACCTATCTTTCTACAACAAAACCCAATAAACTTTAGAGAACATTCTATGCTGAACCTCCATGGCACAAAGCAAAAGAAAAGTTGTACAAATGAAACTGTAGAAAAGAGTCTACCTGTGCCTTCTAATTTTACAAATTATCAAGAGTTGAGAGCCCCTGGTGTATCCAAGCTGTCATTGAGGAATCAAAGTCAACATTACCAAGTGGAAAGAGGTTCTGACAGTTCCAGACAACAAGAGTTGCCAAAGAGGACATATCACATGCCATTCCCAAACAGCTATCAGCGTTTGTCCAATGGTTGGCCACCTGCTGTTTCCAACAACATGAGCCAGAGCAGTCATCAGCAGCCTCATCAGGTGCACAGGATCATGACTCCCTGTCAAGCAGCACCAGAGCAAATGCCATCATATTACAGACAAAGTCAACCATTGGAAACACCAGCACCACCATCATACCACAGACCAAGTCCACCCTCAATGGAGACATCGCCACCAATATATCATAGACAAATTCCATCCTTGGAGACACTAGACAAGGGTTCACTATTGGCAAGGTACTCTATGCCACCTGCACCCATCCCCATGCAAGCCCATGTGGGTACAACAAGGACAGTGCAAAACACCCCTGTGCACATTTATTCCACAGCACCATCAGCAGAACCCCAATCTCAAGCAGTGACACACCATGAGTATCCCCAAGAAACCCACCCACAAACTACTGCATCTGAAAAAGAACAACCTGCTGATGTGAAACCACCTGAAAACACAGGTTTCTTGAGAAGAATTTTTGGAGGTGCAGATGAAGCTGATTTCAACACTTTGAATAGTGTGAGACTACAGGTTGGGATGTGCTCTGGATGCTTGGTTTTATTGCACAAGTGTGAAGAAACAGAGCGGATGCTGGTTGCCCAATGTGCTCATTTGTCTACCATGGATGAGGAAATGAATGAGGATTCTGAACTGAGAACAAAAGGTGGAAATGATCCATCTGTTGAGTCAAGTGAGGATCTTGATGACTCATCATCAATGGAGGTAGGTTTTGGTTTCAGCTGCTGCAGAAGGCTGCCAACTTCATATTTTTACTGTTAGAAATACATTGGCACTGCATGGTTCATTAGTTCCAAGCTGTTTGAAGCATTGAACCTTGATAACACAAACCTCTCTTGGTTATATTCCTTTTTTCAACTCTCTCCCTGAATTCCATCAGAAACAATTCATGAAAAATCTCCTTGACTCAAATTGTCTAAAACCCTTTGGCAATTAATTTGACGCAGGAATCAGAAAGCAATAAAATGTAACAATGTGTCATTAAAAGAAAATAAAGACAACTTGGGCAAATCAACCCTGGCCTTCAAGTTCAGCACTGTATCTTGATAACTTGTTTAGGGAAGCAATTGAAGGCCTAGATTATCACTTATTGCAATTTTCTGTAATTATTATTTTCTCCTCCAAAATACTAACGCTTGTTTCCCAAACGGAAAACCTCTCTGACTTGATTTATTTTGCTGGTCCCTTGAAGTTCAATTTTGTGGCAGTTGTAACACTCCCTCACATTCCACTTGCGGGATAAACTTATTCCGCAATCAAATTTATGAAGTACTGAGAAATTCCGCAGTTAGCAAAAAGATAGCAAGCTCTAATGCGGCGCGAAATCGTGAATAAATGAGGATCAATTCGCAATTTTCTCAAGTTCTTGATTTTATTTTCAAAGCGCTGTTCACTAAGTTTGACTTTTTATATTCAACATACATTACTTGAACGTGAAAACACGCGAAGAAAACAAGGGAAAAGTTCCATCACAAGAAACAAAATCCACTGAGAAAAAGTCACACCCAACGGCGACAACGACTAATTGCTTCAAATAGATACGGACTCAATCTTCTACTTGATATCAAAAATTTTCTGATTTCCTCCAACAAGAAGTATAATTTTGCGAGCAGTGCGGGGAACACTCGTTCAAAAATTAGGTTGCACATCGATAAATAGTAATGAACCGATCACGAGGTAAAAGAAGCACTTATTGACTTGGATTCGAACACGATACACAAATTTCACTTCATGCGTATATATAAGCTCCTCGATTTGCCTTTCAAAGTAAATCATTAAAACGGTCAAAATGAAATGATCATTTTTCTGGTTGCTTCCACCCATCAGCAGTCACAAACTCACAATTAACTTCGATGTCACCACAGTCGGCCGCTCATCTCCAGCAGATATTTTTGATTTTGTCAGAGAACGATCTATCGGTTCATTACATTCAGTGATGTTTCGCATTTAAATCTGGCAGGAATCAAGCAGTACCGTGACTAACCGAGAAGGGGAAATCCCGGGAGTTGGTCTCCTCACCGGAGGCAACCTAGCCCCGCGGGAAGGCATGAGCAGTTCCGTCCCGGACCTGAACGAAGCCGCGATGGCACTGATCACCGGAAACCCAAGCGGAAATACGAGCAATAACATCGCAGGATTGGCTCCCGGAGACGAAGCTGCTCCGGAAAACGAAAGCGACGTTCTCCCACTTCCTGTGACTGACATCGAAACGAGGGTCTTACAATCCCAAGTCGAAGCTACGCATCCTATCGCACCGGTGCTGGAGAAGCCAGGAATGACGCGCTCATCTAAGCCTCATCATCATAACAAACGTCAGAATAAAAAACACCGTTCGTCTTCGAATAGATCCAACAGAAGATCCGGAAGTCGCAACAGTCGCAAGAAGAGCAGTAAGCATTCAGCCAGTTATTTAGCCGTGCCACCGATCAAGTCCGAGTACGATCAGATCCTCGAGCGAAGCAATCAACTACCGGAAGAGGTTTTCAATCCCTGTCGCGGGCATCAGTTTGGGTTCATGGACGAGCTCCAGTCTGGCTTATCTGAAATGGTTCCTTTTGTTCCGGACCCTAAACGAACCGATACTTCGGGATGCGATGAGGCGTTTTCGGAAGGGGACACGACAACTGAATTGAGTGCGCGACCGAGCAAGCTGAAGAAACGGAAGCACTCTCGCAAAAGTTAAACGCCAATGCACATTCTCTGGCACCGATTCTTTGTTGAACAATACACCGAACTGAAGCACATAGCCTCCATAAAAATTATCCGCGATATCGATAAGCAGTTTACCTCTACACGTACTTGGACGAATAACTTATTCGCAGATTCTGCTCGACTCTTCGTAGCTCATGCCTCAAGTTTCACTTACGGAGCGAGTCACAAAACCGACAAATCTGGGCGGCTCATTTGAACGAGTCGCAGTGCCACTGAATTATCTGTTCTCAACTGCTGCTCCTTTTGAGCTACACACTGATTTTATATAAAATGATACAAGCGGCATCTGTGTGATCATGAGACATTTTGAAGGTTCATCAGAGTTGAACCTCTGCCTGTATTTATTTCACCTACCCTATGTCAGCTTTAAGTTATCCGTTACCCTTACAGTTACTCCGTATTCTTCACTGGGTTTACCCCTTTGGAAATGGCGGCTGACGATAAAGAGGCGGCACCTACCGTGCAAAATGAAGGTCGTAAGAGGAAATGTGAATTAAATATTGTTTCCGCTGCTGTTCAGCACACTGCTGGCGGAGAAAAAATGTTTGACTCTGTGATGGAAGTTGTTGGGGAATTCTTTGGTGCTGGTAGACGTCAAGAACCTAATGGTGATGAGAAAAATAAGTTCAAATGATTGAAATTCATTTCAGATGTACAGTATTGACTTCAAATGTTTTCAGTGTCTCCTGCTGCAGCTGGAGTGTCTAATCGGCATGCAACCCATAACTGTTACCATTCCCAAGAGCATCAGCAGTTACCTGAGGTCAGCTATGCAGCAAATACTTGGGATCAGTATCCTAGTGTTCAGTACAACAGACAGCAGCAGTGGGAAGCTCAACCAGAGAATTACCAGCAAAGTATGTACCAACAGCAGCAGTGGCAGCAGCCTAGAATTCAAATGCAGGAGGACCCTGTTTGGAGCAATCAGAAACAGCAAATGTCACAATGGTACATGGACCCCAACTCTCCAGACTTCCCTTGGGGGAAGAACAACAGAGCTTTGGTCAACATGGACAGGGAACCATTCAATCCTGGCATGTTGGCTGTTGAGAGAAGAACTCTTGAGAGCAGCAGACCAGTTATTGAGAGAAGAACTCTCGAGAACAGCAGACCAGTTATTGAGAGAAGACCAGCAATTGACCCCATCAGGAGACCATCAGTCTATCATCAGCCAGTCATGAGAGGTCAAGTGGAGCAAATGTACAAAGCACCCATCACTAGGCATCAGCAGCAGATTCCATCTGATGCAGTCATTCAGAATGGTTTCATGGATGAATATGTTCTTGGTAGTCCAGTCAGGGAATACAGGGTTCCTCAACCACCAGAAACCCCTGTTTATAACCCCCACCACCAGCAAAGATCACTGGGACCAGTTCCTCAAGGGCTTCCCAACCACATTCTCTCCAGACAACTTCCCCCAATGCAATATCATCCAAAACCTCAACTAAGATCTCTTGAGCCTGCATTCCAAGAAAGACCAATACCACCAAAAGTGAACAGGCTATTTGGTGAGTAACAACAGTAAGTTGGATGCAGATTTGATGTGTTATATATACATTTTTGGCGGTTTCATCAGAGCCACAACCAACTGTGCTGGGCAAGTTTTCCTTGACAAAGCAAAATGAACACTACAAGATCAATAATTTGCCCACTAGCAGCTCCCCAGCAGTTCCAGAGAAAACCACTATGATTTCGCAGCTGACATTTCCTTTACCTGGAACTTTCCAGAAGCTCACACCATCATCTTGGCAATCCAACCATAAATCCACTTATCCACAACCCTTGAACAATAATGTGAACTATATGAGGCAACAGTATGGGCAACCCCAGGAAAACACAGCACTTAAGCAGACTGAGCCACATGAATACCCCCAGTTTGGTCCAAGGCCAGTTCCTCCATTGGAGTATCTTGATAAGGGATCTCTGTATGCAAGATATGCCATGCCTGGAGATCCAAGGTCTCCTCCTCCTCCTCCTCCTCCTGCTCCAGCAGCTGCTGTGAAACATGAACAGCAAGGAAAGCCTGTTGAAATGACTCAGTTGGTTGAGCACAGCAGAGTAATACCATCTGTTACTGGTGCTGAAAAAGTGCCTGAAGTGACTATTCAACCACAAGCTCACCAACTGATGACGGTGACTGCTGAACCTTCCCCAGTAGAAAAGAAAAGCCATTCAGAGAAAACTAAGATGAACTTCACAGCTGATGTCATAGAGCAAGCATACAGTGTTTTCATGGCACCAATCACAACAGAGGAGTTTATTCCAAGGACCAAAGGTGGTGAAGAAAATGATTGTTCACCAGAAGATGAGGCTCAAGATCAGCCAATGGTTCAATGGTTGCCAACTCCTCTGAGTTGTCCGAATGGAAAAAGCCACCAGTTGGTACTTCTACTTGGAGATGAAACTGATGATCAGAAACAAGACTTAAAAGTCAAGGTCAAGACACATGGTGAAACCTGCTCTGTTATGTGGCCTGTGGATGTTGTGGTTGACAAACCAGGGCTCTTCTCCACAATGAAACAGAGCTCATTCATAGTAAGCAAATGTTTCCAGCTGAAAGTAAATGAGTGATTCAGAAACAAAGTTTTTGGATATTTCAGGTGCCAGTGACAGTTTCTGATGTACCATTGAGGATTCTTGGTGGAGATGAAACTAACAAGAATATTCAAGGAGGCAGAGAATCTTCAGAGTACAACATTGAACAAATCACCCATTCTACTGACCCATGGCCCAGGAACAATCCCATCTACTATAATATCCACAATTACAACCATAATCTAGTGCCACAGCTGTATCAAGAACCTGTTCTTGCTCCTGCTTTACCCAGAGACTCTACTGGTGGCACTTGGCTGAAAGTGCTTCAGCGCAAAGAAGAAATTAGGAGACAGGAGCATCCCCATGCAGTGATGATGAAGCCAGTGGCTGATGTTACTTTAGACAGCCAAGGTGCTGTTCAATATTCCCAACCATTTGTCACTTTGAGCAATTATTCAGCTGAAAAACAAGCTCAACTTAGTGCTGCTCATGCTGCTGAAGCTGAAACTGTGATGAAGCTTCAGGAGCTGCATCACAAGCAAGCTGAGATTGCAAAGCTTGAGAGCTCTGTTGCTGATGTGAAGCCTTGGGCTGTAGTGAGTGCTCCTGTTCCTGAGCACTTGAAGCCTGCTGCTGAGAAAGACAATTCAACTGCTTCAACATCCAGCAGGTCCAAGAAATCTGGCAGGAGATTCATGAGTGCCATTAGGTCAAAGCTGAATAAGTTGGGACTGTCTTCATCTAACAAAGGTAACCCACCTGCTTCTGAGCAGGAGCTCAACAATAAAGCAGAAGCTGCTCCTGTGGCTCTGGGTCCTCCACTGCCCAAGGAAACCTCATTTGTGCCTGCTGTAGCTTACCAACAGCAGCCAATTTGCCAAGAACTTCAAAGACAGCCATCTGAACTAGACTACCAGAGGTATGAAGAGCTTGGTGAGGTGACCAGGAATCATTTGGCCCCTTTTGCTCATATGAGGCCAGAGACATTTGACCAGTCACCAATGTCTGAGCGTTTTTGCTATTCTGAGCCAACTCAAAGCCTGAGACAAGTGGGGCAAATGGCTGCTTATCACAACATGGTGCCACACCCAGTGCAACCAGCACAGAATGTCATCATCCCAGCATTTGACTCTTACTATCCTGGACTGTCTCTTCATCCCAACTGGGCTCATGAAGAAGCTGATTACTATGAGTTGAGGCAGCCCAATCAAGCATTGCTGGGGTTTTCTGATGATCACCTGGGTCCCAGGCATTTGCCAAAATTGGGAAAGCAGCTGATGAGGCCAACCCAGTTTGGCAGGCTGGTCAATGTCAATCCATTTCAGATTAACTTTGACCAAGCTTTGGCCACCTCTGGACATCCACTGCTGCCAGGATTCTTCACCAGTTGTGCCACTGACACCATGGAAAGCTCTTGCATGGGTTCCTTGAGAACAGGCACATTGAGTTGTTGTGATGAGACACTCCTGGACTGTGTCTGCTCTAGCAGTTTTGAATCTTGCTCTCAGTGCACATCATGCAATGCTAGTTCATGTGATTCTTGCTCCATCTCATCTGACTCATCAATTTCCAGAATGACTGGAGGGGAAATCAAGAAAAAGAGGAGGAAGGTAGCCAAGAAGTCAGTGGTCATGGCTGTTGCTGCTCCACAAGAGCCTGTGCTAGGCACTGACCAATTGATTGCTCAAGTTAATGCTATGGTGAGATTTCTTTTTTAAAATTATGTAACAGTACTTCTAACTTTTCAGCCTCTGTTTGGTCTTACTGCAAGATGGGGAAAAAGGTGAAGAAACCAATTGAGGCATTCCTGGAAGTTGATTGTGATCCTACATTTGCATCTTAATTTTAGGTTTCTTAGTCATCTGGGAGATCTATACTGGAAACTTCTGGGCAAAAGGAGAGAACCCCTAACAATCATGCATAAGGTCACTGTCCTGGAAATAATCATGGTTTTGGTCCAGTGTATATGCATGAATTTTTAGTGAATGAGCAATCAAGTCTGAACACAAAAACAGTGGTTTACATGAAGTTCAATGACCTCACTTAAAAAACTCCATCTATATTGAGCCATGCCATTTTTCTTCAGGCTGTAACATAAATGCCACCATGCATCAGCAGAATCACAAACAATCCTATCATATGAAAGGGATTTTTGTGGCAAAGCTTCATGCTGAAGGGTAGAACAATTTAAAAGGCATCCATCATTTAATTTACCTATGCTTAAAGAAACCAATAAGAACCTCACAATATGATGAATTTCTGTTACATATGAAAGTGGAAATATATTTGGTAAAAATTCATAAATGTGCCCTTCCCACGTAAATATTGGAAACTTCAGCATTGTGAGTAAAGTAGTTTTGTAACTTGTTCTATGATAGTCCTGAAGAAAGGCTCCAAACTTGAAGCCACTGCCCCATGACTGGCCTTATTTTTACAACTATTCATTTACTTTTTTTTAAACATTTTGATTGCAACAGCTAAAAAAAAATACTTTTGGTTTCAAAGAATGCCCTAAATGTTTGCTGGGTTTTTACAATTTGAATCAGTTTCCAGAGAAAAATGTAATGTAAAGTTGAGTTGAAGAATAAAAAATTAGAGCAAAATTGTTGCCTGATGTGGGATACATGCACTCAAGAGGTGATACATGAGGTGTATAGTACTGCCCTTTATCAAAATTTTCCTAGATTTTTTTTTAGATTAAAAGCCCAGGTTATACAGTGGAACCACTGACTGAAGTACAGTACATTGGTTGAACTCTCATATAGAATTCTCTGGTTCCAGGCCCCTGAGAACCCCTTAGTTGAGGTGACTGCTCCAGCAGAGCCACAAGTTGTGCTGGGAGAAGCAGCATTGCAGGAGACCAAGCCTGATGACTCTGAGAGCAACATTTCTCATCTGCTGGATGAGGCCATCACCAATGCCATGGGGCGCAAAGAAGCTGGTCCTGTGGAGACTAGGAACAAAGCCTTTGATGAGTTCCTCTATGGCACCAGGAAAAGCGGCAACAGCAGCAGGCGCAGGAAGCGCAGCAACAGGACCACCAAGGCCCCACCTGCTGGTGATGCTGAGGAACTGCCTAAAGAGGCGAGTATCAGTGCTCTACCAACCATAGTCCCCATAGGCACAGGATTTCCAGCCTCATCCCTTGCTGCAGAACCCACACTAGTTGCCCCCAGGCCACCTCCAAAGGTCGTGGGAGGGATTCAAAGGGCCTATGACTTGGTGGAGACTGCCATGGACATCACAGGGCAGAGTCTCATGCAAGGTGCTGCTACTGCCATCTACCTCTCACGCCCTACACTCTTGCAATCCCTGAGGGATGACCCTGGAGACTTCATTGGCTTGGATGCAACTTTGCACTCACCTGCTGTTACAGCTCACAGTAAGGATGCCCTGCTCACCAAGACAGCCATGATCCTGGCAGAGGCTCTGACTGGTTCTGCACAAGTCTCTGGTACCCCAGTCCCTGAGGATGGGTCTGGGAACAGGAACTCAGACTTTGGCAGGACCATTATCTCTTCTGGTGTCAACAAGTTGCTCAAAATCCTGCCTGATGAACCAGGAATGACTACAAACTCCCAGGAAGACATTTTCAAGCATCCACATGTGGGACTGGGCACTGAAAAGGTCCTGGAGGACATTCAAGATCCTGATGAAACCCCTTCTGAAGCAGTGGCTCAAGGTTTGGAAATGGTGGAAACTGCAGAAGAGGTTCTTAGGAAGTATTTACCTGCTGACAAAGTAGCTGGGACTTTAGCCACATCAGGTGCTTCAGGAGTCATCAGGGAAGCTGAAGATGCAGTCAGGACAAAAGTCTCTGACCAGATCAACACTGCAGCAGACATAATCTCCAGGGCTGCTGAGTTTATAGCTGGGGATGAAGGCAAGGATGTGGTGGCTGAAGTCAAGGCCAGTGCTACCCGCTTGGCTGAGACCACAGTTAAGGAAGGTTTTACTGCTATTGAAGAAGCTGCTGATGAGGTTATGATCTCAGCTGGCAATAGGACCAAGCAAATTGCCAGTGACTTGACAGGGGCTGATCCATCAAAAGTTGATGAGATTGCCACAGAGATCACCAAGTACATCAAAACCACTCTTGCTGACAATGCTGAAGATGAGGATGAGGATGAGACCCAAGAATTTTCCTTGATGACTGAATTTGCTGAACAGTTGGTGACATACTTTGCCAATGGAAAAATTGACTCCAATGCTAAGAAAATACTGGATAGTTCCATTGCAGCAGCAAAGCAATACAGTGCTGAGGAATACCTGAAGAGCACCCTTAGTGTCTCAACTGATATCCTCAGTTACTTGACACAGATTTATAGGATTGAAAGCATGAAAAATGTCAATAGCCGAAGATCAACTGGGGTCTTACTGAGAGAGGCCATTAACCATGCAGTGACTAAGCTCATTAATGACCCAGAGCGCCAGGCTCTAACAGAAGCCAGAGAAAGCCTTTTGTCTCTCAATCAAGAACCCACTGAATTTTTTGAGCATGGCCAGCCTCTGCAAATTGGGAAGACTGTGGGCCAAACAGAAGAAGCTTATAATAAATTGGCAGCACCAAACAAGCAAGAAGAAGAGTTGAAGATGATCAGCAGTTTCATTGCCAATGCAGCCAAGTTAATAATGAGCCCAATGACCAACACAGAAGCTGCCAGGAACCTACTAAGAAGAGCTCTGACCCACCTAAAGCACCAAGAAGGTGTAGCTGATCTTCAGCACAGTGTCAGGAGGCTTTTGCAAAGCCTGGAGTTGGAAAAACCTTTGCCAGAGTCTTCTGAAATTCCCCTGGGTGCAGATAAAGAACTTATGCAGGCTTTGAAGGCAACTGTGGACCCTGAAACTGTTTCTATGCTTGGACAAACTGCTGGAAACATTGCTGAGAGAGGTTTGGAGACTGTTGGCAAGTACCTTTCAGAGCCAGTGAGAAGACAGGCTGAAGAAACACTCAGGGTCACCACAAATGCTTTAACCAACCTGGCACTCAAGCATGTGAGTCCATGGCACCTGCTGTATGGAACCCACATCATGTCAACCTTGATATGATTACTAGTGATGCCTCAAACTATGACTGTCCTTTTGATAATGACCAGCACATATTAATGGTGTCACAAGAATAGTGGTCTTGAAACCTTGGCATCTGAATCCTGAACAGCAGATAATCCTGAAAATAAAAGCACAACACAAAGTTTGTAGCTTGAGGCACCACTAATATGTTTCACATTACCTCAGTCAGCCATATACCAATAATAATATGCTTCAACATTTGGTTTGGTTATGCAGGCAACTGAAACAAGCCAGGACATGATCATTGATGCAAACATGATTGCTGAAAATGTCCAGGAGAAGCTTGAACCTGTTGATAATGTGGCACCCCCTGATGCTGCTTCTGTGATCTCAACCAATAATGCACCTATTCACATAGCTGAGACCATGGCTGACCAGACAGACCCTGTCATCCCAACCTCTGATGAAGAGGAGACAGCAGTGGAAGCAGTTGCAGAAAAGGTTTCCAACACACAGCTATCCATACCAAAGAGGATGGACAAACCAAAGAAAAAGCTCAGCAGGAGCTCTTCCAGAGGGTCTCAGAGGCACTCAAGGTCCAGGAGCAATAATAGGCTCTCTTCTAAAACTAAGCTTGCTTTTCCTCCCATTTTGGATCGCTATGATCAAATCATTGAGTCAACAAGACCTCAAGAACCACCTTTCAACCCCTGCAAGGGTGATCAGCAAACCTTCATGGCTGAGTTGCAGAAAGGGCTGTCTGAAATGGTTCCATTTGTACCTGATCCCAAGCTTACTGATACATCTGGATGCAATCCTGAGCAGCTGGATGAACCAGTTTTCCCATTGAACCTTTTGACTCCCAGCTCAGCTCCAAAGCCAGAAAGTCTGAGCAGAGGTGCAAGGCCATCTAGGAGGAAGTCCAAGAAGCAAAGAAACAGCACCTACAAGAAGAAATGACAAATTCAATTTGCTGATGAACCTGAAAGTTTTCACATTTTTCCCTGCTTTGTGATTTTAATAAACTCAAATGTTGCTTCCTCTGAAAGGAATGAGTTCCATATGATTTATAAAAAGCTTGTCAAGGTGGAGGGTTTCCCTTCCTCTTGAAGAAACACTTCATTCAATCTTCCTGTGAAACTCACCTTTAACCTTCCTTATTACCTTATCTACTACTCCTTTAACCTTTTATGATCCCCTGTAGGCCTTACACAAGGTTTGCATCATGGAAAACCTGGATACTGGACTTATCAGAAATGGTCTGTTTTTAAATATAGACTCTATTGCTCATTTGTCTGAAACCTTACACAACTTATTACATATATACAGGAGAGGATAATTGCAATGTCATTTACAAATCACCACAAGTTGTTGGAGGTGTAGACAATGTGAGACTTCAAGTGAAAATGTGCCCTGCCTGCTTATCAAAGCTAAAAACTTGTGAAAAGGGAGAAAGATTGTTGGTAGCTCAGTGTGGTCACTTGTCAAAAGGACAATTTAAGAACTCAGTCAAGTCCTTGAAGCATGCACAGGAAGCAAGTGTGCCTAAGCCAAGTGAATACACTTACAAATCAGCCACTGATCAAAGCACAATGAAAGACATAAGTGAGGATCCTGGATTCCAGCAGCAGCTGTCATCTGTAAGACCAAGGATAGTACCAGCCACTGACCCTTGGTTCTGGGCACCACTCAGTAATCAGAACACTACTCAGATCCTCTTTGACAGGGCAATGGACAGTGATGGGGGCCATCAGAGTATCCATTATCATCCTTCCCCAAGAAACCCAGGTTATTATATAGTTCCTGTGATAAATGAAAGGACCAAAGGTGGGCAAGACACTGGTGATTCTGAAGTTAAATCTGCTGTCTGGGACACACTTTATGGATCCTTGAGACCACCAAACCCATTTAAACAAAGCAAGGATGATGAGGATGCAATATCTGAAGCTCTTAGGGTATCCATGACACCCATAGAAGATGACACCTTCTCTGCTGCTGCTGGATCATCCAACAGGAGACATGATTCTCAGTTTATTGTCCACAGAATCCATAACATGGAAAGCAGATTGCAGTCTGCAGCTTATAATGAAAAGTCTTTGGCCCAGCAACTCAGTAGGGACTCTACAGGAGAAGGTCCAGATGCCCTACCATATTTGGAGAGTGCTGAAGAGGAAATGGATAGCTGGAAGGCCATTTGGGACCAAGGCCCAAGTGCATTTGAGTTGAAGGAAAGAAGAGAGGAGGCCAGGAGGAATATTGAAAAGCTTGAAAGGGAATTTCATCATGTAACCAGCCGCAGTGCTCAAGCCAAGATGCACTCACCAAAACACACTCAGCCTGATTCTGACAAAATACAAGAGGCATTTGATGCTGAAATGCCTCCCATAGAAACAGATGAATTCATTCCTAGAAGCAGGAGGAGAGCTGGCAGAGACATTCAACCATTCACTGTCAACATTGACTCTATAACCCTTGAAGCCTTGGACCAAGATGCCACCCCAAAGGATGATCTAGTTGAAGTCCAAGTGGCCCTTTTTTCAGACAAGCAGACAAACTCATACAATGGATTCTTCATTCCTGAACACATGGCCATGTCTCAGAAGGTTCTCCTCTTTGGACCCTCTCATCAACAGTGCATTCAAAATACTGACATAGAGCCAAAAGTACCTTACTTGTCCACATGCCTGTCTTGTCCACATGGAAGTGATCACCAAGTCATGCTTTTGTTGGCTGAAGAAGACCACAGTCCTTCCTGGGCCAAAGTCAAGGCTTCTGGCACTTATTCTAGTGTCACATGGCCTGTGGACTACATAGTGGAAACTGCACAAGAATTCCAGTCCCCAGAAGTGCAGGTTCCTGTCACAGTTACAGATGTACCCCTGAGGATCCTTGCTGGTGATGAAAGGAACCGTTTTTGCAATGATTGTCATAATCCTGTGAACATACCACTTGAACTCAGAAGTGGTAATGTGATTCACACCACAGAACCATTCTGGCCACAGCAAGAAACCCCAGTAAGGTCAGACTCCTCATACTACATGCATAACTATGCTGATCAGATGAATCCCAGGCATGCAACTCCTGCATACATGCCTGATCATTTGCAAAACCAGCACATTGTTGGATATCAGAATCAAAATCAAGTACCAGCTGCTGCTTACTTACCAAGAGATGCCTCAGGCAATGCCTGGGTTCAAGTCCTTCAGCGAAAAGATGAAATCCTGAAGCAATATCAGACTCACGCTCATAGAGACATGGTCTATGAAAGGAATGGAACTACCACTGAATATTCCAATGCTTTCCAAACCTTGAACCAATATACAGCTCAGAATACTGCTCCTCTGAATGTTTCAACTGACAGATCCCAGCTGATGGATGTGCCTAAACCTCAGGTTCAAGAATCAGTTCATGCTGTAGATGACTCAAAATCAGACCATGATGAAGTCAGCAGTGTGAGCAGTTCCAGAAAAGCCAAGGGGAACTTTCTGAATGCCATCAGATCCAAGTTGAACAAAATTGGTATTGCCACTAAAGAAAACTCCAAAGGGAAAGTGTCTGGAAACTCAGATTTCATTGTGCCAAAAGAAGTTTCTTACACCCCTCAAAGCCAAGAAATGGATTACCAACTGTATGAAGAACAAGGTCAAGTTAGATCTCTTGAACTTGTCCATCTCAACAATTCTTTCAATAACCAACCAGCAAAGCATGAGTTTTCCTCAGCAGAGACCCAAAAGATTGGACAAGCTGTGCACAGGTACATTCCTGAATATCCAGGACTATCTTTGCCTCCCAATTGGGCCAATGAACAGGCTGAATTCTATGCCTTGAGGAAACCCAATCAGGCTATTGTGGGATTTGATGAAAGTCACTTGGCACCCAAGCATTTGCCATTTTTGGGACCACAGCTGCTCAGACCACAATTCACAAATGTACCTGGATTGACATTCAGAGCTCCAGGACAGCAAGGAATTCTTCCTTCTTTTCTGGTCTCCAAACTACATCATCAGGCCTTGAGGAACCACTTGCATCAGTCATCTTACTGCCAAAGTGAAGAAGTTGAGAGTGGATCGTGGACAGTAACAGAGAGTGGTTCAGACAGAACCTCTGTCCAAGAAAGCTCAGAGCTTTCAGGAACTGACACTGGATCAACAACAGGTTCAATTTCAAGGTTAACTGGTGGACACATCATTGATGCTCCATTGAACTCAAGTAAATTGGCTGCTTGAGGCAATGTAAAAGCTGAATTTACTGAAGGATTGCAGCCTTTTTTTTTTCAAATATCAATCTCTATATGGCAGATTGTGCACTGAAGAAAACTATGCACTGCTTGATATTCCCTCAGGATACTCAGGTTTTTCGTGAATTTTAAAGTTATTCCTTCAGTTTTCTGCTGTTCCTCCCAAGTTTTCCTTGGGATTCCCCAATACTGCTTCAAAGGGGAAGCTGGGAATATGAAGCACTATGTTTTTTTTTGCAATGACCCAGTTTGTAAAACTTACACATTTTCAAGACTTTTAAAATATTTTTCAGGAAATTTACCCTCTAGCGCTTTAATCGTGTTATTTCCTGATGATGGATGAGGATAGAACTGGAGAGGATGGTCAAAATGTGAAGAAATCTCAAAGTGAGTGTTCCTCCAGGAGCATAAGAAGCCCCAGCTGTTTGAGGAGAAAGGCTAGGGAAAGCTCTGTGACTTTCAGACTTCAGGTCAGTTTAAAAGAATCCCACAGGTGGATTTAGAAAAATATCCATTTCAGTAAAATTTTTATAAATGTACAAAACAATTTTGTTACAACAAATTAAATTGTAGAAGATAAGAAAAATGAACCCAGCAAAACTTGCATTAAAATTTGTTTGGGGTACTCAAGAAACACTGAACTGATAAGGTTTTTCTGAGCACAGATTTGAAGTCCACAAAAAGTGCTTGTGTTTACCTGTTATTCAGAGTGAATGTTTATTATAGACATTTGGATTTCTTTTTGAAGATAACTTTTTCAAGCATGCTGGAAAGGCCACAAAAGGAAGACTTGGAATATTTGTAGGTATAATTTGAAAAAAATATTCCCAGCAGTTAAAAATAAAAACAAGTCTTATTTTAAATTATTTCTTTTTTACAAACTTCTAAGTTTGTTGTAATGAGATTTCCCTGTAATGCAATCTAATGTCCTGACAGAAGCACCATATACACAATGCTATTGCATGCTTTATTCCAAATGTTCAAGATGCATTACAAATATTTTGATTCCTGAGCAATTGAGTATTTTTTTGAATCATGCAATACTCATTTAAACATGTGATGTTTGCCACTCCCCCTCAATTTTCTTTAAATTGATGAGGGTTGAAGCATTATTCAGTTTGAACATCAGTGTACTGAAATATCTTGCTAATGAAAATCAGATTTCTTGAAAAATGCTGGCTGAGACTTTGGTTTTTTCATGATAATACTTGGCATTTTTTTGTTCAAATACATTTATACTTGTAATATTGTTTGTCTTTTCATCCTATGTTTTTATAATTTGAAACATTATGTGTTGATGAGTTTTTGAGTATAATGATGCATCAGTTGGGTTAATTTAACTATATAGCTCTAAAAGTCCCCAGAATACGCAGCTCCACTTGAAGACAACGCCTGCTGGAGAGGCTGCAAGCAAAGCTTTGCAGGCTGGAACAACTCAGTGGTGCCTCCATTCCATGCAACCCCATTTGGACCCCTGGAGCAAGGAGCCCACATGGGACTCCACTCACCAACCACCAACTTCCAGCCCTTGCAGTCTTCATATGACCCAAGCAATGTTGCTTATGGACCACCTTTAGCTTCCCCAATGTTGAGAGAAAGCTTTGCTGGGTCCCAATATATTGCTTCAAGGCCTGTGAGATATTCACAACTGTGGGGTCAGGAAGGACCCTCTGGATCTTCTTCTGCTGGAGGTTCTTACAGGGATAGTTTGGGTGATGCTTTCCCAAGAACAGGGGATGCCATGGATGAGTTTGGGGCCTCTTATCACAGAGCCAGGAATGACAGCAGGTTTGTTGAGATTGATTTTCCATGATGCCCTAGACAATGAACCTTTTGTTTGACTCTTGGACAGGGACTTTATTTTCTGTACATAAAGATTGGGAGACTCTTGCATGACTTGAATCACCAGAAAATGAACTTGAACTTGACTAATATAATATTTGAATACTTTTTCATCCCTTTGCTGGGCATGAAACATATCTTTCCACCATTGCCCAAAAATTGAGCAACAATTTGAACAAATCAACACTTGTATTTAGAGGATGATGAAAAGAAAGAGGAACTCTGAAGTATAGCTTCATCGCTTTCTGCATGCTTTCCTTTCTCAGTTGATTTGGTGTAGGAATACTTCATTGAAATTTTTTAAAATGAAAATATGAGTAACTTGAATTGGATTCAATGCATGACCAGCTTATTGGTGTCATTCTTCATGTTCTTGTTTTCCTCTATTACAGGAATGCCACTCCAAAGAGCTCTTCAAGTAGAGCAAATTCTGAGGCTCCATGGCAAACACAAACACTGTCTCAGTGCATGGAGACCTGTAATCAAGCACTCTGGAATCCTCAGCAAAACATGAACGCTTGTTTGACCAGCTGTTTTCATCAGCAGCCATCTCAGGTCCAACAAATGGCCAACAATTTTGACCTCAGGAGCTTGTCTCATAGCAGAGCCAGTCCAAGGCCTGAGGATGATGCTGGAAATGTGCAAAGAGCCATTGGAGAAGCTGCCCAGCAATTGCTTCAGCATGAAGCCCTGATTACCAGCCACCACAACCCTCAATCTCCAACATTGATCAGAGAGCAAAGCAAAGTCCATCTGATCAAGAATATTTTGCTGCTGGCACAAGATTTGCTCAACCCTTCAACAACAGCTGGGTCTCAAACATCTCCTCTTATGCAATCACCCTCTTCATGCTCTCAATGCACCAAATCATCTTCCCCAACTTATGGAGAAACAGGTAGGTCAAAGCAAAGTGGAGGCAGTGAAATAATGGTCAATGTGCCAAAGGTTCATTTTGATGATAATGTCTGGCAAATGAGTGCATCTTCCCATGGTGGAGATGTGAGTAAGACCACTTGGGCAGAACAGCAGTATGATGATGAATCAACTTGGACAACTGATGTTCTTCCAGCTTCTGTTGGAGGTGCAGAGAGTGAGAAAAGCTTTGGATCTTTTCAACAGTAAGTTAAAATTACTGTATCTGTCATTTATTGATTTAGAAATAGATGTCTTGTAGTTTCTCAATCAGCATTCTCTAAACCGTCACAGTAATTGAATCAGTATTGATTCATATTTTGTGATTCAAGAATTGTATTTTGGCATTGAAAGGGCCACCCAATATTCAAAAATTGAAAAGTTTTCATCAGAATTTCAGTAATTCAGAATCATTTTTAAATCAAAACAGATCTTGACCATATTTATTTCAATATTGCATTTAAATTTCTACTGTGAAATACTGTAATTTCAAATCCTCTATTCATAGCATTTATTTTCAAAGAAACCTTCAAAAAATGTCAATTTATTTCTAAACTTTTTGTGTGTCCACATAGCTCAAATGAAAATGTATTTTCTTCCCAAAAATAACATTTTTCAGTATTCATGAAATTGTTCATGTTTCTTGCAACCCTAGTTTTACTGCAGTGATGAAATAAAATTTTTAGATTTTCAAGAAATGATCATTTGGTATTGTAAAACTTGCAAATCAATATTGTACAGTATAATTACCACAAAACCACAGCAAACAAAAAACCGTCATTATAATGCAAACTATTTTGAGAAATGAATAAAAGTAACCATGTCTTTATTGTTGAGACCTTAAACAATCTGTGATTTGATTTTAGCCATTCTGATGCTTAAAAATATTCTTCTGAAGAAAGTCTATTCTACCAATGAGAAAGTGAATGAAAACTGGAAAAACAATCTCATTCCCTCTGATTTGGAATTTGAGGAATACTGGATCAAGAGAGATTTGTGACTACATGCAAACAAGCTCAGACATGTACAATGGAAAATACAAGACCAAAACCGGATTTGAAGCTTCTTCCCAAGACACTGGGTTCAAAGACACCCTGGACAAGCAAGCCAGCTCTGGAGGCAAATGTGAGGAAGATGGATCCTCACCCTGCACTAACATCATCAGTCAATTTGGAAATATTCTTGAGATGAAAAGATGCAAATGGGATGAACCCACCTCAGCGCAGTCTTCTGGCACAAGAACAGAACAAACCATTTCCCCACACCTTCTCACAGACCAGGTGGCCAAGTTTGAATATCTAAGCAAAGAGCTCAGCAGACTTTGGATAGCCCTGGAGGAGTTGAAAAATTTGCAAGACACCCCTGGCAAACAGAAACTTTCTGGGCAGAAATCAGACTCCAGCCCTTGCAGAGAACCTCAAATCACAACTTCAGAGCAGAAGGAAACCACTGAAACTGGATCCTCAGAAAGAGGATCTAGTAATCCTGAAAGGACTTCTCACATTGGATCTGGATCACATGCCAATTCACAAGAACCTATGCTTACAGACCTTGTAATTGAATCTCTGGAAGCTGCTCTGGCTGATCACAGCTCACAAAAGCAGTATTTTCAAGAACCTATCAAGTCCTCAAAAGCAGATGTGACAGCTCTTTTGGAAAAGCTGAAGCAATCAGTTCCTGGATACTTTGAATCTGAGAAATTTGAACCTGATCAGCCTGGTAATGAAATTGACACTGGGATCAAATAATGGATCTCATTTGCCAACTTAGTGGGTATCTTCATATGCTTTATTATTTTTTCAGATGAAGACTCATCCACATTCAAGAGTGAGCCTTTCCAAGTTGAGAAAATTTTCTTTGAACCTTCAGAAGACACTGTTTCAACTGATGAAGGCATTGTCTGCAAATTGAATAGGACATTGAAAATCATGGAAAAGAATCACTTGAGCATCACTTCAGTGTCTCTCTCTGTTGATGACCTGACCTTGATTCTTTCAAATCTTTCCTCTCAAGGTTTGTGAATAAGAGTCTATTCAACCAAAAGGTGTTCATGTCAGACTATTTTAAAGAAGTTCATTCTACAAGAGTCTTATTTCTTAAAAAAAAGGTCAACTAATCTAAAAGGAAAGTTTTAAATGACTTTCTGTGCAGTTCAGCAGATACTTGTTGCAAAAAGTGAATATTAAAGTTCTCTGGGTTCAAAAAAATAGGAAATGAGGAGCTTTTGGCAACTTTTGGTGGAACATTTCCACCTTCACTTGTGATGAAACACATGTATTTAAAAATCGATGATTAAATTATGGATCTGAAGAACTGCATTCATTACAGAGGAAAAGCAAGTACATCCAAAACAGGAAGAAGAAAAGGCTGGCAGTCGGAAGTTATCTGTGAAGCCATCATATTCACATGACCCACTTCTGGATGAAACTGATATTGAATTTGGCTTTGGACGCAACACAAATCAAGTAGAGCTTACCCCAACAGCATCTGCAATCATAAACAAGGTTCTTGGGGACTGGGTCAACCCTGTGAAACCTGCTTCAGGTTCTGGGAATTTTGAAACTACTACATTGACCTACCACAGTTTGAGGTTCCTTACTGATCTTCTGGAGGATGCATTGAGAAGTGATCCATCCCCTTCACATGAATTGAGGAATTTCCTCAAGCATCTGAAGGATTTGTGTGATGAGTCTGAATCTATTGGGGATGACCACAGTGACAGTGTGTTCACCATCAGGATACACAACAGAACTAATGACCAAGAAGTAGGTATCATACATATTCAATTTTTTCAGATACAGTGAAACCCCATTACATAACTGCCATTTACAGCAGAGCTTTCAGTATACATAAAATTTTCAGTATTCAGAAAATTTTTTTTTTCTAAGTCACAGCAGAAAATATATGTTAAGGTACATGCTGAAAAATCTTGTTACAACAAACTCTCCAATTTAACATTAACACAACTTTTTTGAGGATCATGTGATTTTCCCATGGATGATTTAAATCAACCCAGCCTCATGTTAATCTTGGATGATTAAGGAATTGTGCTACTGATGCTTTACACCTGAGAGCCTCTTTGGAACAACCACACTTACAAATCTGTGCAGGCATTGATCAGAAAAACATGAAGTCCATATAAAGGGCTGTGGTTTACCTGTTATTCAGAGTAAATCTTTGTTATGAACGTTTGAATTTCAGATTTCAGTTTTTCAGAAAAATGCAGTAAATGGAAAAAATTTATGAAGGCACATGCACAAGGAAGATCAAAAACTGAATGAATGAATGAATGAATGAACGGAACACTTTATTTGCCGCTTTTCAGCGTTGACAAGGTTCAATCAAAATTTCCACAACCAAACCCTATATGTACTTGTTTAGTTTAAATAGCAACTTGTCCAGTTAATAATTGTGAAAATCGCATGAAAATCATTCAATATAAAAAAAATATGAAGTCCCCATAACAAGTTTGATGTTACAAGCTTTTACTGTATGAGCAAAAATAGACTCGTCTGAATGTAGTGCAATATCTTGAAGAATATTAGCTCCAAATCCCTTTAATCATGTGAGCAGTCCTAGGAACAAATGACCATTTGTAACACTTTCAATTCAGCAGGTACAAGTTTGAATTACTGTACAATTAACCACCTTTCAGAACAAGTCTGATTATTGTTATGAGGCACCAACGCTAAAAAAAATATTTAGCTGTATTCTTTGCTGAATTGAATCCCACTTTTAGGTGCTGGAAGAGAGAGACACAGCCACCTACAGTCCACAGGTCCTTAAGTCACCAGTGCCAACTCCAAGCCCTGCATCTAATGTCCCAGAAACTATCACTGGAGTTTTTGGATCATGGGGTACATCTGGAAGAGCAAATGCCATTGCATCTCCAATGCTCTCAAAATTTGAATTGCCTTCAATTGCCCCCAACCCTGACTTTTTGGTTTCAAGTAATGCCAGCAGTCCTCCTGAAGACAAGCATGGACATGAGTCACTGGCAGTCAATACTGAGAGCTTTAGTTCAAGGAAACATGATGCAGTATTTCAGATTGGAGTTGACCCAACTGATGAAAGCCTAGTTGCTGATAAACAAAGTTTGGATAAATACAGCCCAGTTTTTGGAAAAATTTCAGGAGCTGCCAAGAAAAATGAAATTGGTATGTATAAAACACTGAGTGATCCACTAGAGTGATGCCTCACACTTCATATGCATTCTGTATAGCCAAAGTCAAGAGAACCCAATCTTTCTTCTACTCATACAGTTCTACAGTCAGGGTAACACAAAAGTTTATTAGAACATGATTGGAAATGGAAGTGTGTGAACTTTTGGCTCTCAATCTTCTGAATAAATTATTTGACAAGATTAGATTTTTCACAAGAGATAAAGTTTGTCTGACTTGTTTTCCTACCTTTCTTCTGAAAATCATCCTGCTGCAATTATACTGTATTCCATATCCTTGATCCCCAGCAGCTGTAATAAGCCACACCATGATAGCCTGAAAGCGTAAGAATAATACTCATGGATGTTGGAGACATTTTTGACTGCACTGTTCACATGGGTTAACTATTATTTGACATATTTGGGTTTTTTACTTTTATAGGGTGTAAGACAATGAGGTCCAGCTTTAATAAGTCACCCAAGATAGGAACAGGCATGTTTGAAAAGGGATCTAACCTGAATCTACATTCCAAAGTCCACTCATCCTAATAGTAGTTTTTTTCCAAACAAGAAATGCATCAATCATGTATGGAAAAAATATGGTTTGAGGCAACACTTCAAAAATTTGCACATTGGTGAAACTTGCCGCTTTCTAACTTGCCGCGCACCCAACCTGCCACAAGCAGTTGAACTTGCTGCTGTCACAACTTGCCACAGTGTTAACTTGCCAGTGTCACAACCTGCTGCAGTGTTAAATTGCTGCTGTGATGAGTCACCACAGGTGGAAGTTGCCACTGCAACAACTCACCACTGTAATGACTTGCTGCTATCAAAATTTGCCAAATGAATGGCAGCTTGCAGCCACTTGCCATTTCATTGTCTACAATTTCAGGAAAAAAGGAATTCCCACATTTTACCACTTCTTATCTAGGCATTCTGCTGTATGAATTTTTTTTTAGAATATATAGAGGGTTTCAATGAATCCCTTCTTCCTGAACTGGTACTATTGGTGGCTAAATGATGTGGATTTTATTTTTGATGGTAAGGTTTTTTTCCATATTATTGCATTGTACATTTTTTTCAATTGCAAACATGTTCTGTTGTGAATTAAGTTTGAAAAAGTTCTAGAACTGTCTGAATTAATCTTCAAGTACAGCATGTTGAAAGAGTGGCAACTTATAAATACTGCAAGTTGTGACTGCGGTGAGAAATGATTGCAGCAACTTGTGACTGCGGTCACTTCAGGCTGCAGTCAGTTGCAGCAGCAGCAAGTTAGGGTGTGGCAAGTTGAAGTGCGGCAAGTTCAACTGTGGCAAATTTCACCCGCACCAAATATTTCAAAATACAATAATCAGGATTCAACTTGTCTTGACAAATTTTGTTTTCAAAGAGGATGATACCGAGTCTCCAGGCCCAGACTCCACTCCCCCAAGTCCAGATCTTCTGGCCTCCAGGGCTTCCCACATGAACATCTCTCATCAGACAACTGAAAAGCCAGCAACCACCCTGCCAACACCAGCAAATCTGCCCATGGTCACAAGGGAGCAAGTGACAGCATCACTGGCCTCGGTTCTTCAGCCACCTAATAAACTCCAGTCAGCTCTTCAAGTCCAGTCAGCTCATCAATTCCAGTCAGCTCATCAATTCCAGTCACCTATTCATTTACAAAGCAGCCAAGACACAGAGAATAACCCAGATGCCAATCATATCCGAGACTTGGTGCAGTCCATAAACAAGACTACCCCTGTTTGTTCCACACCTTTTGAGCCTTGCAAGGACTGTGACCCAAAGATGAAGCTTCAGGAAATCCAACTGGAACAAGAGAGGTTATCCAAAGCAGCAGATCTCAATCAAGAACATGATTTCCCTATGGAGTCCAATGACAATGTTCAAAAGGGGCTGGTTATGCCTACCAGAAAGGAAATTCCCAAGATTCCAGATGATGATGATGATGATGAATCTTCTCACCCAATGACTGCTGCTGAAGAAATCCAAGTTTGTTTTCAAGTTCTCATCTCTTTGTGGATTTTGAATAATATTTTTTCTTGATGCAGCTTGTCAAGGACTTGGTGAAACCATATTTTAATGATTCAGACCCAGAGAGTGAGCTTTGGATGGATGAAGAAAATCCAGTTGCTCAACCTCATGTACCAAGAGCTGAACTTATTGCAGATATGGATGATATTTTCTTCAAACCTTCTCAGCCATCTGATTCCAAGATGGAAGTGAAGAAGAGTGACACAGAAGGTGCTGGTGAATTACATTTTTAAAAACGTAATTTTTAAAGAAATTAGCTTGGTTTTTTTTTCAGTTTCTGAGGAGCTTGTTGTGCCAAAACCCAAGATGTTGGATCAAAATGGAAACTTCCAGGAAAATTTCATTCCAGAAAATGTCCAAGCTAAGCCTGTGGTGCCCAGAGGGTTTTTGGATGCAACCTCATCTGATGACACCAATGAAGGCTTAGAATCACTTTCAGACAATGACCAGGAACAAAATGCATTGGATACAACAACACCAGAACAGATGGCAGAACATTATGACTTGAAGCCTGAGGAGGTGACATTTGAAAGCTGGGCTCAGGAGAGTCCAGAGCTCTTGGAGCCAGTGGATGAGAACATGTTGCTGGTGGCCAGAGCCATTTTCCATCACCTCAAGTGCTTCAAGTCTAATACTTTTTCACTCCCCGAGGCTAGCATTAGGAATGATGATCTTTCTTCACTGGAAACCAATGAGTTTGTCAAAGCAGTGGCTCCAGCCATGAGCATGTTCAATCATTCTTGCTGTCCAAATGCTGCATGGGACTTCATTGATGGCAAAGTCATTTGCAGGGTTCTGAGACCAATTAAGGAAGGGGAGGAAGTAACTGTCTCTTATGGGTATAATTTCAACAATTACCCAGAGACTGAAAGGAAACAAGCACTCAAGGCAAGTCCCCTCTATGGAGATAAATCATAAAACCTATCACACATACCCTTTTACATTCATATTATAATTTTGAAACACGTAATTAACATTTTAACCCAAGTGAAAAACACAAATACACATTTGAAGCAAAGCATGAATCAATATTATCCCAGAACCAAACAACAAAAGCTGGTGTACAGGGGTAGTGTTGAAATAAAAGAGCTACATTTGTTGATGCACAGATTTGCCAACAAAGGCATTGATTTCACAACTCAGTAAATATTATGGATAGTAGGATTTTTTGATAACTTCTTGTGATGATCTGGAAATAAGAAACTTATTGAAAATTGAACAAGGATGACCAAAGTTATGGCTGGCCATTTGGGTTAATTAGTGAGTGGAACTAATTTCAGCAAACCAGTCATAATAAAAAAAGTCAGAGGATCTATGAGGCTGGCACCCAGCTAGCTTGCATTGGAATTTGGGAGTGGAGCAAACAAAAAATTTTCACTTCTCACCCTCACCTCCTTAATTTTGAGAATGCCAGCACTCTTTTGAAGGTTACATGAAGTTAGCTGGTTAAATTACTTTTCATTCACCCCACTTATCCAAAAAAAAAAAAAACAGCTCTGGAGAACAGCAGCTTATAGTGGAAGGAGTTGCCTGACAGCCTTTTTTTGAAAGTTAAAAAATTGGTTGCAAATTTAAAATGTGACCATTCTATTGCAATCATTGGAACCACACAACTCATACAATTTGAAAATGATTTTAAAAAACTTTTGGGTGTTTCCTTCATTGCTGCATCTTTATTTGCTAATGAGTAAAAAATTGATTTCCTCTTTGCCCACCCTGTACAGAGGCATTCTACGGACATTGAATCACAACTTTCTCTCAAGAAGTTCTTTTATTTTATTTTACATGAGCTAGTTGTAGTGCAACCCTTTTTTAGTGTCATTAATAAATGGATGGATGTCATGGATAGGTGATGGCACTAAAAGAAGGTTTAACCATGTTTATGTTCCTCTTCTTGACTCATCTAAATTGCCTTGAATTGATGCACTAAAATGTCTCAATACTGATCACAGGAGTCTTATTGCTTTGTGTGCAAATGTGAAGCATGTTCAAGTCATTACAACACAACTTCAGAGAGTTATGGCAAGCCATGGACCTTGAAGTGTCCTGAATGCCAAGAGGCAGGGGGATTGCAATCAAGTTGTGTCTGTGAGCTCTGTGGTTTTGATGCTAAGGCTTGGATCAGAGCCCTGGGCAAGAGTGAAGCTGAGTACCTCCAGAAACATGAGTCTTTCTCTATGGATTCCTTGGAGGACACTATCCAGGTCCTGGAGCAGCATGTGGTCAACTTGGACCCACTGGTGCCAAGGGATGCCATTGAGCATGTTTTACCTGTTGAAATGCTGAGGAAGTGCTACTTACTTCAGGGCTATGTGCACAAAAGATGAATCATTGACTTATGTATACCTTTGAATCTTGCTAAATTTTTGGCCCTGTGTTCACACAACCAATTTTGATTTGTTAGTGTTTCAGATCCTTTCTGAATATGTAATGCTATGAAAATGCATTTTGTGTTGACACCCCTATTGAAATTTCTGTTCAAAATTTATTTCCTGGTCTATACAGTGCATAAGAATGACCTTTTTCCCAGGTGTTGCCCCAGGATATCTCCAATAAGCAAACATTTTTGGTAATACAGTGGTACCTCGTAGAACGAACACCTCATACAATGAACGTTCCACATAACGAACGTTTTTTTTCTCGAAAATCCGCCATTTTCTGCTCCGCAGAACGAACCAAATTCACATAACGAACTTTTTTTTTCCTGAAAAATCGGAAAAATTCGAAAATTTTTTAAATATTCAATTATTGCTTTAAAAAATTGAAAAAAATTACACAAATCATACATAATATTAATATTTACAACAATCATACACAATGTTAATACAGTATTTGATGGGGAAGAAAAGAATTTTATTTAACACAGAATTTTTTTCAAAATCAGTAATCCCAAAAATGCATAAAAAATCCAGGTAAATCCTACTGTGCCACTCTCTGCAGACTTTTTTCTTCATCAGATTGAAATTTATTAAAACAGTGCATCTAAGGGGGTTCTGCTAAAAAAAAACAGTTTTAAAATTAGGCTTTAATTAAAATTTCTAGAGAGTGTAGATTGCAGGTTAAAAAAGATTTGTTTCCAGGGACTTTTGCTCACAGCAAAAATTCCATTTCCAGAGAATTTTTGCTGTGAGCATAACTTCCTTAGATGAAATGTGAAAAATATTGTGGATTGATGATTTAAACTTGTGAATTTGTGTTTAAAGGTTTAAAACACAAATTGATGATGTAAACCTGTGAAATTCTGTTTAAAGGTTTCAAACACAAATTCACAGGTTTAATTCATGAATTTGTTTCATTAAACCTGTGAATTTGTGTTTAAAGGTTAAAAACACAAATTCACAGGTTTAGATCATCAATCCACAATTTTGTTGTGGCATGATACAGTGGCATGATTAAAAGGATAAATTGAGGCTTTAATTTAAATGTTAAGGAGGGTAAATTGCAAGTTTCGAAAATGTTTTCAATGGGGTTATGCTAACAGCAAAAATTCTCTGCAACTGGATTTGGCTTTGAGCATAACCCCTGCAATTCTAATTTTAATCTTGAGGTTTGAAGCACAAATCCAAAGGTTGAAATGATCAATGCACACATTTTTTGACATTGCATCTAGGGGGGTTATGCTCAAAGAAGAATTTTTCTGAAAAGTTGTCTGCTTTGAGCATAGCCCTCTTAAAAAAAAAATTTTAAACAACATCTAAGCTCTAAGGGTTCAGGCTCATTTGGAAGCCATTTTGACCCTGCAATGCACACTTTCTGAGAAATTGACTTGAAGCATCATTTTTGCAAATTCTAGGGGGAAATCCAGATGAAACTCAAATTTCAAAGACAATTTTCATTCCATCTTTTTAGGAAATCTGAATTGCAGGCTTTAAAAATTATTCCAAGACAGTTATGATCACAAAAAATCTTTGGAAAATGGGGGTTGCTTTGAGCATAAACTCTCAGATTTTAGGGTTATGCTCAAAGCCCCCTTTTTTAAATTTCTATGTGATCATAACTGTCTTAGAATAATTTTTAAAGCCTGCAATTCAGGTTTCCTAAAAAGATTGAGATGAGAATTGTCTATGAAATTTGAGTTTCATCTGGATTTCCCCCAAAAAATTTGCAAAAATGATGTTTCAATTCAATTTCTCAGAAAGTGTGCATTGCAGGGTCAAAAATGACTTCCAAATGAGCCTAACCCCTTAGATGTTGTTTGAAATTTATTTTTTTTAAGAGGGCTATGCTCAAAGCAGACAACTTATCAGAAAAATTCTTCTTTGAGCATTTTAGCATAACCCCCTAGAAAACATTTTTGAAACTTGCAATTTACTCTCCTTAACATTTAAATTAAAGCCTCAATTTATCCTTTTAATCATGTCACTGTATAAAACTACTGTTTAAGACACAAAACAATTTTTTCCCCTTTTTTTAAAAAAAAAATTGAATTTTTCAAATTTTCTGGAACGGATTAAACGATTTCCCATACAAGTCTATGGGAAATTGTGATTTGCAGTAAGAACGTTTCGTACTAAGAACGTTTCTCCAGAACGGATTACGTTCGTAGTGCGAGGTACCACTGTATGCATGTATACAGTCAACCCCTTCACAACTGACTTAATGCAAGCAGCAGAATAGTCTGAGAAGTCTGTTTTGAAAATTCAATTATTTAAAACATTTAAAATTTTAATTTTTACCATCAATTTCGAACCAACAAAAGTCTGTTTTGTGGATTTAGTCCATTGCGCAGGGGGGAAATCTGCCAACAGAGGGAGTCTGTGGCGCAAAAATCCCTTGTGTGGGAGGTCTGTTGTGCAGGTGTTGAGTTGTTGACTGTAATTCATGTTTTGTGGGACTGCAGTAAGGTTCTGTTTCTATTAAACTTTTGATGCCAAAAGTTTGCCATAGCAAATTTTTTCTTTGTCCTTGATTACTTTCTATAGGGTCAAAGTTATAAATTCTTTTTTGTATCTTTAACATATATCCCCCTTTAATCGCAGTATTATAAATTATTGTATTCTTTTGTGTGCATAAGCCATATTAACTTTTACCAATTGGCGTGATTTTCGAATTTTTAAGTGGCGCATATCTGAAAAACTTCCAAAATATAAATTTTCTTTTTTAAAGAAAATTTACTATTTTCTGGAAATATGAAGCTCAAATCAAAGTTTATTCTGATTTATTTTGGGTGTTAAGAATGGCTAACTTCTTGAAAGAATAGGTATATATTTGGGAGAACCTTATTTTCATGGAATGTTTTTAATGTTCTTGCACAAATATATGTTTGTTTCAGCTCATACTTCAGTAATATTGGCGTATTTTAAAGGTATTCAAGAATGGGAGGGTCTGAAAAAGAGAATTGTATTGAAATTATAATTTTTTGATGATTTTGCATCATAATAAGAAGTTGGGAATTTCGAAAATTTATCTTTTATTTCTTGTGGAAGTACTTCGAAGAATTCATGACCTGTTTTTCACAAAATTTCAGTCCTTCGTGCTGAAATAACTATTGGAGTCTCATTAAAACAATTCATCTTTGTGCAGGTCCCTATAGGAGTTCATTGTAATACGATTTTAATGTACCACTTCTGAATAATTTCTGATTGCAAATAGTCGGAATTCCGGAAAAGAAAATGATTCAGTTCAAACCTGGATTTTTTTTTTCGATGTAAAAAACACTGAGTTACGACCTGAAACTTACTGATGTCATAACTGCTGTCGTCATTCTCAGAATTCCCCCGGATTTTTTCCACTGAGTCACAAGCAGAATCGAAGGCATTTCTTGGGATGGGAAAATATTTTTTTGCTCAAAATTGTTCCTACCATTTCGATTCGTATATAGTTCCTCAATTTTTCAAGAACGTAAATAAGTCGTCTTAGAGTTGGAAAGCGTTGGTATTTTTTTGAATGGTATTTTTTTTCTAAAGAAATGTTAGGACAAGGAAAAGTGCGAAAAGTAAAACGTCTTGGAAATCCAGATGTGGTCGAACTTGTTTTGCGATCGATTTACCTAATTCAGTGTGCGTATTTTTTTTACGATTATTTCAGGTTCACCCTTAACACTTTATAGAGGCTCTTTTGCAAAAATGTGGTCGACCTTTTTGCACTCGTTTTGTCTATTTTCTGCAATTTTCGGGACAACTTTTGGGTACGAAATGTGCGGAAGTCCGGAGCCGAATGTCACCATAAGCGACTCGTGAGTTCTTTATTTACTCTGCAATAAAAAAAATTTAAAGCAGATATTTGTGATAAATAATAATTTTGTAAATTCTTCCATTTTATGCAGACTTATCCGGTTGAAATGATGCTTTTAGAATTTTCACTCCCCGAAAACATACAGTATTTAAATTCATTTACAGATAGAGTCCTGTATTTAACTTTGATATCCTCTCATTTGACTGCTAGTGTGAATATTGTGCTAAAATAAAAATAAAATAAAACGTTTATATTAACTGTCTTCAAGATAAATTGTGAATATATTTTGTTATTTACTCACATCTTATTGGATATTAAAAATTACCTGTTTGATGCGGATATTTCGATTTGTAAAAAATAAACATGACTACGAAATAGTTGCATTTTGAAAGGAAAGATTACTGTAACAATGAAACAGATTTCGAAAGATGAACTGCGTGATGTTCCCATTTTGTTCAAATTCAGAATGTAGGAGCATTAAATTTTGGGCTTTTTGATGAATGGCTGGAATTAAGAATATTAAATCAACTGTTTATGAAATTGAGGTTACATTTTATGGATGGTTGTTTTTGCTGATCATCAGTATTTGGTGATTCTGATTTTCCAGAAGCACTTGGAGATGTGGACTCTATGTCCGAAACAGTCAGGGAAACAAAATGAAACATGTCCACACAATGAGGAAGCTTCCAGGCAGGAACTCAGATGCCACTTGCTCCAATGGGAAGCTAACCAATGATGCTGATTGGCAGAAATTCTCTGAAAAATGCCACAAATTTGTAAGCTTCTCTTCATCTGTATTAATTTCATATCCTAAAGCATGAAATGACCAAGCTTTTTTTCATGGAAACAATCCCACTGACCAGTGTGTCAGAAACACTGCAAACAAAAATATATCCTGTATACTATGAATGAATGAATGAACAGAAAACTTAATTTGCCGCTTTTCAGCGTTCACAAGGCACAACCAAAACTCCCACATACAAACCCCCTCCCCACCCAACCCAATTCCCCAAAAATACATTCAATCACTTCAAAGCATGAAACTGTATACTATGTACAGTATATGCTGAGTGAACCCTCAGTTGACAGACTCTTTGGTTCACAATTATTTTTTTTTTGGTTGACAAAGTTTTCATATTCAGAAGAAAGAATCCCTCCGTCGACTGCTGAATTTATTCTCCATTCATGAAGTATTGTGAAATCAACATTAAACTTTTTGGCAAAATTTATTAACATGTGTTTTTTCATTAATTAGTCTATCCTACTTGCTCACATGGCGATGTTCTATAAAAACAAGTGACTGAAGCAAAGTACAATATAAATGTCTTCCAGAAAGATGGCATCTCATCTGATCAGCGGACTTGAAAAAGAATATACATTCAAATAGACCAACCCCAGGTTCATTACCAGCAAGACTGGCCAGAATACATTTTGGCAACATGTCCTTGACAAAACAAACACATTTTACTGCCATCAAATGTGTGTTATTGTGGAGAGTTTTGAATTTAAGTGTTTTTGGAAAGAAAACATATTACAAATGCTACTTGTTCATCAGAAATGCCATAGTTGAATCAGTGATTAACTTATTTTCTGAAAGCTCTCACTTTTTGTCCTGCCCATCAGCTAGGTTGTAATGTGTATGTACTAGAATATGTACAGTATATATACACTATATACTATATAGACATATATGTACATATTTCCCATTTTCTTGCAGATGAAGCAAGGGCTTGATGGAGATTTCAGGTTGGACAAACCATTGCCTGCACAAGCAGATGGCAGGCAAACTGAACAAAACTCTAACAGGACCATTGGAGATAAGCTTTGCGACTCAGTCATCCAGAAGCACACTTGCAATAACCAGGCAAGGAAAATTTTACTCCCCTGAAAGAAATTTTTACAACAGTTTTTATTATCTTTTTAGTACATCATATGTCTTAGTGCTTGTGGACAGCACTTCATGGAAACTGGGTTCAAAGGACCTGAGCCAATATGCTGCGCACAAACTGGCAAGAGTGAATTCAGGAATGTTCCTTGTGCCGGATGGAGGCCATTTTTACCTGGCAGACCCATTCCTGACCAATGCAAAGGAATTGTCAAGAAGTAAAACATCATTTAGTACTTGAATGACGTGATGCCCTGAACTAAAAAAGATGTTCATGAATAAAACATCACATGAGTAACTGCATTACAATACTGTATTGGTCAATGTTTGAAAGTGTCCCAAACATATCAAGACATTCCAAGCTGGAATATTAGCCTTTCATGCTAGAAGAAAGTTTAGCTTACAGAAAATTGCTCCAACTGTGATGTTGGGTTAACTTAAGACAAATAGTTTGGACCTCATTTGAATGTTTTAGCTTTTGGCAGACCAATTATAGACCATTCTTAGTCCTGCTTGTCATTCTGCTGCTTGGAATACCACCAGCATAGATTTTTACTTTGGTCTAGCAATTCAGAAAAATGTAAATGCTAATAACTGACAATTTCTGCAACACATTTGGTGGAAATAAACTGGGCATATTAACCATTATTCAAAAGAAAAATATCATGTAATTTAAGGCACCATTTTTATCATCGCTGTGAACAAATGAAAAAATTGCACATGATTCAATAAAAACACTTCCAACAGGGAAATATTTGTATTTCTGTTGAACATTTTGGTAAACAATTTGTGAATGGAAAAAATCATGTGCTTAAAACACTCTCATTGACATGCCCTTACTTTGTTGGCATTTCAAAATAAAATGTCTTAGTCCAATAAAAAATGAAAGAAGTGTCCAAATAGTGATGATATATTTTTCCAAATCACATCAATTGCTCTTAGTTGAATATCTTACACATGAGCTGGTAAAAACGGTGCATTTTAAAGTGAAAATAGATGAACAAATGCTAGCCAACAGTTATTCACAATGTACTTTAATATATGTATTAAATTCCAACAGAGCTGGCATAAGGAGAAGAGAGAAGTGTTCCAAAACTTGCTGTCACAGTTAAAATAGAGTAAAGAACCAGAAAAAATCTGTCATAGATCCTTGCCAACTCCAGGTATTCCAGTGTCAAGACATTCTTATAATCAGCATCCTTGTGTTGCTGCTGGCTCACTTCCATCATTGCAAGAGCCTTGTCAGCCCTCTCCAAAAGTTGGTTTGCTGCGTAAAAATGTAAAAAGATTACTGAAAAGAAGGAGGTCAAAATATGGTACTCTTTGCAAGTCCCAGTTTGAATTTTACTGCTCTGATGAACTCAACATATGCTTCTGAAACTGACGAAAGTTTCAGGATTGGCCCAAAAAACCATGAAATATCATGACCGGTGGTGATAGGCATTGTTTGAACAATGTGACTTCATGTAGCATTCCTTCTTGTTTAAAATATGCCTTTTAATTTACCAAGAGAGTTCTAAATAATAACTGGAGACTAATTTTTGGAAGGAAAGAAAGCAAGAAATAATTGTCCATGAACCTTTTGATGGTTTAAGTTGAGAGAGATGGATCATTATTCTTACCAGCAAATTCAAATCCAACTTGATCAGATGCCAATCTGGGCCTATATTCTTTGTAAGAAGGGTGACCAGTGATGCCAAATCTTTTGGAAAAAATCTTGTCTTTGGATGATGACTTGTATGTTGAGAGTAAGTCCAAGTTGGGCTTCCAGAAATCCTCCTCAGCCTGCTTTGCTGCTAAGGAAATGTATGTTTCTCCCAANTCTTTTCAGTAATCTTTTTACATTTTTACGCAGCAAACCAACTTTTGGAGAGGGCTGACAAGGCTCTTGCAATGATGGAAGTGAGCCAGCAGCAACACAAGGATGCTGATTATAAGAATGTCTTGACACTGGAATACCTGGAGTTGGCAAGGATCTATGACAGATTTTTTCTGGTTCTTTACTCTATTTTAACTGTGACAGCAAGTTTTGGAACACTTCTCTCTTCTCCTTATGCCAGCTCTGTTGGAATTTAATACATATATTAAAGTACATTGTGAATAACTGTTGGCTAGCATTTGTTCATCTATTTTCACTTTAAAATGCACCGTTTTTACCAGCTCATGTGTAAGATATTCAACTAAGAGCAATTGATGTGATTTGGAAAAATATATCATCACTATTTGGACACTTCTTTCATTTTTTATTGGACTAAGACATTTTATTTTGAAATGCCAACAAAGTAAGGGCATGTCAATGAGAGTGTTTTAAGCACATGATTTTTTCCATTCACAAATTGTTTACCAAAATGTTCAACAGAAATACAAATATTTCCCTGTTGGAAGTGTTGATGAGTTTTTGAGTATAATGATGCATCAGTTGGGTTGGGTGGGGAGGGGGTTTGGATGTGGGAGTCTTGGTTGTGCCTTGTGAACACTGAAAAGTGGCAAATAAAGTGTTCTGTTCATTCATTCATTCAAAAATTAGAGATATTGAATTTAATACCTTCCAAAATTTTGCCATGTGAATGCAAATCCAGAATAACTTTTAGATTATCGGTTCTCCCTAATAATTCCAGTGAATCTCAGTTCAAATTATTAAATGTGTCTAGATGCAAAACAGGATTCTCCCAGAGCTGTAAACGCCATTTATCATTAGGTTAACCAAGAAAAAGAAAAATACCTTGCATCCACAAAAAATGTTCAGTTTTTTGAGTATTTCAGCTTTCCTGTCAGCAAAGAACCCCTCAGGGTCCTTCATGGTAGTGAATGTAACCTTTGCCATCACAAATGCAATGCCTATTATAGTATCTGTGGCTCTCAGTCCATATTCTCCCCTGTGGTAGATGTTGAGGACTATAATGGAACACAAGACCTCTGAGGTCATCAGAATCAGTGAACACACATAATATGTACCTGGAAGAAAAATGAAATAATACTCATGGGGAAGTTGTATGAATGCATCCAATGACTTACTAAGGAGAGGAATTGTGTCAGCAGGTGGTAATGCATCAGTCATGGCCATCAGAAACACAACCAGGGTCAACATAGCACTGATTCCCAGGCTGATTTTCTCCCCAGATCCACAGGGGACATAGAAAATCATGATACCTAATATACAAATATTCATCATGCAACAAAGATGACATACTTTTTTTTATTCAGAGTGTTTATGATCATGTTATTTCATTGCTTTTGATTTTGTTATGTGCCAAAGAGAAAAGTATCATTTGATTTTCAAACTGCTCTTGAAAAATATTTTAAATTATAAATGACATTGACCTTATCTTTTGTTATGTCCATACATTGCTTTTTTTCGATTACAACAGTTTTTTGAACTTTTGTGAGCCATTTATCAATTTTATCAATTAATTTTTTGAACCAGGTTAAGTCATTCACCAATCATATTGATCAGGACACTTGGAAATATGTAGTTGATGATGTAGTATGTGGGTCTTCTTTGGAATTTCATGTAATAGGTGACATCGTCAAAATTTGTTCCAATGCAACATGGATCTTCAGTGGTACTCTTCTTGGGCTCCAAAGAAATCATTTTGAACTTTCCAACTGCAACATATCTCTTGAGGCCATTTTCAGGCAAGCTAGCGTTCATCCTAACCTGTGAAAATTGAATTTCATTTGAAATGTTATTCAGTCAGAATAATTTATGGTAATTGATGAAAACTCACAGCACTCTTGTCCATAGTCCAAGGAGAGAATTTCAAAGTGCAAATCTGTTCATCAAAGGGGAAATAAGATACATCTAGGTTGCAAACAGACTGAAAAATGCCCTCCACTAAATATTTAACTCTTCCAGTATAAGTGACCATGAGGTAAGTGGAAACAAGTCCAGCCCTGTAATCTGTGGATGCACTAAAAATAGAAAAAAAATTAATAAAATTCATCACTCTTTATTCAGACTGCTGGGAAGACACACCTGTTGTAAAGAATTATGTCTGGGAACCATAATCTAGATGGGTCCAATCTTGTGGACTTTATGTTTGAGAAATTAGCAGGGTCCCATTGCAGAAAATAATCATCCCATTCCAGCACTAATTCTGCATTCGTGGTCAGAATCTGGCTCTTTTCATCCTGCAAAAAATTTCAATTGATATTGAATGTTCTCTTTTTCTATTTTGAAATTACTCACCAGTCCAATCATGGAAAATAAAATATACTGGATAGAGACATTGACAGGTTGAAATGCTTCCTTGACAGGCCTCACAGTTGTTATGTAATCACGATAAAGAAACTTCTGCAATTGTTTTATGGGATGTGTTTCTGTCTCCCAGTCATCACCAATTGAAGCGCCATTTGCAGTATCTCTAGAACTAGATCCAGCTTGTAAAAGTTTGAAAACTCCGAAAAATACCCAAAATCCCCACAGTTTCATTCTTCCAGTTCCTGGTTTCAAAATGGCTGTAGGAAGGGTCTCAAGAGTTCTCCCTGTTCCTTTTGCTTTTGGGTGTGTTTCCTTCAGTCTACTACATGCTAATTAATGAACAAACATCAAATAAGCATGCAGTTATACATGTATTGAATAAAGACTGGGAATTTACAACTCACATGAATGCTTTGTGATGGAACCCAGGAAAATAAATGGCCGGGAAAAGTGATTCTCAAACTGCCATTTGGCTTCTGAATATTTCTGCAGGATTTAAGTTTCCCTCCTAAACTAAGGATATAAGTATAAGGATATAAAACTAAGGATATAAGTTTTTGAAAATGTTTTGTTGACCAGTTGAATTTTGAAGACTTTGGGACATCTTAAAGTTTGCTACTGCTCTAGTGATTACTGTGTGTTGTACTGTGGAAATATGAGAAGTATTTTTCAAAACATTACAGTTATATTTGCTGCAAGAAAAATTATGTTCAGAACAACTGCCGTGATCTGTGCTCTTAATAAATAAACTCTTCAATCCAATTAAGGAATTTTCAAGAACTAACCCAGCTGCAAAAAAAAAATTAAAACTGCCATTAAAATGTCCCAAGCTTATGCATAACCCCAAACCCTAAAAAATGTGTACATCCAGCCAAACTAGCCACACTTTTAAAGATTTGTGTTCCTTGCCCATGTCGCAATTACAAAAAGAATAATAATTGGTAAGTGCCAAAGGAGTTTCACTCTCTATGACTGCATGGGAATAAAGAAAAATTATGGAGCAGGCAATGTTAGCACGCAAGGGCCCCAACAGAACAATGCCAATAATGATTGGCCTTGTGGAATATAGCAAATGCGTGGATCAATCAGGCATTCTTTGGTCAGGAACAAGCATGCCTTTAACGGGACAACTTGTTGATACACCTCTTAATAGTTTTGTAAGATAATTTATTTAAGCTCTTTCAAAAATCTCATTCCATGCATGTATTTCACCATGCAGCAGAAAATTCATGCACAGAAGCACTCGGAGATGTGGACTCTATGTGCTAAACAGTCAGGAAAACAAAAAGAAACATGTCCAGACAACGAGGAAGCTTTCAGGCAGGAACTCAGATGCCACTTGCTCCAATGGGAAGCTTACCAATGATGCTGATTGTCAGAAATTCTCCAAAAAATGCCCCAAATTTGTATGCTTCTTTTCATCTATATTAATTTCAAGTTCTAAACCAAGAAATGATCAAGCTTCATTTATGGAAACAATCCCACTGACCAGTGTAACAGAAACGTTGCCAACAAAAATATGCACTGTATACTGTATACAGTATATGTTGAGTACACCCTCAGTTGACACAACCGTTGGTTCACAAGTTTCTTTTTGGTTGACAAAGTTTGAATATTCAGAAGAAAGAATCCCTTAGTTGACTGCTGAATTTATTTTCCATTCATGAAGTATTGTGAAATCAACATTACACTTTTTGGTAAAATTAATTAGCATGTGTGAGTGTTTCTCTGGAAGTGATGCCTTTTCAGTGTTGTGTTAGGTATTTTTACTTCCATCAAACCCTGCAAAACATTGTTTGGAGCACTCAAAATGCTACAGAAGCTCATTTTGTTTAGATTAATGGTGGGATTTCTTGGTATTGCTGTGTCCACCCTGGCCTGGTTTTCCTGGCTCATCTTCCAATCAAGGTTTGGTGAGCTGATTGCCTGGTTGTCTGGTGGCTTGATTTCCTGAGTCCTTGGGTTGGTGACCATTGGCATGGAAGGTTTTTGTGTTTCCTTCTGGTTTTTGCCCTGGTGGGTTTTTATGGGCTTATTATTTTTCTGTCTGTATTTATCTTGGATTTTGTTTCTGGAGCACTGCTGGTCAGGGTTTTCATGATTTTAAGGAAATTTTTGGGAGGTTTTGGAGAAAACAGCTCAGCATTCAGGAAGAGTTGCATGACAACATTTTTTTGGAAAGTTTTCATTCAAATGGTTTTTGTGACCATTTGATATGACACTTAGGACTATAAAACATAAAACCAGTTGAAGGAATATTGTTTAAGCTCTGGTGTGGCGCTTTTTTCATTGTTTTAGCTTGATGTTCAATGGAGATATCCTAATTCAAATATCAGTCCACTTTTTTGGCCCACCCTGTATATTGCATTCTTTTTGAGTACTAAGTGGATTCTGACAACAGAAACATTTCACTAGGGAAAGTTTGATTTAGAAAACACTTCTGACTGTACATTCCAAAAATTACAATAACATCAATATGTGGGTGTTTTTTCATAAATAAGTCTATTGCATATGCAAACATTGCTATGTTCTATAAAAACAAGTGACTGAAACAAAGTACTGTACAGTATGATTGTTTTCCAGAAAGATGGCATCTCATCTTATCAGAGTGTTGGGCCAGATATGACAAAGGATATCAGATATAAAGAATGACAGAGTACTCAGCCTTTAGGAAGCCAGATCCTCCTTATGGGAGTCCCACTAGCTCTTTTACTCAACAATCCATACAGGCAAACAGGCACAGCTCAGCCAACCTCAGAGATACACATACAGAAACACAAGACAATTCCTAAGCCAGTTCCTAAATTCCACACCCCTCATGAGGCAACACTTAGGTGAGGGTTGGTTTTGGAGCCTTTGGTTTTCCTTCCTTGATTGCTATCTTGCCACCTAGTTTACCACAATGCAGCAAACTGGTTGCACAACAGGATTCTGCTGTGAGTACCTTCCTGTGCCTGGTGACATGGGCATGTCCTGAGCATGGATGCTGCCCTTATTGGGTCACACCACGTCTCGCAACCCCACACAGAGGACTTGAAAAAGAATATATATTCAAGTAGACCAACCCTAGTTTAATCACCAGCAAGAATGGCCAGAAGACATTTTGGTAACATGGCCTTGACAAGACAACAACATTTTACTGCCATCAAATGTGTGTTATTGTGGAGAGTTTTGAGCTTGAGTGTTATTTGAAATAAAACAAATTACAAATGCTACTTGTTCATCAGAAAATCTAAAAAAATGACATAGTTGAATCGGTGATTAACTTTTTTTTTTTAAGCTGTCACTTTTTGACTTGCCCATCAGCTAGGTTGCAATGTTTATGTAATAAAATATATTCATATATACATTTATACTGTATATGTCTATAAGTATATAGACATAGGTAAATTTTTCATTTTCCTGTGGATGAAGCAAGGGCTTGAAGGAGATTTCAGGTTGGACAAATCATTGCCTGCACAAGCAGATGGCAGGCAAACTGAACAAAACTCTGACAGGACGATTGGAGATAAGCTTTGTGACTCAGTCATCCAGAAGCACACTTGCAATAACCAGGCAAGGAATATTTCAATCCCCTGAAAGAAATTTTTACTACAGTTTTTATTATCTTTCTATAGTACATAATATGTCTTAGTACTTGTGGACAGCACTTCATGGAAACTGGGTTCAGAGGACCTGAGCCAATATGCTGCGCACAAACTGGCAAAAGTGAATTCAGGAATGTTCCTTGTGCTGAATGGAGGCCATTTTTACCTGACAGACCCATTCATGACCAATGCAAAGGAATTGTCAAAGAGTAAAACATCATTTAGTACACTTGAATGACGTGATGCCCTGAGCTAAAAAAAATCTTTATGAATAAAACATCACAAGAGTAACTGCAATACAATATGGGTCAATGTTTGGAAGTGTCCCGAGCATATGAAGACCTTTAAAACTGGAAAATTAGTCTTTCATGCTAGAAGAAAGTTTAGCTCACAGAAAATTTCCCCAACTGTGGTTATGGGTTCACCTCTGACAAATAGTTTGGACCTGTTTTGAATGTCTTAGCTTTTGGCAGACAAATTCTAGACAATTCCTAGTCCTGCTTGTCATTCTGCTGATTGTGTGTGGAATTTTTCCACCAACTTTGGCAACCAAGTTGAATTCCCTGAGAAGGGACAAAAGGACAAGTATGAAATTTAATTGGCGTATCTCAGGACGCGCCTAAAGACTGAGAGTAAACTTCTTGGCAGGGCAGCAAGATTAAAGAGATTGCAAAAATTGGCAACCTGGCTGTTTCAATAAAACAAACCCCATCCTTGGGCAAACCAATTGTTTTGTCTCCCAAGCCTGGGGTCGAATGACCCCCTTTCTTTTTCTCCAAAATTGGAATAACAAAGGAAGACCAGATTTTACCAGCTGCTGGCCGTATTTGTTGCCTTTTGGCGTGCTAAAACCATTTGTTGTCCCTGAAATTCAGAACATCCGCTGTCATCAAACGACAACGAACAGGCTCCTCCAGAAACCTAACACTCGACGAGGCAATTTATCTCCCTCTGCATAAAAATTTCTGCAGCCTTTTAAAATCTGCAAATGTACAATACATATGGTCTTTGGGAAAAACAAGACCTTCAGAAATATCTAGTCTTGCATTGAAAACACCAGCACCTGGTGTTTTCAAACTCTCAAAACCCAGCACCTGGGACTCTTTGACTCAAAACACAACTCCATCAAAATGTTTTGAGCATAAAAACCCTCCATTTTTTGAGTGACGATACCGTCTGGTATTTTTGCCCAAAGCGTCCAGTTTGTCTGAGAAATTTGTACCTTACCAACATTTTTCTGTCTATTGAAAATTAGTTTGCAAAATTCTGTTTAGGAAATTACTGTTGTGAATATTGCCTGTTGTACAAGTGTCTGAAATGTTAATAAGTTTGAACAAAGGTTTGTGCTTTTTGGGAGAGAATCCTGGTTGGTTTGTGCACTGGCCAATTGTTGTTCTTTATTCATCTTACTGTTTTCAGGGCTCTGTAACATTTATCATCTCTTTCCACCTTCATTCAGTACCCTAGTTGTAGACTTACCTCTGAAGGTGTATGGCTTGATAATTTCTTTCTCTCAATAAAACTGTGCAGCTTGGAATACCACCAGCACTGGTTTTCCCAATGATCAAGTGATTTAAAATAGTACAAATAATAATAACTGAAAATTTCTATAACACCTGTTGCATGAATTAAATGCAACATATAATCCGCCTCTGAGCAAGTATAAAAATAATTATAGTAGATTAAAAAATTAATCTAAAAAACCACGTTTTCAAAAAGCAAAAAATAACCTTAAATGTGGTGCGCATCTATTTCATTTGTATTTCACTTCTTCCCAACAATCTCCATGCGCACCACGTTTAAGGTTATTTTTTGCTTTTTGAAAACGTGGTTTTTTAGATTAATTTTTTAATCTACTATAATTATTTTATTCTTTTTAAAAAATATTCTTAAAATTTATTTTTTCACAAAAGATTGCATTGTCATCAGTTTCTAGGCTATCCTGAAAGTTTCAGCTTGATAGCTAGTCGGGAAGTGAGTGAAATTTGAGTTTCAAAATTTGATCCGGACAAACAAACAGACAAGAAAGTGAGTTAATAAAAACGTGTTAATTAATTAGAAAAAAAAATGTTCCAGGGGGTGGGATTGAACTCGGACCTCTGCGACCAATTCAGTTCACCATGGGTTTTTTTCTTGGGGCCAAGGAAAACCTGCTCAAAGTTTTATTATAGAAATCTACTATAATTATTTTATTCTTTTTAAAAAATATTCTTAAAATTAATTTTTTCACATAAGATTGCATTGTCATCAGTTTCTAGGCTATCCTGAAAGTTTCAGCTTGATAGCTAGTCGTGAATTGAGTGAAATTTGAGTTTCAAAATTTGATCCGGACAAACAGACAGACAAGAAAGTGAGTTCATAAAAACGTGGTAAAAAATACGATTGAGTCACCTGGCCAAGAATGAATATTCATTAACGGATTTGATTTTATTGAAGAAAATAAACCTTTTTACATGCGCAGACTGAACTTTTTGCTGAAATCTAGCAGATGAATGTGTGCTGATTTCATCAGCAAAGTGTTTCTGTGAAAAAGTGATTTAGTGGGAACTGAGATATCTCTAAAACTATGGTTTGTAGCAATATTTGTGTTGACACCAAGTTTGTAGGAAACTTTGCGGTCTAGGAATTGAACTGTTTTGGAATCCAATATCTTCAAAATTGAGCAAGACATTTGCTTTGGAAGTTCATGTTGCAAATTACGCAATTGTACAAATTTTACCTTGGAAAATTTCCTGCTTTCCAGGACTTGTTTTCTTGTTGAAATTGCCTGTATGTTTTCATGCCTGTTATTCTGAGGATATAAGGTGTGTTGAATTGTGAACAAATCATCAGTCTCACTAAAACTGGCACAGTTGCTTGTTGTCCCATTTTTTCCCCTTGGCTAAATTGTAAATATGCTTGGGAGCTGCTTAAATGCCGTTGCACTTTAATTTACCTTAAATTTGGAAAGGTTGCGGTATTTGCAATTAAAAACCAACCACAAACACCTTTGGTGGAAATAAATGAGAGATATTAACCATTCTTCAAAAGAAAAATATTATTTAATTGAAGGCCCCACTGTTATTGTCCCAATAAATGATTGATTAAAAATTGGCTATTGATTCGATAAAAACACCTCCAAAAGGGAAATATTTGTTTTTCTGTTGAACATTTTTGTAAACCATTCTTGAAAGAAAAAATAATATGCTTGAAAGACTCTCATTGTCATGCCCTAACTTTGTTGGAATTTCAAAATAAAATGTCTTAGTCCAATGAAAAATGAAAGAAGTGTCCAAATAGTGATGATATATTTTTCCAAATCACATCAATTGCTCTTAGTTGAATATCTTACACATGAGCTGGTAAACACGGTGCATTTAAAAGTGAAAATAGATGAACAAATGCTAGCCAACAGATGATTACAATGTACTACAATATATGCATTAAATTCCAACAGAGCTGGCATAAGGAGAAGAGAGAAGTGTTCCAAAACTTGCTGTCACAGTTAAAATAGAGTAAAGAACCAGAAAAAATCTGTCATAGATCCTTGCCAACTCCAGGTATTCCAGTGTCAAGACATTCTTATAATCAGCATCCTTGTGTTGCTGCTGGCTCACTTCCATCATTGCAAGAGCCTTGTCAGCCCTCTCCAAAAGTTGGTTTGCTGCGTAAAAATGTAAAAAGATTACTGAAAAGAAGGAGGTCAAAATATGGTACTCTTTGCAAGTCCCAGTTTGAATTTTACTGCTCTGATGAACTCAACATATGCTTCTGAAACTGACGAAAGTTTCAGGATTGGCCCAAAAAACCATGAAATATCATGACCGGTGGTGATAGGCATTGTTTGAACAATGTGACTTCATGTAGCATTCCTTCTTGTTTAAAATATGCCTTTTAATTTACCAAGAGAGTTCTAAATAATAACTGGAGACTAATTTTTGGAAGGAAAGAAAGCAAGAAATAATTGTCCATGAACCTTTTGATGGTTTAAGGTGAGAGAGATGGATCATTATTCTTACCGGCAAATTCAAATCCAACTTGATCAGATGCCAATCTGGGTCTATATTCTTTGTAAGAAGGGTGACCAGTGATGCCAAATCTTTTGGAAAAGATCTTGTCTTTGGTTGATGACTTGTATGTTGAGAGTAAGTCCAAGTTGGACTTCCAGAAATCCTCCTCAGCCTGCTTTGCTGCTAAGGAAATGTATGTTTCTCCCAAAGAATCCTTCTTTTCCTAGGAAAGAAAATCCCTCATTGAAGAAATATTTTTCTCTTTTTGCAAAACAAGATATTCTGAAAGCATGAGATAGAGTTATTAAACCATTTATTCATAGCATTTTAGTTATGAGAAGAACACATACTGTTTTTGGAAAAATTAGAGATATTGAATTTCATACAGTCCAAAATTTTGCCATGTGAATGAAAATCCAGTATAACTTTTAGATGACGCATTCTCCCTTATAATTCCAGTGAATCTCAGTTCAAATGATTAATTGTGCCTTAATGGAAAAGAATGATTCTCCCATAGCTGTAAACGCCATTCATCATAAGGTTATTCAAGAAAAAGAAGAATACCTTGCATCCACAAAAAATGTTCAGTTTTTTGAGTATTTCAGCTTTCCTGTCAGCAAAGAATCCCTCAGGGTCTTTCATGGTAGTGAATGTAACCTTTGCCATCACAAATGCAATGCCTATTATAGTATCTGTGGCTCTTAGTCCATATTCTCCCCTGTGGTAGATGTTGAGGACTATAATGGAACACAAGACCTCTGAGGTCATCAGGATCAGGGAACACACATAATATGTACCTGGAATAAAAATTGAAATAATTCTCATTAGGAAGTTTTATGAATGTATCCAATGACTTACTGAGGAGAGGAATGGTGTCAGCAGGTGGTAATGCATCAGTCATGGCCATCAGAAACACAACCAGGGCCAACATAGCACTGATTCCCAGGCTGATTTTCTCCCCAGATCCACAGGGGACATAGAAAATCATGATACCTAATATACAAATATTCATCATGCAAGAAAGATCACATACTTTTTTTATTCAGAGTGTTTATGATCATGTTATTTCATCACTTGTCATTTTGTTATGTGCTAAATAGAAAAGTATCAGTTGAATCCATAATGCTCTTTAAAAAAGTTTAAAATTAGAAATTACATAGAATTTATCTCTTGATATGTTCATGCATTGATTTTTTCCATTCCAACAGTTTTTTGAACTTGTGCTGCGAGCCCTTAATCAATTACTTTCTTGAACCACTTTAAGTCATTCACCAATCACATTGATCAGGATGCTTGGAAATATGTAGTTGATGATGTAGTACATTGGTCTTCTTTGGAATTTCATGTAATAGGTGACATCGTCAAAACTTAGTCCAATGCAACATGGATCTTCAGTGGTACTCTTCTTGGGCTCCAAAGAGATCATTTTGAATTTTCCAACTGCAACGTACGCCTTGAGGCCATTTTCAGGCGAGCTAGCATTCATCCTGACCTGTGAAAATTGAACATCATTTGAAATGTTATTCAGTCAGAATGATTCATGGCAATTGATGAAAACTCACAGCACTCTTGTCCATAGTCCAAGGAGAGAATTTCAAAGTGCAAATCTGTTCATCAAAGGGGAAATAAGATACATCCAGGTTGCAAATGGACTGAAAAATGCCCGCAACTAAATATTTAACTCTTCCAGTATAAGTGACCATGAGGTAAGTGGAAACAAGTCCAGCCCTGTAATCTATGGATGCACTAAAAATAGAAAAGTGAGAAAAATTGATCAAATTCATCCCTCTATATTCAGACTGCCGTGGAGACACACCTGTTGTAAAGAATTATGTCTGGGAACCATAATCTAGATGGGTCCAATCTTGTGGACTTTATGTTTGAGAAATTAGCTGGATCCCATTGCAGAAAATAATCATCCCATTCCAGCACTAATTCTGCATTTGTGGTCAGAATCTGGCTCTTTTCATCCTGCAAAAAAATTGTAATTGAAACTGAATGGTCTCTTTTTCTATGTGGAAATTACTCACCAGTCCAATCAGGGAAAATAAAATATACTGGATAGAGACATTGACAGGTTGAAATGCTTCCTTGACAGGCCTCACAGTTGTTATATAATCGCTATAAAGAAACTTTTGCAATTGTTTTATGGGATGTGTTTCTGTCTCCCAGTCATCACTAACTGAAGCGCCATTTGCAGCATCTCTAGAACTAGATCCAGCTTGTAAAAGTTTGAAAACTCCCAAAAGCACCCAAAATCCCCACAGTTTCATTTTGCCAGTTCCTGTTTTTGAAATGGCTGTAGGAAGGGTCTCGAGAGTTCTCCATGTTTCTTCTGCTTTTGGGTGTGTTTCCTACCGTCTAATACATGCTAATTATTAAACAAACATCAAATAAGCATGCAGGTATAAATGTGTTGAATAAGACTGGGAATTAAGAACTCCAATGAATGCTTTCTGATGGAACCCAGGAAAATAAATGGCCAGGCAAAGTGAATCTCTAACTGCCATTTGGCTTCTGAATAGTTTGGCAGAATATAGGTTTTCTTCCTAAGTTGTTGAAAATGTTATGTTAAGCAGTTGAATTTTAAGGACTTTGCAAGAAATGACCCAGCTGGAAGAGAAAAAAATCAAAATTGCACTGAAAATATCGCAAGCTAATGCATAACCCAAAAATGGTGTACTTCCAGCCCAACTAGCCACATTTTAAAGATTTGAGTTCCTTGCCCATGTCGCAATTAAAAAAGTATAATGATTGGTAAGTGCCGAAGGAGTTTCACTCTCTATGACTGCATGGGAATAATGAAAAATTTTGGAGCAGGCAATGTTAGCACGCAAGGGTCCCAACAGAACAAAGCCAATGATTGGCACTGTAGATTAGAACAAATGGGTGGAGCAATCAGGCATTCTTTGGTCAAGAACAGGCATGCATTTAAAGGGACACCTTGTTGATACTCCTCTTAGTTTTGTAAGATAATTTATTTAAGCTCTTTCAAAAATCTCATTCCATGCCTGTATATTTCATGTACACAAACTAGTACAAAAGGCGCGGAATTCAAAATTAAAAACTGTAATCAGGTGTGGGGTTCACCTTGGGATCTTGTTTGCAAGATCCCAAAGAACAAGATAAAAATGTATTTTGTGTTAAACCCCAAAGATAAATTTCACACAGCAAAAAATATAATCACACACAATTCACTGAACAAACTCAATGAACACTGAACTGGAACTTCCCATGACATGGTGGTGGTTGAAGCTGTGGAAAACCTGAGAAAGGTCTCAAATATTTGAGATTAATTGACAATTATTGAGCATAGATTTACGGTACTTTAATGTACCGAATTATTCCGCCACAAAATCCCCCCTTGGTCTGCCACCAGAGCCAAGCTCTGTGACAGAGCTGGCTGGGAATAATTGGGGAACAAAGATGGATGTCCCTGTACAGCAGTCCTGAGAGTCAATTTGGTGAGAGTGGTAATGGAGAAGAAAAAAAAAGCCTCCAAACGGCAAGATTGATTTGGTCATGTCAGTAAACGGATTGATACAGGTTCAGTAGTTGAAATTTGCCTCCATACGGCAGTCCCAAAAAGTGGGAGAGTTGGTTTGGTAATGGAAATTTGCCACCATACAGCAGTTCCAAAAAGCGGGAAAGTTGGTTTGGTAAATTGATAGTGGGAATTCCTCCAAAGCCTCAAACAATGGAAGGCAAAAAAGAACCCAAGAGAAAGAGAGATCAAAGTGGCCAACTTCAATCTTTCTTTGAAAATAGAGTATCAACAAGGTGTTGGGTAATAAGATTAAGCTGAGTGCCAGTATCAAGGAGGGCATAAACATAACATTTAAGAGGGGTATACAAAAGTTCAGCAGTTTCAAGAAAAGAAGGAGATGGCTCTGGCAGGGCAGGAAATGTACAAACAGAAACCATGGATAGTCATGTAGTGGACGTGGTAGAAGTTGACAAGGCAGTTTTTGCTTCCAAATCCTTGGCTAAAGCCTGAAATTTCTTGAGCTTAGCATCCATTTCTTGGAGATGTTTTGAAGCAACAGTCAGAACGGGAAGAGTGGTCAACAGGTTTTTCATAAGGATGAGAACAATCATTATTAAAATTAGAAGAAACACAATCTTTGGGAAGACCGGGAAGTGAACAATTTTTGCGCATTACGACACAGGGAAGTATGATGCTTGCCATTACAATTCTTGCAAGTTCCACAATTATAACAATCAGCTGTTTTATGCGTGGAATTGAGACAATTGCAACAAAGGCTTTTATGATATGCAATCTCACTACGTTCACAGAGAAGTTTATCACAAGAATTTGGATAACGCGTACCATTACAATAAATGCAAGGGCAAGGAGTCTGGGGTGCAGAAGACATAGAAGCGGAGGCTGTAGAAGGAGCAACAGCAGCGACCACCAAGGGCTCCTCAGGAGAAGGGGTGGGCAAAGAAACCTCAGAGGCAGCAGGTGGAGATGGCTCAGATGGAATGGCAGCCACAGATTGAGCAGCAGCAGAGAAAGTTAACACTTTATCAATATACAAATCATCTTGATGAGTAGAACAAGTAGTATAAAAGTGGACCATTCAACAATAATGGTTTTCAGGATTACGTTCCCACTAATCAAGAATGTATCATTCATAGAACCATGAAAATGTGCAGTATAGATAGCATTGTGAGCCCAAAAAGACACTGCCTTAGAGCAGTGTTGGGATAAGCAGCAGTAGAAGATGATTGTGGTTGAGAGGACTTGGATGCAGGTGGATGAAAAGTATCCATCTGAACAGAAGCTGGAGCAGATTGGGTAGACAGAAAAGGAAGACAAGAGACCGGAAGGAGAGGCACATGGATGTGACGGTTCAAAGCACAATGATTTGGTTGTGATGGTTGGTGAGATAAAAATAAAAAATCATGAAGAAGAAGATATGGGTCTTAGAAAGACAGTATGCAGTACCATTTAGGAGCACTGAAGAAAAAGAAAAAAAGAAATAAAAAGTTGCGGAATATTGAACAGAAAAATAAATGTAAACAGCAGCACCCCCTGGAGGAAAGCAGTGCCCCCCTGAAAAAGACAGTGCCCCCAGATAATGAAATGATGCATTATTTGCAGATGTAGTTATGGATTATAATTGATTTAGAAAAGTTATGTTTATGGTTAGGTATTATGAACAAGTGTCATACAGATCATAAGTTTGAACAGGTGGTATGGCACTGTTAAAAGTGCAACATACTTCAGGATATGGAGGAAATGAAAGTATGGCAAAAAAAATTTTTTCTAAAGCTTCACAACTTGAAAAAGTTTTGTGAAGCAATGGAATTTGGTGGAAACCCAGTCACAGATTTGAAATAATTATAGCAGATCAATAAAATTGACTCCCCACACATGAAGATAATATGGGAGAATGTTTAAAGAATCCATCTCAGAAAATTCAGAGGGAACTTCCACAAAAAAGTCATCAAGTCCCCAAAATCAGATATAAAAATATAGGTAGATATCACAGGAATGGATGTGGCCTTTCCTAATCTCGGGTACCACATGTGTCATTGCTGTGCTCACATTGGTAACTAGCACATGCCAGTAGGGCAAAAGCACAGCAAGTTCGGATTGCGAAAATATGCGGTGAAGAGTTTTCACTGCAAGGCGCCTAACTTTGTCCTCCCTGTCACAACACACTGGTCCCAGCTTTGTCAACACAGACACAAGAGAATTAAATGTGCAGGACAGATAATAGATGAAATGAGAGAGAAATTCAATGGGAATGGAAGAGGAACAGAAATGGGAAGATCCACAGGGGAAGAAATTGAAAGAGCAGTGGAAGGGTCAGGATCAGGGGTAGAATGAGGAGGAGACTCATGGAATTCAGACGCACAATGAGGAATAACCTCTGAAGACAATGATTCTGTAGCCATGGGCAAGGGATGAATAGGAGGAACGGAGAAAGAGAACAAAAAGTGTTTAAGAACAAATTGCACACACCCCTCTGCAACCAATATTTGTGCATGAACTAGTACAAAAGGCGCGGAATTCCAAATAAAACACTGTAATCAGGCATGGAGTTCACCTGGGGATCTTGTTTTCAAGATCCTGAAGAACAAGATAAAAATGTATTTTCTGCTGAACCCCAAAGATAAAATTCACACAGCAAAAATATAATCACACACAATTGACTGAACAAACTCCATGAACACTGAACTGGAACTTCCCATGACATGGCGGTGGTTGAAGCTGTGGAAAACCTGAGAAAGGTCTCAAATGTTCAAGATTAATTGGCATTTATCAAGCATAGATTTACAGTACTTTAACATACCAAATTATTCTGCCACATTTCACCATGCAGCAGAAAATCCATGCACAGTGCAATCAAAAGAAAAATGAGTGTACACAGATGAAATGATGCATACATATCTCAATCATCTGATCACTTGATTCAAAGGAAAGCAATAATGGTTCTCTTATTTATGTCTGCAGTGGGAGGAACAACCAGTAGGATCCTACAGGGGTCTGGGGGGCAATAATAAGGACATCCTGTAATGTGTGTCTGTGGCCTGTTTGTTTACTGTTTGTTTCTTACATGAAAAAAATGCATCCAATACATTAAGTTGTCAGGATGGCCTAGCGGTCTAAGGCGCTGCATTCAGGTCACAGTCTGGTTCTGCAGGCTTGGGTTTGAATCCCACTTCTGCAATCGTTTTTTCATTTTTTTCCATTTTTTTGTCTGCACTGAGGACGCTCTACTACTTGTAGTACATATGGTATAGGAGTTCTAAGATTGTGTTGCTGGATAAAAATGAAGAGTGACACTTTAAAAGTTTTCATAACCCAGAATCTTAGAACTTCTATATACCATATGGTAAACTACCAATGTAACCTACTCATTAGTTGAATTACTTATCAGTTGAATTATTCATTAGCTTTACATCTGTTAGAAACAAAAATTTGGAATTCAGAATAAAGCTTTGATTCATCAAGTTGAAAACCTTATAAATGAAGAAAAAGACAATCAGCTGGGCTGCAGCCTGGGTGCTTTAAACCTTAGTCAGCCTAGTCTAAGGTTGGTACAGTATATTTGAAATTGAAGGCACAGCAATATGATGATGATTGCATTACAATCACTCAACAAAATGCAATAGTCTTTTGCATGACCCAGAGCAACTTGTCAGGCCGATTGATGACAAATAATTAGAGAAAGGAATAAACGCAGTCACTCAGCCTTTAACGGCCGGATCCTCTTTAGCAGAGTCCCTTTAGAATTCAGCAGTTTTATCCAGACACACACAACACCACAGAAGGATCAGAAGTACCCAGAGGTACAGACAATCGCGCTAGGACATAATTAGGCTTAACCGCAGTCAGGCACACACAAGCTCTCAGGAGTGAGTCTATTCTCATAATGACATTCCCCAAAGTCCCGAAGACTTCGGTGCCGGCTTCCACTGCTGGAGATTGCTATCTTTCTGTTCTTGACCCGGTTTACCACAATGAGGTAAACCGGGTGCCCTATCCGCTTCTGGGTTTTGCGTGCTGGTGTTGCTGCGCAGTGTACCCGAGCGAGGATGCTACGCTCGGGTTGCCGCGTGGACGCGACCCCACACAACTGATGATAATATACATGAACCCTTTGGAATTTTAACTCTTTGCAAAATTTTGTCCCTGAAGGATTTTACCCCTTTTTCTAGGAAATCTCCAAGAATCCAAACTAAAGTGGTGTGAGAAACTAAAGAGAGAGTAATAACCGTTTCTGACAAAGAGCGCCACTTCTACCCGGGCACTAGAATTTGCATCACTACCAAGAACAGCAACAGCAATACATTTGCTGTTGCCAGGGCCATAAAAACCACATTGGAACCAGGTCATAAAAACCCAACTCCAAAACTGTGCTTTGGCAGGGAAAATCTAAAAAATTGCTCTTCTCACAGGAAAAGGTAGAAACCAAGCCCCAGGTGGCTGGAAACGCAGAAATTGGGTTTTCTATGACCAGATTCCAAGAAAGAGGGGATCTATTTCCCTCCTTCTCTCTTCCCATATCCACTTGGCAAAAAATGCGCTATTTCCCACTTTGTGGGAACCGCGCATAACCAGGACCAGATGTTGCCTAACAAATGGGGAAAAAACCCCATTTGAAACACAGGAGAACAATGATCTACTGATCATCTTGTTAACCCTACCTGCAACCATCCTTCTGGACAATCTTAACACACCCTTCCAATCATTTTTCAAACAGGCATAAAAGGGAGCTGAAGCCACAAAAAAATCATCAGACTGTTTCAAGAAGGATCGAAACCCCGTTGGACAAACGTTTTCCACTGCCAAAAAACTCTTTGCAAATTTACCTAAGTTTTCTCTTACAAGAAGCATTTACCCAAAGTGCTTGTCAAAGTTTTGAACCAAACTGTATATTCTGCCTATTTTGCTGAAGAAAGTACAAGTTGCGCTTATTTTGGGATTTTGAATCCCTTAGGTCGGTTGCGCACCGACCAATTGCTGAGTTCCAATTTTTTCTTGTCAAATTCCTTGGTCCTCTCACCTGCACCAAATTGGGGTGCAACCCTCGATTTCGCACAAGTGGGAACTTGAAGTCAAACTCAGTCCCACAGAATTCCAAATGGATTTAGACATTCCTATAAGTGGCGCCCTTCTCTTCTAATCTGTCTAGAATTCTATTACTGTTTTCTAATTTACAACAACATCATGATTTAAATTACTCATTAGTTCTACCTGAGTCACCTGATGTGCAAAACAAAAACTGGCAAGAGAATCAAATGAAATTGGCACATGACAGACAGAAATTAAAAAAAACATTTCTGATGTTATTCTGTTATGAGTTGGGATCATTTAAATCATGCAAAGGCTGATGGCTGAAAATTCACATCATCCCTTTGGCTTGATAATTACTAGCAAAAGGGGCATATCATGATCACGTAAGCACATGCCAGCCATTATTCTTAGACTTTTTACACAAGAAAAAATTTGGAATTGATCGACAAATATCTGCGTACAAAACAAAAATTTAAAATAAAAGTCTGTTCTTGGAATCAAATAATTGTTACAGTTTCAGATATCATGAATGAAAGGACACATCAATACCAGAATACCGTTTTTATTTGCATTGCGAAATATTCCTGGAAAAATATTGAGGAATGGAAAATCACGTGCATTAGAACATTTGGAAATGTTATTAGAACATGTGAGAAATTTTTAGTATGGGATTCCCATTTCAAATTTGAGTCACAGCAGCCAAGAAAATGTCTGGATTTTAGGGTGGGTGCTTATTTTTCTGCAGAAGCATTCTTCCTGCAAGTTGATCACACAAAAATACCTCAAAACATTGAAATATATGAATATTATGAAGTTCAAAAGTGCAAAAAAATTATAAACATTATAAGATATGTAGGTAATAAATGTAGTACCGTATTGTATACATGTACGTTAAATTCCAGTAGCACTGGCATAAGGAGAAGAGAAAAGTGTTCCACAACTTGCTGCCATGGTGAGAAGCAGGTAAAGGACTAGGAAAAATCTGTCATAAATCCTTGCCAACTCCAGGTATTCCAGTGTCAACACATTCTTGTAATCATCTTCTTTGTG